AATAATACAATTTACACACATAAAAATATTTTCCAAAACATGAATTTAGAGGCTGCCATGGCTTTATTTACTGTCTGTCCTAATAAAGGAAAACCCATTTCTGTCCCTGCTGGCACATCAGTCTATTGTCCCATTTTATTTTGATTAAAAAAGGAAAACTCAGCCTCACACAAGGAGACTTTTTTCTTTTATTTATGGGTGTGTGCATATGTGTGTGTTTGTCTGTTCGGTATGTGAGCACATGTTTGGACTATACATGTGGGTGTCCAGGTGTGTGTGCACATGTGCACACATGCATGCGGAGGCCAAAGGTCAAAGTCTTGTGTCCTCCTCTATTACTTTTGAACCTTATCAACACAAGTTCTTTCACTGAACATGGGTCCATTGGCTAGGCTGGCTGAGCAGCAAGCTCTGGGGACCCTCCTGTCTCTGGCTCCCTCCCACCCCAACACTAGGCTGCAGGTGCTTACCACCAGGCTTCTTACCCAGAGATCTCTGCTCAGGTCCTCAAGCTTGCACAGCAGGCACCCTGTCCTCGGAGCCATTGCCCCAGCCCCAGCTGGCCTCTTTAGATAATTACATTTTTCTTGGATAGTTTCTTAAATGTGTGTAGCCATACAGAATCTTGTACCGCACACTGATGGTTTCCTACATTTGAGCCTATTGGTCTGCTGGGTTCACAAAGATTTTGAAATACTGAGCACTTGTCTGGAAAACGCGCTGTGTGGATACATCAATTATTGAAATACTTAATCATACAATTAAACAATATTTCCGTGAATACTGTCACTCATACACCAAACGCTCATGTTCATGTGACAGCTACAGTCTCCAAAATTCAGACGTTCATATTTTATCACAGGGAACAGATACTAGCAGATCTGCTCCAAGAAACAGCATGATCGTTTTCAAGAAAATGTCTGCCAAATATCCCGAGCTGAACAGCCACAGTCTGTCAGTTGTTTTTTCAAATAAAGATGGTCTTCCCTGAAAAGAGCATCTTGTTCAACTCTCAATTCCATCACCCATGTGTTCCCCTGAAAGACAGCAGTCAACACTGGTATGCTGCACAGACACCCAGACAAACAGCCCACAGGAGCTCCCACCAGCCTGGGAACGTCTTCACTGCAAAGATTCCAAACGCCACAGCTTCTGCTTCTTCATCAAGGGCACTAGTAAGTGCTGCTGGCTTCTCTCTCTCTCTCTCTCTCTCTCTCTCTCTCTCTCTCTCTCTGTGTGTGTGTGTGTGTGTGTGTGTGTGTGTGTGTGTGTGTTCTCTCCTTCTACCATGTGGGTCGCAGGGATTGAATTTAAGTCATCAGCCATGACAAAAGGTGCTCTTACGCTCTGAGTCATCTTTCCAGACACCAGCTGGCTTTTGTTTTTGTTTTTAATTGCATATGAGCAATATTAAAGACTATAGCGTCATAGTTTGTTCCCAATTCCTTTTTTTTTAATATTTATTCATTATGTATTCAATGTTCTGTCTGTGTGTATGCCTGCAGGCCAGAAGAGGGCACCAGACCTCGTTACAGATGGTTGTGAGCCACCATGTGGTTGCTGGGAATTGAACTCAGGACCTTTGGAAGAGCAGGCGATGCTCTAAACTTCTGAGCCATCTCTCCAGCCCCTGTTCCCAATTTCTTGATTCATGCCGAGGGATCAGAGGTTTTAGGGTTGCTATGGCAGCACTGATGCATAAGACAGTGAGTCAGGTGATGACATGCTAGTTCTAACAGAATCCTTCAGTCTTCAGAGTCCCACCGCCAAAGGTCTTCAACACAGTCAGGCACGTGCATGCCCTGAGAACCACTACTCCACTGAGAGCTGATGGATTTCCACGACTGCTTAGAAATGGAAAAAGTGCCCCTCACACTGTCTCTAGAATAAAATCCATATACAACATAGATAAGCCAAAGTGTGAATCTGCTGAGCACATCACTGGGCCTTCTAGAGAGAGCGTGATGGACTCCTAGAAAGCTTGGCTATGTCCTGAGAGAACAAGGAAAGGAGCTGGTTTGTTTGATGATGTCTGCTGGATGGTGGCATTTGGGTAAAGATTCCTACACACAGGTCATGAGTCTAAACATCCTACCAGCACCAAAGTTGCAAGTTACTGATCATTCTTTTGTAGTAGTAGTAGTAGTAGTAGTAGTAGTAGTAGTAGTAGTAGTAGTAGAAGAAGAAGCAAATCTTGCCTTTATATTTTATTTTTTTATTGAGCTATACATTTTTCTCCAGTCCCCTCCCTTCCTCCCTTCTCCCTTTCTAACCTCTCCCATGACCCCCACACTCCCAGTTTACTCAGGAGAGCTTTCTTTTTCACCTTTCATTCTTAGCGGCTCGTATGAGTGCTGGGTAGAAGTGGAGTGGTGGACCCTAAAGGCGGTAAGCATAAAACCTAACCTGCAGTAACCTGTATTCTCTGTTACAACACAAAACTATTATTTATTATTCATTCATTTTATTCATCTCTTTAAATAACAGGAATTAAATCTAGAGCTTCAGGCATGAAACACAAGTGGTCTCTCATTCAACAGTATCAAGCCACAAGCACATAATCTTTGAACAAATCTTCCTCTCCCCTCAACTCCGCCATCTTTAGTCCTGGCAGTCTCCACGGAGCTTATGGCCTCAGACACAGTAGGCAGCTGCCTCGCTCATAGCTGAGGCTGAGGCCTATCAGCAGCCTGCTTATCCTCTGTTAGAAGACACACTCCCCGACCACAGGGTTTCCACCAGTACTGCTATGCATTTTGTACAGATTAGACATACTGACCTATCCCAAGTGCCCAGCATAGTGTCATGCTCAAAACTATTGTCAGTGAATGGTACAACTGTATCTATTAGTAAACAAACCACTAGCGAACCTGTCAGGGGATTTCATGATGCAGATGTGTTTATCACCGGTGCTATGGGAACCCACTGAAAAAATATTTCTGGGACTGTAAAGAGTTGCCCTACTAGTGCTATTTTGCACATGACTGTGAGAGTGGTGTGGGACAGTGGTCTGTATTCTGTCAATCATATTTTAAATAAATGCTGATTGGCCAGTAGCCAGGCAGGAAGTATAGGCAGGACAACCAGACAGAAAATAGAGGCAGGTCAATGAGAACAGGAGAATTCTGGAAAGAGGAAGCAGTCCCAGCCCAGATACAGAAGAAGCAAGATGTGACTGCCCCGCTGAAAAAGGTACGGAGCCTGTGGCTAACATAGACTAGAATAATGGGCTAATATGTTATAAGAGTTAATAAGAAGCCTGAGCTAATGGGCCAATCAGTTTATGATTAATGTAGACCTCTGTGTGATTTCTTTGGGACTTAACAATTGTGGGAACTGGGCAGGGCAGAAAACTCAGACAACACATGGGCAAGTGGGTGAAGGAGCCCTTGCACCACCAGTATCTAGACCATGTGCAGAGGGAGACAGCTAAAGAAAGACTTCATGACCAAGAGGAACGAAAGCTCTGACACAGCTGTGCAATTAAATACTCAGCTTCTCAGATGATCCCGCCCTCGACCGGGCTCGGGCAGCCTCGCCCTCAACAGTTCTTTGTCTTTTTAAAATTTAGTGTGTGTGTGTGTGTGTGTGTGTGTGTGTGTGTGTGTGTGTGAGAGAGAGAGAGAGTGTGTGTGTGTGTGTGTGAGTGTGTGTGTGTGTGAGTGTGTGTGTGTATGAGTGTGTGTGAGAGAGTGTGTGTGTGTGAGTGTGTGTGAGTGTGTGTGAGTGTGTGTGTGAGTGTGTGTGTGAGTGTGTGTGTGTGTGAGTGTGTATGTGTGTGTGAGTGTGTGTGAGTGTGTGTGTATGAGTGTGTGTGTGAGTGTGTGTGTGTGAGTGTGTGTGTGTGTGTGTGTGTGTAATGTTGAGCAGTGGCTGAAGCAGCCTGAAGAGACCAGAAGAACTGGATTACAGGCAGTTGTGAGTCACTCCTTCTGAGTGTTATGGAATAGTATTCCTAACTGCTGAGCCATCTCTTGCACCCCCTTTCATAGTTTTATTTGGTGCTTAAGAAAAAATAATACTCTAAAGGCTTTATATTTTTTTAAAAAAATCTTCTTAAAAGTAATCAAAAGTCAGGCATTGTTAATTTGTTCATTTTATATATAATATTAAACATCCTACCTAGTGTGCTTAATAAAGGAATTTCTTTATGGAAAATTGATATGTTCTATATAAAAATGAATTTTAAAACCCTGTGAATAATTAAAACTAAGTATGTCCCTATAGACCTAGGACTTTCCAAAGCTTATAAAATGAGAATGAACAACTTCCCACAGTCACCAAGTGACAGGGCACTGGGGCTTTCAGAGTCCGGGGGGGGGGAACAGAAGGGTGAGGAGGAAGAAGGATTGAGGGGGTGAAAAAAAGAAAAAAGTTAAGGAAATAAGAGGGTGAGAGAAATGAGAAGTGATGAAGATAAGGGAGGTATGTGGGATGAGTGGGTGAGGGGATGCAGGGGTGAGAGGATGAGAGGTGAGGGGATGAGGGAGGGGGGAGAGGATGAGGGAGGGATGAGGGGTGAGGGAGGGGAGAGAGGATGAGGGAGGGGTGAGAGGATGAGAGGTGAGAGGATGAGGGAGGGGTGAGAGGATGGGGGTGAGGGAGGGGTGAGAGGATGAGGGAGGGGTGAGAGGATGAGGGAGGGGTGAGAGGATGAGGGAGGGGTGAGAGGATGGGGCTGAGGGGTGAGAGGATGAGGGAGGGGTGAGAGGATGAGGGAGGGGTGAGAGGATGAGGGAGGGGTGAGAGGATGGGGCTGAGGGGTGAGAGGATGAGGGAGGGGTGAGAGGATGAGGGAGGGGTGAGAGGATGGGGCTGAGAGGTGAGAGGATGAGGGAGGGGTGAGAGGATGAGGGAGGGGTGAAAGGATGGGGCTGAGGGGTGAGAGGATGAGGGGTGAGGGCTTAGAGGATGAGGGGGTAAGAGGATGCAGGGGTGAGAAGATGGGGGGTGAAGGGTGAAGGACTGAGGTGGTGTTCCTCTTTCCCCAGGGGACTCACCCATATGCTGCCCGGTGTCTCTGCAGGGCAATGGCTGCTAGCTGCAGTCTGGCCTCCACTAAGATCTCCAGCTCCCCAGCAGAGCAATGGCAGAGGGGCTTATGGCACTGATGCTCCATCTCAGACACCAAGCAGTTCAGCCTGTCTTCAGCCTCTATCAGTAACAGTGACTAAAGAAAGGAGAACACACCCAGAGTCAGAGAACACTGCACAGTCACACAGTCAGAGAACACCACAGTCACACACAGTCAGAGAACACCACACAAGCACACAGTCAGAGAACACCCTGTCACACACAGTCAGAGAACACCACACAAGCACACAGTCAGAGAACACCACACAAGCACACAGTCAGAGAACACCACAGTCACACACAGTCAGAGAACACCTCACAGGCACACAGCCAGAGAACACCCTGTCACACACAGTCAGAGAACACCACACAAGCACACAGTCAGAGAACATCACAGTCACACACAGAGAACATGTCACAGTCACAGAGCCAGAGAACACCACAAGCACACAGTCAGAGAACACCACACAAGCACACAGTCAGAGAACACCACAATCACACAGTCAGAGAACACCTCACAGTCACATAGCCAAAGAACACCACAGTCACACACAGTAAGAGACAAAGTCTCACTCTTGACAAATAGTTTCAGGCTCAGAGAAGTAACAGCAGTTGGGAGACACAGCAGGACACCTGCGCCCAATCAGCAGAGAAGAGGCCCAGGAAGGAACACGTGGCAGCAGGTGAAATCTCGACAGCAGAGCTGCCGGAACTCTCCGCTCCGCAGGCAGTTCTGTGAAGCTGCCCTGACATCCACCAGTGCCTTGTGGGGACAATAGAGACAGATGTGCCTGGGGGCCCCCTGTCCCGTGTTGACCAGGTGATCAGTACTGCATCTTGTTTAAAAGTGTGTTTACACTTAAGGCATATCATTCCACATTGCTTCATTAACCCTGGGCTCACAGACAAAGGAGCTATATAGTTCTTTTGTGAACTGAATGAAATTATGTGGCGTCTCTATTTGCTTTGTAAGCAAACACAGTGCTTGTCACAAACACTAGACATCATCTTCATCTTCTGCTTGAGGAACATTTTATACAGCAAAACCCATCGACAACAGAAACATGATAGGGGAAATATGGCATAATTTGGGGATTACTAATGCAGAAAATATGAAGCTAAAACACTTTAAGCATTGACACAGCACTTAGATGTTTGGATTAGAGATGCTCAAGCAGAGAAGTCTATGCAAATATCACAAAATCCCCCAGAATCCGACGATTCTGGTTCAGGGTCACTCGACCTGTACTAACAGAACAGAGATGTGTAGAAGGGCCACTTGGTAGTCTGAGGGAGGGAGGAACCCAAGAGTTGGTGCAGAATCTCTTTCACCAAAAAAAAAAAAAAAAAAAAGAATCTCTTTCACCATGGTTGGCTACGTACATACTGGGTACATATTCATTTTATAATTTTTTAATTATAATAATTCCATTATTTGAATGGAATTAGTAAATTTCATATGTTGTCTAAACCGTAAGGTTGTTGTTTTCTGTTTCTGTTCTGTGTGTGTGGTTGCTGCTGTTTATTTTTCAAGACAGGGTCTCTGTGCAGCGCTGGCTGTCCTGGAACCCACTCTGTAGACCAGGCTAGCCTGAATTCACAGAGATTCACCTGCCTCTGCCTCCCAAGTGCTGGGATTAGTGGCATGTGCCACTACCGCCCGACTTGTTTTGTTTTTTATGAAATACATTGAAGTAAAAATGATTAATATCTACATCACAGAAGTATGATAATTAAACCACCATGCAAAATTCCTGTTGTGTAGTGAGCATTTTGATAAATGATTTACCATGGTTTGTGGAAGAAATGAAACATTAAGGCTTACCTTTATCATGCTAAGAGAGCAGTCATCTCTAAATCTTGACAGTTGACAATGTGAATTTTCATCTTTTGTGTAAAAATCTAAAGACATGAAAGTTTTTTAGAAATATCAAGGATCAGTGGTTAGTTTAATTAGCACTTATATTTGTTAAAAATCTATAATTCATGGAATGTATCAATAAATATAATTAGACAAAATCAACAGTGAACATTAAAAACGCATAAGTATATCAACATTCCCTAAATAAACCTTAGAATGCTGGTCTTTATTTTTGCCACAAATCAGACAGCTCAGAAAAGGTCTTTTGCATACTGAATAGTGTTACTCAGGCTACCAATTTCTGACATAGAAGTGTGGTTCCTTCTCCTGATCTTTCAAAAATTTCTAACACTTCAAATATACGGAAAAAAAAACTCCATTGGAAGCTCTCTTAATTAGGGTTTTGTTGCTGTGAAGAGACACCATGACCACAGCAAATCTTATAAAGGAAAACATTTCATTGGGGTGGTTTACAGTTTCAGAGTCCGTTATCGTCAGCGAGAAGCATGGCGGCATGCAGGCAGATGTTGTGCTGGAGAAGGAGCTGAGAGCTCTACATCCGGAAACACAGGCAGCAGAAGGAAACTGCTGTTCTGGGTATGATTTAAGCATATAAAACCTGAAAGCCCACCTTCACAGTGACACACTTCCTCCAACAAGATCACACCTATGCCAACAAAGTCACACCTCCCGATAATGCGGCTCCCTATGGGCCAAGTATTCAAACAGTGAGTCTATGGGGCCATTCCTATTCAAATCAGCACAGTAGCCTTGGTTCTGTTGAGATGCAGAAGCTCTTGCTATACCAGCAGAGAGTGGGATCTTCTGGAGTAGCAGGTCTATTCAAACACTGTATTTCCAAAATTCCTCATCTACAGTAAGCCTGCCCTTATTCTGAAGGAGGATTCAGATAAACGTCTTGGCTTGTGTCAGTCATTCCACTGAATAATCTCAAGTCACTACACACAGCTTCAGAGCATTGTCTGCCCATAAACTTGACAAATGGAAAGAATGATTGTAGAATCAAAGGGAACTTGGCACTTGCAGTGATATTTCATTTGTATGTTAATAAACAAAGCTTGCCTGAAATTCAGAGAGTAAAACAGCCACCCTGGGCAGCCTTACAGATCAGGCAGTGGGGACACACACCTTTAATCCCAGTAGCCACACTAGTTTGCCATAGAAACCGGGCGGTAGTGGTGCACGCCTTTAATCCCAGCCCTACAGAGGAATGTAAAGACAGGAGGAGACAGCTCTCACACTCAGTCCCATTCTGATATTCCTGGAGGCAGGATCGCCGTTTCAGACTGAAATAGAGGTAAGAGCCAGTGGCTGGCTGTTTTGTTTTTCTGACCTTCAAGTTGAACCCCAATTTTTGTCTCTGGGTTTTTATTATTTGTACTACAGGCACTGATTTTCTCTTTTCTTCCAGTTCCAATCTCTTTACTGTTTCCTTAAAACAGGAGATTCTGGTCTTAGAGGCCAGCTGACTAAAAGGAATGGATTAAGGCTTTTTTTCTCAGGAGAAAAAAAAAAAGAGATTAAGAGAGATCAGATTCGAGCATGAGACTACAAGGAGTTCTCAGAACTTATTCAATGGGGAAATTGTTTTTAAAATGTCTTATAGTCTCTGGGAAAGCATGCTACGGCATACAGGAAATGGGAAAATCAACTTAACGATTTCAGTTATAGTAGAGGGTACAGCACAAGTCACAAGAGCCATGGTGGCTGTGACCCAACGGCAGAACAGAGTATATGTCAGAGCGTACAGTTCACATCACAGAAAGCCAGAAGCGGTTAGGGAGGGTCCAGAGACTAGACATACCCTTTAAGTCACGCTCTCAGAGACCTGCTTCCTCCAGCTAGGCCTCACCTCTCAATGTCTCCACTATTTCTCAATAACACTATCACATTGCACATCCATCTATAGATTAATTCAGCATCTAGGTCAAAGCCCCATGATCCAATCACTGCCAGAAAGCTCTGCCTGTGAGCATCACTGCTTTTGGAACGAAGGTCTTAGCTGGTTAGCCTGGTGGGGAGGAGACTTCATATCCAAACCAAAGCAAAAAGAAATTACTATGAACAGAGACAGGTCATCACAGTAGATAACCTAAAAGAAACAAACTCTTAGAAATACACAACTTATCAAGACTGAACTGTGATCAAACGAGTATCTGGAGGTACCAAATGTTCATAAAAAGATTAAATCATGAGATTTCTGTCCGGTGCTCCAATGTGGGTCTCTGTCTCTGTCTCATTTCATCGCCTGATGAAGGTTAATATTCAGGAGGATGCCTATATGTTTTTCTTTGGGTTCTCCTTATTTAGCTTCTCTAGGATCACTAATTAGAGACCCACATTGGAGCACCAGACAGAAATCTCAAGGTCCAAATCAGGAGCAGAAGGAGAGAGAACACGAGCAAGGAACTCAGGACCGGGAGGGGTGCACCCACACACTGAGACAATGGGGATGTTCTATCGGGAACTCACCAAGGCCAGCTGGCCTGGATCTGAAAAAGCCGGGGATAAAACCCGTCTTGCTGAACTTATCAGACTATGAGGACTACTGAGAACTCAAGAACAATGGCAATGGGTTTTTGATCCTACTGCACGTACTGGCTTTGGGGGAGCCTAGGCAGTTTGGATGCTCACCTTATTAGACCTGGATGGAGGTGGGTGGTCCTTAGACTTCCCACAGGATAGAAAACCCTGATTGCCCTTTGGGCTGACGAGGGAGGGGGGCTTGATTAGGGGAGGGGGAGGGAAATGGGAGGTGGTGGCGGGGAAGAGACAGAAATCTTTAATAAATAAATAAATTTAAAAAAAAGATTAGATCAGAGAACAAAGGCAAATTCTCCTAAGAAATCTTGAGTAAAACCTACAAATCTAGAGCTGAGGAGATGGCTCGGTCAGTAAACAACACATGAGCACAAGGTCAAACTAAGTTTGACCCCAGGACCTCAGAAAAAGCCAGATGTGCAAGTCCACACTTTGTAATTCTCATATAGGCAGGAGGAAACAGAAGGATCCCTGAGGCTTGCTGGCCAGTTGGCCTACCCAAATTATCAAATTTCAGGTCCCAGTGAGAGACCTTATCTCCAAATATAAGGCAGACAGCGCCCAGGGAACCCTGGTCTCCACAGATAGGAGCCCACACATGTGCTCACACTCATGAAAACACTCACATGTACACCACACGTGCATGCACAATACAAAGCTAAGGTCATCACACTCCTTGGTTTTAAAATATATTAAAAATCTATAAAAAGTATGGTATTATCACCTACATTCACTTACACCCACACTCATTCGTATTCCCATAAACATGAAAATATGCAAAGTAGCTACACTACACACACACACCACCAACCAAAACACAAGATACAAATAAAACCCACAGTTAAACAGCATGTGAAATAGTAGATAACATTTATTAATTAAGATCAAAAAAATTAAGATAGTAATTAAATTAAATTCAGAAACACACACACACTTGATAGCCAACAAGCCCCACCCAGTGGTATCTGTCATAGGGACAGACGCTGTCAGACGGACCAGTATCACTGTGATGTGGCTCTGTGGAGACAGCGCATGGATTTCAACAGGGTACTGCTTCAGTCTACCATGGGATGTCCAAGCACAGACTAGTAAACAGATGCAGTGAATCAGAGCAAGACAGTCGTCCTAGAATGGCTTCAGGGAAATCATTTAAAAGGCGTATTTATTTTTACTATGCCTGCATGTCTATCTGTGCGCTCTGTGTGTGCAAACACCTGCAGGATCCAGACGAGGGCATCAGAGCCCCACAACTGGAGTTGTAAGAGGCTGGGAACCAAACCTGGGTCCTCTAAAAGAGCATCAGATGCCCTTAACTGCTAGGCAATCTCTCCTGCTATGCATTTTGTTTTACATAAGATATGTAAGATGCAAAAAAATGTGAACATCCTATCCTATAAAACACTGGCAAGCACTATTTTAAATATTCATCATATTCCTATGCATATGTATGGATGGACAGATAAATATGTATGTACTTGTACCGAGACATAAACATATATGTGCCATAGGACCTCAGGGGGAAATATATGCTCAAATATTCAAACAGATTATTGGGAGTGGGGTGGTTAGTGGTTGAGAAAACAAGAAAAACATAAAAATGAAAACAAAAGCTCACCTTTCAGGTTTGGGATGATGGGTTTGTTCTTCTCAATGGCAACTGTGTGGTACAGTGTTTTGGGAAAATTATCCGGGATACAGTTTATCGTCGCAGCCAAACTGATGAAGAAATGGGCCCTGGCAAAATTAAATTTGTTTAAGAGGTGTTGCTGGCCAAGAGTAACCAGGGTGAGAGGCAAGCCTCTGTTGATCAAATCTTCCAGCGCCTACAAGTGAGAAGGGGAAAGGGTCGGGTTAAACATCCTCTCACATCTTAGTGTCACCCCCGTTTTGTCTTTCTGATTGGGTGTCAGGTGAAGGATTAGACACAATATTTCCATAAATGGCAGAACCACTCCAGTTCCTCAACTCACACCCTGCCCTGCCACGTAATGGGAGAGCAAACCTGGGGTTGGAGTGAGGGAACAGACTTCTTACCAGCTCAGGGAGAATGAAGAGTTTGACAGTTACTGTGAGCACAGACTGGACAAGAAGAGGAAAACAGTCTCCCTACCCAGCTTAGCATCCATGGTCGACCACACCCTTTTCCAGCCCCTCTCCATCTCATTCCTGCCTCCTTTGTAACTAGGACTCTAAAGTTCCCTTGATGGCCTGCAGTGGAAGGGGGCAGATGAAAATCGCATTGACAGAGAATGGTCCTTGGGCAGCAATCAGGCTGCCTGTCTACTCGTGATCCACTGAGACATTCCACACCCTCTTCTAAATTCTAATCACCTTCTCCTTCTCCCCATCTACAGAGGGTTGAAAATGTGTCTGTTTCATTGACTGGCTGACGTTTGTTTGACAGACACCAAAATAAAACCTGGCACACAGCAAACTCCACAGATGAAAAAGATCTCTTTAAAACTGGAGGCAAGTGAGGTAAGGTTCTGGGAGTAAAGGTGGAGGCTACCAATCCTGGGGACCCCCAGAGCCTACAGAGTAATGAAAACCAACTCCTGGAAGCTGTCTTCTGGCCCCCATGGGCACGCTGTGGCATGTGCCCGCCTACCCAAATAAATAACAGAACGTAAAACGTGGAAGTCAAGCAAAACCTAGGTGGATCCGACCACACTTTGGCTTGGAGCTCTCAAACAGCCCCATTTCACTCAGATAAGAGCCCATGCTACCATGTCCCTGCAAGGCTTTTCAGTTTGGCCTCTCTGAGCCTATGTGCTCCCCCTCACCATCCATACAACTCTCTCCACACTAGCCAGGATAGCTATCACCAATCCAAGCAAGTTTTCTTTAAGACCTCTGCACTTGTCCCTGTTTCTAGATTATTCCTTTGTGAAGTTGCACGAGTCCCATCTATCTTTAAGTAAAGAGGCACTTGCTCACCCCAAGTGATTTTACACTTACTACAGTGCTTCCAATTCCTTTTGCACACCCAAGGAAGGCTGGGTCTGTCCCAATACACAGGGTGAGCTACTTCTTTGTGTTTATGGCATTTATTTTTGCTAGCCTTGCCCATTAAAATGTAAGCTCTATAAGGACTTGGTGTCGGCCTATGATGCTCCAGGACTGTGATTGCTGGCCATAGAACAGTACCTTGGATGTAACAGACAGTCGTTTTTGAGCTGATATAGAAAGAAGATGCTGGGACTATCTACCTAGTCTAGAAAAGAGAGAAACTACTTGCCTTACATAAACAAGAAAAACAATTTCCCATCATTTGGAAGAATTGGGAGCAACAGTGACAGGCGTTGGTAGGTTGGGTTGCCTGGTCTCTTTTCCTCCTTTTTTAATTTATTCTATGGATTGAAAGCATTGTGTATGGGAGAGCAGACGTAGAACACCCACTGGGCCAGAGGTGCAGACCAAGCGTGGCACCAGGACCATCATTATTGCTTCCTATCCAGAGAAGAAACTACAGACTGGCCGGGGGTAAGGAGAGAGAGGCCATTTCTCTTTTCTTTCCTCCTCAGCAAACTGATTTAATGAGCCTTGACAATTACACACAAACACTTGAGGATCAAAGGAAGATTAATTAGTAATGCTATTTAACACTCCTCTCTCTCCCTCTATACAGAAAATGCAAAGTGTAATCTGAAGAGTCTTAAGCAGGCCAACAGTACTGTTTTAATTAATTAGCTAATAGAAATTGGGTTTCCATTATGCTGTCAGTCTCTTTTTGAGTAAAAAGAAATGATCAGACAGACACTCTTTTCAGACCAAACAGTGCTCCGCTGGAAATGTGTTCTTAGGGTAGCCTGGCATTTGTGACAGGACAGAGAGAAATATTCCCCAGCTCCCCAAGGTCTGGGAATACCTAAACATGGATATGAATCTTTATCTTCCTAATACCAGTTCTTTCATTTCAGACAGTTTGCTTATGAATTAAAATAAAATCTTAGGGAAAAATATTGAATGATATGAAGCATAATTCAAAGTGGACTTTGTGGAATAAAATGCACAACAATAGGAAAGTAAGAAGGTTACATTTAACAAAGAGAAGCTCTATGCTTTATCAAAATTAAGGAAAAATAAAACAGGTTTGAGGAAAATGACTTTTGAGTTACTTAAAAATCAATAAAATAAAATAAATGAGCTACTTTCGATGCTATGACAAAATGCCTGAAGAGGCAGCTTCACAAAGGAAGGGTTTATCCCACCCCACAACAGGGAAAGTGCTGCAGGAGGGGCAGGAGGCATCCCCAGTCAGGAAGCAGAGACTTGAATGCTGGGATTCAGCTGGCTCCCCCCTCCTTTTTTTTAAATATACAAAGCCAGTGCCAGCTGGACAATATTCAGCATGCTGCCTGCTCCCTTGGGCCCCAGTTACAACAGACTGTGTGCACTGGGGGCTGATCCTGAGGAAACGCTTTCCTAGGTGAATGCGCAGGGCTGGCGGCCTCTTGGTAGCACTGTGAGGTAAGCTCTTCCCTCACAACTTTCCTTCTCTGCTTTGGTTGGCAGGCTCTTGCCTTCAGGGCTTTTCTGAGTTCCCATCCTATAGCACAAGGTATCCCTTTAGTGTGCTAATGTCTCCAACCATGATGCTGTTCTGTCTACAACAATCATTGGATGCTCACCCTCCATTCTGTGACACACTTTATCTTCGCACCTTTCTGTTCCATTCGCTACCCAGACTCTTTGCAAATCTAAGGAAAAGCAGTCAGCTTTACCCTTGCCACAACACAAGGCCAGCCTGTCTTGAATATTCCTCTGCCAAATAAAGTCTTGCATTGCTTTTGAGTTCAGATCAATCAAGTTGTTAGGGCACGGGCAGAACACAATCAGATTCTTTGCCAGAAGGTAACATGAATGGCCTCTAATCTATTTCCCAGTAGAGTCTGCGGTCCCCTCTGAAATGGATGGCATGAGCCCACAAATTTTTGGCTTTCTGCTTTTTCCAAAATTCCCATTAGAATGGATCACTAAACTCTATACACAATATTCTAGGGCTTTTCTAACCTGAAACTTCAATCTCTACTACCTTGGTCCTTCAAACGGCTTCCAATGGCCTAAGCACCATGTGGTTGGGCTTTAGCCGCACTGACCCCACTTCTGGGACAATTTTTTTGTATTAGCTACTTTTCTCGTGGCTGTGGCAAAATACCTTGGAAAAGCAAATTAAGAAGAGTCTATTTGAGCCACAGTTTAAGGGTACGGTCCATCATATCAAGGAGGGAACGGCAGTAGAGGATGGCTCATCACACTACATCTACGGCACGAAGAAGCAGAGAGACCAACACCGATGTGGGGCATTTATATCAATACTTGTTCTTTTTCATTCAGTCCAAGGGCCGGGGCCATGGGGTGATGCTGATCACATTCAGAGTGGGTCTTCCCTCTGTAGTTAAGCCTTTCTGGAAAGAGCCTGTTAGACACACCCAAAGGGCTGCTTCCACGGGGATTCTAAATCCAGTCTTGTTGACAAGGAACATTAATCACCACAGCTTAATCAAAGACAATGCTGTTTGATACCACCAATCAATCGATCGATCAATCAACCCTCCATACATCTATCTGTCCTCATTAACCACTCCTAGATGACTAGACTCGTGTCTTCTCTGTCACCAGCACCTCCCTAACCCTTGTGACAATGGTTGTCCTCAAATGCCTTCTATGTGAACACTTTAAGGTACTAATCACATCATTATGTTTTTATTAACTTGTTTTTTAAAATATTTAAATGTCACTAGGAAATCAAATGCTTAAACACCAATTGTTTGATGGTTGACAGGTGTTAATAGACAATTTCATCCTCATTATGCAAAAAAAATTTGGGGAAATCAGAGGAGCTGCATATGAAAATGTTACAAAATGACATCCCCTGCAATTGGCGCATAGTTGTGGAACTGGGAAGAAAGGATACAAGTAACAGCCATATTGAACACGTGGGCTGCTCCAAACATGTGGCTGCTCCAGAAAAAGTCTTTTAGTTACAGTGGGAGTCAGCTGGTACCGTTTAGGTAACTGAGACATTTGCATAGGAAAGCCAGAGATACACGGTTGGACAAGCCAACTGAACACACTTGGTTCTAGAAGTCCGGGCAGCCACCGCTAGTTACTGGCCTGGACATAAAATTAGTTTGATACAATTCTAACTTTAGCCTCAGAATTTTGTGATCAAAACCCTATTATCAGATGTTAAAAAGAGGAAGATTGGGAGTTCAAGGATATCCTTGGCTACCCAGTGAGATTAAGGGCAGCCTGGGCTATATGAGATCTTGTCAGCAACAGATAGGAGGGAGGGAGGAGAAACTACATGTAGAGCAGGATTTCAAAATCAGAAACTGTACTTGCCAAATAGGGTGAAATGACTCAGAACACTTCCACATTAAATATTGTTATTACCTGTAGGTTGTCTTTATTGGTAAGAGGTTTTCCAGAGTCAAATGATGGAGTTACCTGTCAAAAATACAAAATATTAATAGCAGAACCCACACTTATTTGAGCATTCTTTTAAATGGAACTATTAATGTATCCTAAAATCATTTAAGAACCATTTTGTTGTCAAAGTAATACATGATCTTGTCAGAAATATTAGTATAAGAAAAACTAAAAATTGTATATAAGTCAACTTCTCCTAGGCAGTAAGCATCAGTATTCTGTCTTTCCTGTCCTTCTCTTGCTGATTATTTTGAAAATTATATACTCACTTCTATTCCGTTTTCACCAACAATTGCCTACTTTTATTCCTACAAAACTGGGTTACTTGCAAACCTCAGTCTGGAAGGTATCAATGAATATAGCATAAGAACTAAATGTCTTTGCCATCGCGTGTTACGTAGTGGGACCATTCTCCAGCCTTACATCACCAACCAGCCTTAGGTCAAATATTACTGGTGGACGTTTTGTCTACATTTTGATTATTGCCTTTGGACTGAATCTAAGAAAGAGTTCTGGGTCAGAAGCCAAGGATATCTTGAGGAAATGGAAGCGGCTGCGCTCAGTTTCCAAGAGCCCATTCGTATCACGTGACCACGCTTCCCACAGTCTCAAGCAATACTCTCCCTTTTAAAACTGTGCCGGAAAAAAAGAAAAAAGAAAAAAAAAAGAACTGTGTCGTGTTGAGGAGAACTTGAACACTTATTTAGAAGGACTATAGTTCTCTTCCTTTCTTTATGGGAATCTCGTGTTTGTGGTTGGCTCTAATTGTTCTGGCTCAAGGGAAACAGTTATTCTCACAGGAAAATGTAGTATACTGGAGCAGAACGCAACTCTTTTCACTCTCACCATCCTTTGGAAAGACAGACCTTCATAGGAGACAAAACTGATTTGCCTCTCCTACCTCCACAGTCTTCAGGAAGTATGCTACAGCTTCCAGGGATAGAGAAGCCAGAAGCCACTTATATGCTGGTGGTGTCCTAACTCAAGATCCCATATCTCTTGGCCTGAGGACATTCCGTGGCCCTAAGGACATTCAGAAGAGCTCAGCGACTCAGGGCATTCATGTCCCACCAGTCCCAGGAGTCTGGGGCAGTGATAATTTCACTAATGTTCTTGGACCGTTTTTTTCTCCTATTGCTGTGGGTACCTTCTTACTCAGCATACATTCTGAAATCCCCTCTCAAACACACTGCTCACCCCCAAATCCTTCTTTCTAGATGCTCAAGCCGAACTATCTTAGCTTTCATTGCCAACCAGCATGGGTACTGCAGAATTCCCCTCTGAAGTACTCCTTATTATCTAGGGACAATGAAAAACTAATGACCCAAAAAAGGGAGCTCTTCTTTGATATAAATGACGGACTTCATAATAGGACTTTCTTTAGTCACAAGAGGGGAATCTTGATACAAACATATGGTAAAATATAGAACTTTTTAAAGCGCTCTGAAGAGTCGAACTGTAATCTATAAGTTTTTTTTCAGCTACTTCCTTTGCAAGTGAAACCAAATTCATTAAACCCTTCTTTAAATAACTGGCCCGCAGCCTAATAACATTGGCACCTATTTTAATTATAAACCCTGAAAGCATTTTCTCTTTTAATTACACTTTTAAATCCCCAATTGAAGGTGGAAAGCTGAAAATTAACTCTGAGAATACAAAATCTGAAGTCAGACTCTACTGGGAGATGATTCACCTACACATTTATCTTATAAAAGTTCCTGGAGAAAAATGAAGTTTGCCACACTCATGTCAAAAAATGGTTCCTGAATTCTTCGCTGTTGTCTGTTTTCTTGACAGAAATGGCCATTGAAAACTTGTTTCTCAGCCCATGCGCATGGTTTCTCTGTCCATCTTTGCTTCCAGGACTGTACACTTAGATGGCCCTAAATTCATTTCCTTCAGCTCCTGTTTTCCATTGTCTGCCTCAGTTCCAGGATTATTTCAAGACAGCATCCACTAATCCTGTATCTTAGGGTTTTAGTTGCTACAGCTGTGATGAGACACCATGACCAAAAGCAACTTGGGGAAGAAAGGGTTGGTTTGGCCTCATTTCTACATCACTGTTGATCAACAAAGGAAGTCAGGACAGGAACTCAAACAGGGCAGGAATCTGGAGGTAGGAGCTGATACAGAAGCCATGGAGGAGTGCTGCTTCCTGAGTGCTCCCCTCCTCCTCTCTCCTACAACCTCACTGGGCCTACCTGGTCCTCCCCAATGATATCTCACAAGCATCTTCCCTAAGGCCTTTGTCATACAATGATTTGTGCCTGGAAGGTCATCTCCCAGATCCCTGCTTGGGTCACATCCTTCACAAGTTGCTGCTGAGAAAAACCTTCCCAGTAATGACAGCTTTCACTCCATGCCCAGAACACTGCCTGGGTTCAGTAAGCACTCAACAAACAGTCTGAATCTATTGAACTATAATTTTAATACCGAAGAACAGGTTGTTTATAATAAGAAAATACTGTTGACTGGGAGGCAAGCAAGAAAATAGTACTAACTTCATCCAGACAAGAGGATAAATTCATTTACATCACAGGAGAGGGATGAAGAACCAAATTACTTATTTCCTGATAGGTACTGTGCTGGGTAATTTATTTCAGTTTGCCACAAGCTTGGGTCATCGAAGAGAAGGGATCCTCAGTTGAGAAAATGCCTCCAAAAGTTGAGCTGTGGGTAAACCTGTACAACATTTCCTTAGTTACTGATTGACGTGGGAGGGCCCAGCCCTTTGTGGGTGGTGCCACCCCTGAATTAGTGGTCCTGGGTTCTATAAGAAAGCCATGAAGAGCAAGCCAGTAAACAGCACGCCTCCATGGCCTCTGCATCAGCTCCTGCCTTAAGGCTCCTGTCTTGTTTGAGTTCCTGTCCTGCTTTTCTTCAGTGACTAACTATGATGTGGTAGAGTTAGGCAAATGAACCCTTTCCTCCCCAAGTTGCTTTTGGTCAAGGTGTTTCATCACAGCAATAGTAACCCTAACTAGGAGAGGTAATTCATAGACAGATAGGCAGGTATATACATCTACAGATACACCATATACACCAAACACTATATACAATGTATACATTGTAAGTATATATACAGATATGCGTATATACATATATGTTCATATTGTTTAATGACAATCCCTAGTAAGATGTTCTATATATAACTTCATAGTTTCATGAAGCTCAGGATGGCTTCACACTTGCTAAGGACGACCTTAAATGTACAGGGATTATAGGTATGTACAGCCAGACTCAGTTTTTATTTTGTCATTTAAAAAAAAAACCCACAACTTCATAGTGGGACATTGGACCCAGAGCTTTATGTATCCTGGGCAATCAACTGAACTCTCTCCCCAGTCCCACAATCATCCTTGTGTTTCCAGTGTTCCAGATCCACCCCACATCCTCACATGTGCTAAAAGAGCTGTTCTGCTATAGTGCTACGTCCCATCCTCTATTATAATAAATAACAGCACTGTAGCAGTTGCATGGAACATGAGCAGATGCAACACATACATGTGATGCCCGCTCACATGGGTGATTCTCAAGACTTCAGTTCATTTTGTTGATTCTTTCAGGCCCTCTAAATTTGAATCCAGCTTCTTCCTACATGTGTCTGTCTGTCTCATGCTCACACATACCACCTCCCCTGGAGAGTGACCTGCTATTTCCGTGTGTGTGTGTGTGTGTGTGTGTGTGTGTGTGATGGTGTGTGTGTGTGATGGTGTGTGCACACGTGTGCAGCATGTGTCTGTATGTGCACATGTGGAGGCCAGATCAGGATGCCAAGCATCTTCCTCTACTGTGTATTTCTTTGAGACAGGGCCTCTTACCAACTTAGAGGACTTCCGGTGGGCTGGCTGGCTAACGTGCTCTTGGGGTCCAAGGCTGGGGATACAGGCATGTGCAGCCATGCCCAGGGTTTTATGGTGGTATGGTGATTTGAACTCTGGGCCTCATGATTGCTGAGCAAGTGCTCTCCCCCACCAAACCATCTTCCAAGCTCCTCAGTAGATTTCTTAATTTTTTAATGTATGAACTGATTAAAAATATTTTTTTCATATACTATATTCTGAACACGATTTTCCTTCCTCCATCTCCTCCTAAATTGTTCCTGCCTCCCTATCCAACCAATTCCTTGCTCCCCTCCCCCCACTTTAGAAGACAAACTTGCTTTATTGCTAGTTTTCTGTTTTAAATGTATATGCACAAGTGATGAAATTGCTACTTATAATGAAATCAAAATTCTAATCAGCATCTGCCTAAAGCAAGGTCACCCAGTGAGTCCCGGATCACCAGGAAAACCAAAGCAGAAGGAAATAAGAACTCACTCGGATTTAATTTATGTTCTCGCTGTGAACTCAGTACTCGTCTTCAAGGATGCTTCAATTAGCCAGTTTACAAATACAAATTAAGCAACCCAGGTAAAACTATCTTCTAAAATCAAAATAGATTATGCAAAATGGAGACTGTTCTTCTCTCAGAGAAATCACAGAACACCGAAAGGAGAGAGAGAGCATGGGGGCTGTGCCAGGCTGGCATTCACAAAGCCCTGGACTGCTTTCCCAGGTCCAAGAGGAAGAGGAAGACAAAGGGGAGAAGGAACAGGGGAGAAGGTATATACATTAAGGATATCCAAATAATATATATGTACAGGTCACCTTGATGAAAAACATTGAACAAACATGGTAAGATTAGACCTACAAATCTGGGCTAGGTAGGCAGATGTGTCTAAAGAGACCATTGAGCTACCTATAATAAAAAGCAACATGTGGTAGGCATGGGCCAGGATTCGACTGCAATAACCTTCTCCAGAACCGCAGGCCCTCCCCGCCCGGCCCCTTTCCACGCCAGATAAATGAAACTTGATTTTGCTGTAACTGACTTAGCAGCGTGGTCTGGAGCACTGGAGACTTGCGCACACACTTCTGTGGGAATGTTCCCTAGGCTTCCGGCATGCAGCCTCCAGAGATTTTAAATACATATCTATAGCTTGGAATCAGGTGGGGAGGTTACCTTGACTCTGGCTGCAGCTTTATAGCCAGCAGGGATGGCGCACGGCACGTTTTTTCCATGAAAAATCTGGGATAGCTCATAAAAGGCTTCAGAAAAGAAGCCTAAATCTATAAGGATTTCAGTCTATAAAAGAAAGAAAGAAGATTTGATATTAGTTTCTTTTGCTTAGAAATACAAATTCAAGGGAAAACGCATCAGGTTCTAAGATCCGAAATGCCCGCTTAATGATGGTAGTGTGTAACGAAGCAGTGTTCACTGATTAGTGGGTGAACACGAGGACTCACCAGCGTGCTTGTGAAAATGCCTGTCTCCAAGTGCAGTGGAGCACAAAGCTAACAAGAGCAGGGGGCATTCAGAACAGCAGACTCTTATCAGCTTCATCAGAGGCAGACACAAAAGTATAACAGCCATGGAGAAGTTTTTAAAATTAACTCAACTTACCTCTTTGTTCCCATGGTTCCCATGGGAACCTGGGTAAAAAAACAAAGTAAGAATACTCCTGATGTTCTTGAACCCTCTGAGGGAAGTTAGACAAAAGCACAGTGTGTCAACACAGAGACAACTAATAATTTTCTTATCTTTTAATTAAGTGTCAACTTTAAAGGCATATGATTAACAATTTTTGCTGGCTGATAGCTATACATTCCACAGGGTTTGTTTTGAATACAATCCAATTGAACTAAATCAGGAAATTAAAGGAAGGGAAGTTAACATTCAACATGTTTACTGAATCTCGTGGACAGCAAGCCACTTGAAGGTTAGAGTCCCCTGAGACTCGTAATTAACCAAATGTAAGAGACATGTGCAGGTCTCGCATCGTAAGAGATGGCTCAGAAGGCTGGTGGTGGTGGCGCACACCTTTAATCCCAGCACTTGGGAGACAAAGACAGGCGGGTCTCTGTGAGTTCGAGGCCATCCTGGTTTACAGAGTGAGTTCCAGTACAGTCAGAGCTACATAGAAACCCTGTCTCAAAAAACAAAAACAAAAAGAGAAGCGGGACTTAGAGGCATTGACAAAATCCTGCTTTCAACAGTGGGGTGTCGGAAAATTTCAGTGAGGAAGGATTGTTCAAGAGAAGAGCTGGAAATCATGTAGAGGAGAGAGAGAAGGCATGCAGAGAGGACCCTGAGCACAAAGACCATGGGTTCTGTGTGGCTGGAGAGAGGGGAGGACAGTGGAGAGAGTCAGAACGTGGGCACAGATGGTGGCCAAACACAGAGGGCCTGTAGACCACAGGGAGCTCTCTTTTAACTCAGTGAACAAAAGTTACTAGATTGAAGACATGACAGTGAACACTTGAGATCCTAGTGCTTGAAAAACAAAGAGTTTCAAGCCAGTCCTCATCAGACTGAGACAAAGGAATGTGGGTGTATCTCAGAGTTCAGAAAGCTCTCGCTACCATATGCAGGGTCCCAGGTCCAACGTCAGCAGGGAAAATAAGTTGTGGAGACTTTGAACCAGAAAAGACCCTTACATGATTTATGCTTTGAAAATGTTCAGTGATTTTGTGGAGGGCAAGGGTACAAATGATAGACACAGAGAATAAAGCACAAAATTGAATGTATACACAACACACACACACACAGAAAAAAGACGAATCAATTTATCTTCAGCATGCCAATACACCAGAGTTTCTGTTCTCCTTTTCATCCTTGGTTTAGGAACTTCAAGAGTGGAAAAAACAAACAAACAAACAAAACTTTAAAGTAACAAAAAAGGCAAATTAGGGGAAATCGGTGGTAAAAATAACATGAAAATAAAACATAAAATCCCAGAAGGTTGTTTTTAATGGAAAAGAGAAAGTCTATTGCACTGTCTGTGTATTGCAGTTTTGCTCAAGAGATGGTAGTCTCTGTACCTGCCAAACCACCCCCACTGCCATCAAATATCAAAGCAAGCACTTCTGGAGCTAGATGAACGCTTCTGGACCCCAGGTAGCCATTACTTCCATTGACGCCTGGAGGAAGATCCCCCTGCAGACCTCTGTGTGCTCAGACACCGTACCAAAACATCAACCAAGGCTGCCTCTCACTCCATTTCATCCCATCACTCTAAGCAACGGCGACCTGCACTGTGGACACAGGCCAGAGGACAATGAGAACCAGCCATCAGCCAGACTTTCATGTGCCTTCTGAAGCAGCAGTACCCTTCCTGGGCATGTCTGAAATGTTGAGAATAAATCTTTAATGGGGTTAGCAGGTCTACAGTGAAGCAGGACATCTGGTCGTGAACAGGACTTACTGTGTTCTCTGGAAGACTCTACTGGAATCTACTGGATCTATCATGAACTGGTTTGTCAGAGAGCATCACTGCTTGGTGTTTCCCAACCCTGGTGTTTCTCTTTCACTTACTAACCCGTTACTTCAGGAAGGTCACACTAGTTCTGTTCACACAAACTGTCACTTTTTCCTCTGTGGAATCTATTTTTTTTCCTTGCATCTGTTAAGATCCCCAGAACCAGGTTTCAATCTTCCTATGCCAATAAGCTCTGCTGAGCAGTGTGATGATCTGCTGATATCATTCTCCTTACTCTCGTTCTATAATGAGTATCGCTCTTAACCAAAGCTCCAAATAGAGAACATAGTTCTTCACTGGCTTCAAAGATGCTCTATGGCAAAATCATGACCAAGGACCAAAGAGAAAATTCTGTCTTGCTTTAACTTGGTGAACTATGAGTTCATTGAGGTTATTTACAGACTCATGGGAGACTCAAAAGCAACTATACTGCCAGAAAGTACCCTGGGCAACCCATGGGCAGTTACACCACCAAAGAATCCATCAGCAGCATGGACAACTCACAAAAAGCTACTTTACCAAAGGGCCCCAACCCAGCCAATTGTTTATCTATAGTATTATCTGGAAGAGGGGGATGGTCTTGTGAGTCCGTGAGTCTCAAGCACCTCTGTATTCCTCCAGTGAGAATGTTAATAGGCCTGTTCGTGGTTCTTGAGGGTCTTCTGTTCTGATTCGAGCCAGCAAGGGTCATGGACAGCCTGGAGGAAACAGCTAGGCAGCATCGCTCTCTGGTTTTTCTACTGTTATCTTCTACCGTCTCCTGCTCAGAACTTCCATGCCAACAGCGCAAAACACTTCCGCCCCTTAAACAACTCCAAACTGCCTCGCCGCTATATCTCTTCAAGGATCTTCTCTTTCCCACTCATCTAGCTGTATAATTTCCAAAACTAAATTCTGCACATTGAGTGAAACCCTCACACCTCAAAGCCATCTGTTTCTTGTTCAAACTTTCGGGAACGATTCTCACCACACTCGCGTGCGGTAATTAAGGAACAGGTGCATATGTTACCAACATGTGCGTCCTCTCTTAGAGAGCGTCCTATCTCTCTTCCCGGCTTCCGTGCCCTCATATCAAAGACTGTGGGTGACATGTCTTGGACTCAGGTTACTAAGTTGAGTCAAATAAGAGGTATCCAGTAAATCTTTTCAAAATATTATTTATTTATTTGGGGGGGCTACATGGATGAAAGTCAGGACAACTTGTGGGACTCCATTTTCTCTACTATGTGGGCTCTCAGGGCTCACACTCTGGAAATGTGTGGCTGTGAACACACACAAAGACAGTGAGCACTTGACAGATGCCTACAAATTCAAAGTTCAATCTAAAAAATCAACCTATGAATATCAAACATGATAATACGGGGAATTAAAGGATGAATAAAATACAGAGCCTAGCCTCAAGAATATTGCAGTCTCAATGACAGAGGGAGGATGGGTTTTAAAATGTGTTATTGAACTTCAAAAGCAAGATAATCCAGGAGTCAGTAGTTCAGATGGAAAGCCAGACATTTTCAGGGTCCACATAAATATTTATGAAGTCCATAAAGATTTATTTAGAAATAGAAAACAAAGGACTATTCTCCAAGGCCCAAAAGGTCTAGACGGAGATACGGGTTACAGAGAAGTCCACTTTCTCCTCACTGGAAAAACAGGAAGGATTTGGAAGAAAAAAGTAGGGAGTTTCCAGGGAAAGGGGAAAGTGGTGAGCTGGAGCAATATCCCGAGTGCTGTGTGGAGCTGAGCTGTGTGGAGCTGAGCTAGAGCAATGGCCTAGAGATTCTTCTAGATCATCTCTTCCGACCACAAGACCTGGCATGCATCTCTTGTGCCATCTGCCTCTCTATGACGCCTTGAGGACAACAGTGATGGAGTATTTACAGCATGGATGACAACTGCAATGGCAAAAATCTGCTTTAAAACAATCATTTTATTATATTACGTGTGGTGTGTGTGTGGGGGGGGGGGTGTGGATGTGTGTGTGTGTGCGCGCACCACATGCATGCCTGAGGCAGCCAGAGAGGAAGATGCCAGATCTCTTGGGACTGGAGTTATTGACAGTAGTGAGCCACCACGTGGGTGCTGGGAACCAAACCCAAGTCCTTTGGAAGAGCAATCGGTGCTCACTCTATTTTAAATGCTTTTTCTTCACTTAAATCTCTCTGCTTTCACAGTGTTCATTAAAGAAAGCAATAGAAACAAAGGCCTTGATGAGTATGGTCTGTGCTCACATGTTAAGTGTGTGTGTGTGAAAGAAAGAGAGAGAAAGAAAGAGAGAGAGAAAGGGAGGGAGGGAGGGAGGGAGGGAGGGAGAGAGAGAGAGAGAGAAGGAGGGAGGGAGGGAGGGAAAGGTTGCATTCCACATTAACGCTCAGGAGGTACAGAATAAGGAACACTGCAGGATATCAAAATGATTTAAATGGTTCGGGTACAGAAAAAAAATTACCCAAGGGGCAAACACCCAACATGGGCAACTGGGGAAGAAGGCGAGGACCTCCAAGATCCTTAGGGTCCCCATGCTATGTGGAGGTCAGGCTGAGAGCGCCTGAGTCTCTAAAGCACAGAAAACAGCTGAGGCCCCGGGTTAAGGACGTGACTCTCTGCTCTTGTTAAATCGATTACCAGAACAAAGAAACATTGTATACCATGAAGTACACAGCAAGCCCCTAGGAATCGAGTTTCAGAAACTAAAACACTGCTCAATGCCAGGAAGCCAGTCTCTTAGTAGGGAATTCCATGCTGCCTGGTGCTGGATAAGTCTTGTTCCCAAGTGTAGCTGTTCCTTCTTTGCTGTGGCCCAAGCACAACACTATATAAAGAAGAGGTTCTCAACCTGTGGGTTGCTCCCCTCTAGAAATTGAACGAATCTTTCACAAGGGTCACCTAAGACCATTGGAAAACACATTGAAATTCATAACAGTAGTAAAATTACAGTTATGAAGTAGCAACCAAATAATTTTATGGTTGGGGGATCACCACAGCATGGGAAACTGTTTTAAAGGGTCATAGCATCAGGAAAGTTGAGAATCACTGCACTAAAGCTTCATGGACCATCCCTTATACTGTATTACATTGGTGGGTGCTATGCTTACGGCATTTCTTGCTGAGACGACCAAATAACTGACAGGAAACAACGTACGTGGGAAGGGATGACTCTGACTCGAGTTTGAGAGGACACAGTCCATCATGTCAGAGAGGATGCACGGGTAGACGGTTCCATGCGGCAGGGCTGTGAGCAGGTCACTGGGTGCGGGTGCTGGGTGCAGGTGCTGGGTGTGGGTGTTGGGTGAGGGTGCTGGGTGCAGGTGCTGGGTGAGGGTGCTGGGTGCAGGTGCTGGGTGTGGGTGCTGGGTGAGAGTGCTGGGTATGGGTGCTGGGTGATACGTGCTGGGTATGGGTGCTGGGTGAGGGTGCTGGGTGCGGGGCTGGGTGCAGGTGCTGGGTATGGGTGCTGGATGCGGGTGCTGGGTGCAGGTGCTGGGTATGGGTGCTGGGTGCAGGTGCTGGTTATGGGTGCTGGGTGCAGGTGCTGACTGAAGAGCAGACATATTAGGTGGGAGCCAGGGCATGCTGTAAGGCCCACTCCCACAGGCCTACTGCCTCTGCCTCACATCCTAAAGGTTTCACAAGCTCCCAAACCATCACCACCAGCTGTAGGCTCTCTTCAAACACAAGGACCTGGGGACATTCAGCAGTCAACCTGTGGCTAGTGCATTACTTTTAAAAGATTTCTTAAATATTTAAAAATTTTATCTGGTGTGTGTGTGTGTGTATGCACGCATGTGCGTGTGCATGTGTGTGTGCGTGCCTATATGAGTTTGTGTACAGCACATGCATCCAGGAGAACACAGAAGCCAGAAGAGGTGGTTGGCTCTCCTAGAGCTGGAGTTACAGATGCATGTAAGCTGTCATGTAGGTTCTGAGAACTAAGCCTGCATCCCCTGAGAGATCAGAAAGCGCTCTGAGCCACTGAATCAACTCCATTCCTGTGTATGTTTTAATTTATAAATATGTATCTATGTATGGAGGCCAGAAGAGGACATCATCGACCCTCCGAGGCTGGAGCTACACAGGGGCCTGTGAGCTGCCCAAAGTGGCGGGGGGGGTGGGGTGGGGAAATGCACTTAGGTTCTCTGGGAGAGCTGTCTGTGTGATGCGGGGTCATCTTCCTGGGCCCAAACTGCACTATTTTTATATCAGTATACTGCCATGTCATTAACAGCTTATTTGTAAGAACTAGAATCACGTTCATGCAGTGTCCTTAAAAGAGAAAGAATGTCACAGGTATTAACAGCCTGCAGCATACCTTGAGGATTCTTGCTTCTAGATTTCTGACGATGTCTTGGCAAATTACAGTCACAAAATATTGGTACAATGCAAGGAGAGGCAGAACCTACCAGGAGAAAAGAGACATTCTCTAAGATATCACTTATCAGCGTAATAGACTGGTAATCAAATTTTGTCAAACATTAACTGTAGGATACATTACACAAAGTATCACATTTCTACATTAGCAGAATAAACCACTTTGAACAAAGGACATGGTCTACCCAGTCATATCAGCTACCTTTCTTATTAGCGTCCTAAAATTTCTGGGGAAAGCAACTGAAGAGAGGACAGGCTCATCATAGCCGAGGAAACTGGGCATCCTGGAGGGGAAGGCATGGTAGCAGGAGCAGGAGGCAGTGGGTCCACCCTGCAGCCTCAGTCATGATGCAGAGAGATAAATGCTGATGCTCACTCGGCCCATTCTTTTTATTTATTTAGTTGCCTTTGTCCATGGAATGGTACTACCCCTATTTAAGGTGAGTGTCTCTATTTCAATCATTCTCATCTAGAAAGTCCCTCACAGATATACCTAGAAGTTTGCTTACATGGTGATTCCCGATCCCATCAAGTTGGCCATCAATATTAGCCATGGCGTTAGCTTCCTAATTTTACTGGTCCTTGTACATGCTATCAGAAACTTAGACTTCCGAGATCATGCCATTCGTTACCCCAAAGCAAGGGGTCACATCTCTAAGTACACAGAAGTTTGAGTCCAATTAACTATCTCCTTAAAAGGTAATAACAACCTACATGTGTGAGGACTATCTGAAATATCCCAGCAAACATGCTATCAAAAACTGCAGAGCTTCCGGTCAAAGGACTTGTGTTCATGCCTTCTAACTAGCTCCGAGTCATTTGCATCAGCATCACCGGCAAGGTCTTCAGTTGGGATCTTTCTCTGGCAACGTACAGCGGGCCTCATATGTTAGATGGGACACTGCTGAATGAGAACGAAATCCTGACTACTCTCAGCCTTTAGAGAGCACGGAGTCTACTGCATAAACCCAGGCTCTCTCCTCTCATTGTATTGTTCTTGTCCTAGAGTTAAAGCCATAGCCCACTGATTCTTGAAGTCTTGTGGATATGTGAGTGGCCATAGGCTACCAGCATACCTCTTGACTGTGCCACTACCCATCAAAGCAGGGGATGGCTTTGCCTAGATAATGGAACAGCTCCAGATCACAATGCAAACCAGAAGTATATTCCTGCATGTGCGCCTTGCATGCCAAAGGGTGAGATCCCATGATTATTTTACCTTCTCTAGACTGAGGATAGAACCAAGGGCCTTGTTCATTTTAGGCAAGAACCCCACCACTGCACTCTATCTCCTGATGTCTCTGACTTTCACTGTTTATTTTGAGATGTGTCTTCCTAAGCTGGTTAGTGTCTAACTTGTCAACTAGCTGAGGCAGGTCTTGAACTTCTGACCCTCCGGTCTTAGCCTCCTGAGTAGCTGGGATTATAGGCCTGAGCCAGCAGATCCAGATGAGTCAAATTACTGTCTCAGAGCAAATTTTGTATTTTGTATATGTCTCATTTGCCATGAGGCTTCTTCTTGAGGTTAATGTAACACAAAACAGAAATTGCTTGGTGCTTCTGTCTGGTTGGGGGACATGTAACAGCAGGTCAGTTAGAAGCTCCAACCAGCAATCACTTTTGCAAAAGATTGAAATTGGTTTTAAATGACTTTGAACATAATACACTTTTCTACCATTATGCACTGCAAATGTCAAACAAAACCTTTCCAGCAATTAATGCAGCACAAAACACCAAGAGCAATTACCTTTGAGATTTAGTTTCTTTTTTTTTTAATGAGAAATAAAAACACACTATTTTATTGCTGCAGTTGCTCAATTATTCAGGAAAAAAATCTCAATTTCTGAGGCTTTGAGAGGAAAAAGTCTCATTTCTTTTTGAGCACAGTGATACGTATTATATATGATTATGGGGAGGCAGCTAGGGGTTCCCCATGGGAGGGAAGCAGATCCCAATCCAGAAGTGAACTGCACTACGGGGGACCGGGTATTATTTGATTAGTTTTTTTTTTAGTAAACAATTCCTTGCCAAATCTTCCCAGTGTTGAAAGCACTTATCACCCTCTAAATTTTACAACACAGTTTTATAATTTCCCAACTTATATCCAAGGCAATAAATATTTTTAATATAGGAAGAGACTTGAGTTCATAAAAAACAAGGATACCATGAGAATAGAAAAAAAAAAGTTGTTGAAAAGGTAAAAGAAGCAGAAAGGGAGAAGGAATTTCTACCAAAAGCAAATGTGAGAGGGAGGAGTAGAGACTTAAAAAAGAGACAGGTGAGCACACAAAGAAGAGATGAGGCAGGGAAAACAGAAAAGGCCAGGGTCGAGGCCACAGTCGTCTCTTTTTAAGTGCATTCAACTTTGAATTTGTGATAGCCGCTTTGATTTCTTTCCCACAGAGGGGGAAGATGGCCTGTATTCAGGCTTTGGGACTCTGGAAACGGTGAGGAATAACTGCCTTTTATCTCACAGTTGGGGTTTGCTGCTCTTGGATGCATCTATGACAGAGAAGAGAGGACGCGATTGAGGATAAACTCGGGACATTGACAGGAATTGTGCCTTAACTCTGTGAGTCTTAAACGCCCTCTATTCCTGCTCGACATTAACAATGCCGTCTAGTCTAGCTCACCAAAGGCCTCGAGGGAAAGAAGAGTGAAGGAAGAGCATGCAGAAGATGACCAACGTCAAATAGACAGGGAATGCAAATAGAAACGTCAGAGAGAGACCACGGAGTGATACGGTTTTAGACATAGGAGGAACAGCCCTTTGCGGCAGAACTAACCGGCCGCGCAAGAGCGAGACTTGGAAAGTAACGGTAGGTTAGGAAATATATCAGAGCGGATTAAGAGGCTTTGAACGTGGAGTAGGACGCAGGTGAGGCAAAGCCAAAGGGGGGCGGCTCGGGGGAAAAGGGTTTAAAGCTGGTAGGGAGAAAAGATGAAACATCCATCAGAAAACATGATACTTGGTAAACGAATTTAAAAAGTAATAATAAATGATTTTTAATGGAGGTAGCCTATGTGGGAAGATAAAGCTGCTCCAGAAGCCGTAGGTTTTAAATGACAGCCCCAGGGCAGGGGAAGGCTACCCGCCCCCAGGAGTCTACAGAGGGCTCCCCATGGCTCCAAAAACAATACAAGCAGTTTTCATTGCAGTTGGTTGCCCACCAGAACTAGATAGGAGACTCTATTGATCAAGGTGCTATATGTTGAGGTCATAGCAACAGAGAAAGAAAGCTGGAAGTCAAATGGAAGCTTCCTCCCTACTGGCTAGCCCTTGTAGTAGCAGAAGTTGCTAGGCTAGAGGCTGGGCAAGAACTGTCAACAGTCTTACTCAGCTACAGACCGTGTGCTATACAACTGACTCCCCACAGAGGACATGTCTGGTGGCGCAGTAGTGGTAACTCTGTCATAGGGGTGCCAACCACTTTCTGCTCAGAACTGAGACCTGTTATGCAGGAAAGAATTCACATCTGATACTCAAAACCTGTTTTTTTGTTTTTTTGGTTTTTTTTTTTAAAAAGCCTGAGGCAGTAGAAGCATAGGCCTGAGTGGGGAAGCTTCTGTTGGGTTTGCTAAATGGACATGGTGTGCTCGTCTAATAAACTTCTAAATAATTATATTCATCCTCATACACTAGTGCTGCTGTCAGCTTCAGGTAGAGAAGCTAGCCTCCTTTTTGCGGGGAGCAAAGGTAACCACAGAGACTTGAGGAAAAGCAACAGCTGAATGCTTGGGCATAAATGGGACATCTGTCTCTAGCGGAGTTCAGAGAACATTACGGAGGAGACAGGAGAGAGAATATAAGAGTCACAGGACAGGGTAGAGTGTTGCAGAATGCTGCCTCCTAGGCATGGGGTGGCCATGGCACTCGACACGTAGTTGGCTACCTGTATAAACCTCACACGACTGAACCAAGCAACATCTTGTCACAACAAGGGAAGAGATTCATGAGGCCACACTTCTTCTGGAAGATTTAAAGGCACCTAGGAGTCTGTAATGAGGTCTGGTGCCCTCTTGAGGAAGAGACCAAGTCAGTCGTCCTCATCAGTTTAGACCATGAAACCCAATATGGACAAGTACAACAGAGCCACCACATAGGGGCTGCGCATGCCTGCGTCAGCATTGCCAGGGCATAAATTTCATTTTCATTCTTTTTTCAGGGTTGGCTAGGACAGAAGAGTCTCACATGGCCCTAAGGCTTGAATGATGGTTAGAGGCAGGGTGGGGACATTTCCTCCAGTCATGGAAACACTGCTAAGGGTCCCACATGCCTATAAATTACCTCACACCACTGTTCCCTGTAAGCCTCCCCAATAAAGCTCAGTGAGTCATCAAAAAGAAAACATGAAAATAGAAGGGGGACTAGCTAGAATGAGAGGATCCCAGAAATCCAGGTGTAAGAGGCACTGAAGGGGGGGGATGAAAATGAGCAAAATAAATTATAAAAAATTCATAACAAAAAACATTATTGAATATAAGGTAATTCAAGATACTAATAATAGAAAAAGAGATGTCGATTTCACAAATCACTCACGATGAGGTTGTACTTAGCGTAGTGCAGCTCACGGATGATGTAGTAGAGACTTGCAACAACACTGCAGATGTCAGCCCTGAATTTATCCGAGAAGAGTTCGATGCCCGGGAGGAGTTGGTTAACTTCGTACTGAGCATAGCTGCGTTCGGCTTTGGGATGTGGGAGGGTAGTGCGGAGCAGACTCTGGCAAAATGAAAAATGGGGAAATAAAGAGCCACGATTTCCCCTGTACCAATGAAACAAACAAGCCCAAAACAGTACACGTACCATCTCCTGAAGGGCCTGTGTGTGCTCTGTGCACTACAATTCACAATAAATGGTGTTTATTTATATTATCATCATTATGGGTTCCAAATGCTGTTATCGCTCTGGGTGGGCTTTATAAATTCCATTATAATAGTACACTTACTGTTCTCAAAGAAAATATCGTTATATTATCATTTGGTGAGACTTGTGTTGGGTACTTCTGGTAAGTTCTGTACAAATATTATCTCACTTACTTCTCAACTAACCTACTCTTAGAACAAAGAACTGCTAGTTCAGAAATGGTACCATTAAAGCTTTAGTAATTAACTTATACGAGTTTACACCGTTAACGATGGAATAAAATGATTCCAAGTCAATCTGGGCAGTAGCCGCACACAACTTTAATCCCAGGACTCAGGTGGCAGAGACAGGAGGATCTCTGTGAGTTCAAGGCCAGCCTGGTCTACATAGCAAGTTCCAGGACACCAGGACAGGTTCCAAAGCTACAGGATAAACTCTGTCTTAAAAATAAAAATGAAAAAAACCCCACTATGATATTTGACTATATGGAGTTATAGATGAGGGAGATTGTTCTAAGGAGGTGGCTCGTTTTCTGGCCACCCAGCAGCTCAGACCCAAAATAGCCACATAGAAACTATATTATTTAAATCACTGCTTGGCCCATTAGCTCTAGCTTCTTATTTGCTAACTCTTACATCTTAATTTAACCCACTTCTAGTAATCTGTGTATCACCACGTGGCTGTGGATTACCAGGTAAAGCTCCCAGTGTCTGTCTCTGGCAGCCCCATGGCTTCTCCCTCACTCCTCCTTCTTTCTCCCAGCATTCAGTTTAGTTTTCCCCACCTACCTCTATTCCCTAGGCAGGCCCAAGCCAGTTTCTTTATTAACCAATGGTATCCACAGCATACAGAGGGAAATTCCACATCAGGAGATAGTGACATGAAGCCAAAACCAGGCAGAGATTTCAAACCAGTATATCTTATGCAACTCATATGACCAGCAGTAAGCAACATGCTAGGAAAACAAGATCTATTTATAAAACTAAATTTTATATTTGGAAGTATTTCTTTGATTATCTTAATATGTAACTATTTGTTGAAGTCAAAACATGTTGAAATTATTTCAATGCATATTATCAAGAAATGTTTTTCAATTGGATTAATTAATTTTTCAATTGGATTAACATTATAAGACATCCAATTTTCAAAGATGAATACAGTTGTTAGAAATTTCTAATCTCTTTTTAATTTGTTTTGTAAGACCACATTTAGAATCAACAGGCTCCTCCTCCTGTCCGAGGACTAGCTGCCATTATGCTGGAAGGTGCCATGGAAGCTTCCAGGAATCTAAGCAACCAATATTCTCAGCTCTGACACTTAAACTACAGGGATGGCCAGGCATGGCACAATATACTCAAGGGTGGAAGAGTGGCATCTGTATCTTGGCAGTAGCCAACAGCTCCCTAGTTGTACTTAAGGCCTGCTCAATGAGGGAAAAATCAAAATTATGCCTGCTGCTGAAAACCTCGTCAAATATCTAGAGCTGGTGCAGTAACAATCTTAGAGAAGAACCTACTGCTGCCTCTTGACTAAATTGGCGTAATTCCAACAGCAGTATGCTTATCTTCACAGTCATGGGTAAGTGTCGCTCTCATCCTTCATCAAAGAAACTGCTCCTCACAAAAGCAGAGACTGTTTGTTACATAAAACCACACCTCGTCGAAATGCAGAGAACGACTGGTCATGGGGTGCCAGTGGATCCATCTACAACACAAACCCTGAACATACACACTGAAGAAGAGATGGGCAGAAGGATTGCAAGAGCCAGAGGACCAGGCACTCTGCTGTGAGACTCTATCCCTAGAAATGTCAGGGAAGAAACACCCATGATGCTTGAACAGGCTGCCTCGTAGGACCAGAGCAAGAACAATGCCAACAGACAGGCTAACCTGGAAGGGGACATCTCATAGGATCCTACCTTTAGACAAAGAACTACGGGCAGCTAAGAAATGCTAAGAGCAGGAGAAACAGTCTTCCTTAAGGATGAGTCCAATTTGTTATGATGAATCTAATTTGTTATCTGAAGCCAAGTGGTCAGTCCTGAAACTACATACATACTAATAACACTAGGATAGATATAATACAATAGAAAATACAATATAAATAATATAAAATTATAAATACAGATGATTATATCTTTAGGCATATATGTGTAACAATAGCAATTAAATAAAAAGAAGCCATGAATTAAAGAGGTACAGAGGGTATAATTGGTGCTAAGAAAGGGATGGAGAAAAACAAAAATTTTAAACTAATAGAAAAACTAACCAGCTTCTAAGATAAATCTCAAAGGCTAGTGTTTACTTTAGGTTACTAATATAGTAACATTTAATATCACACTAAACAAAAAGTCAGCCATTTTTAATCGTACACTTTCTAGAACACAAACAGGCTAAACAAGCAGCTGAAGCTGCATCATGGGGTCAGACCCAGGACGCCAATCCCAATGCTCGTTGCGCCCCTCACCTCCCTTTCAAGCACACACACTTAAAGTCTGCCCTTAAATTTGAAGAAGGCTTTCCCAAAGGATTTATGTATTCAGAGTCTAGAAGCCATCCACTGACTGCGACACACACACACACACACACAGCAAGGGTGTCTGTCCCGTCCACCAGCACAGACAGGACCTCTGGTGGACACGGAAAAGGCTCTGCTTACATCCGGATTCTCTGATGGCTCATGTTTCAGGTCAAAGCATCTTTCTTCTCTAGTGAGAAATCCCAAGGAGCACAAGCACTTCTGTGGCCATTGATGAGTTTATCTCTTGCCTTCACTTTAGGACGCTCTCCCATGCAGCGGAGCACGTGGATCATTAATAGAGACGAGGTAAGCCCTGGGCAACCACGTGGGGAGTCAGGTAGACTGTCCCTTCACTGACAACTAAGATTCTACCAAACATAAAAAACTCAGTTTCCCTATGGATAAAGCTGGACCCGTCAGAGGAGAAAGGGGACAGAAAGGTGAGTGTTCCGTGCTAACAGGGACGGAAGGTGCCGTGCATGACCAAACAAAGGAGGAAAAGATGAGCTCGTGGGCTTCGGTACAGCTAATACTATTTTTTCTCCCTGTGATTTTTGTGCTCTGGATAAACCATATCTGTTTACTGACTTACATAAATGACTCTATCACTTCAGTAATTATACATATACCATTACCTGAAAAAGCAATGCAGATAAGATGCAAGAGTTGATTCTTTTCTTAACATTTGTGGTCTTGATAAACCTAAATAATTATAAGAAAAACCAATTAGTAGAAAACCTACCAAGTTTTGATATGAATGTATCTGTAAATGTGTCTGGAACCCAGGAAACATTAGGGGACAAATATGTGCAAGAAAACTTATGGAAAGGTCAAGAAGAAAATAAAAAAATTATCCTATATCCTACCACTGGTAACATTTTGGTTGATTTTCTTCTAGACTTTTTCTCTTATAGCTTGAGGCTATCCATGCACGCTACTGTTGTGGCCACAATCTAGCTGGTCCAGTGTGTTGTGTGAGTCCCCCCACCACGGTCTACTCAAGAGGGCACTGCATCTCGGAGGACAAATCGCACACCGAGGACATGGGGCTCCTGGGAAGTCCTCAAACTTGGGCGTAGTAGCCAGCCTGCGTGCTATCCTCCTGCCTCACATCAACCACTCCCGCACTCGCTGTTATTACTCAAGTACGACTGAAAGCCTGAAAGCCGTCTCCATGCCAGGCACTGGGGATGCATCAATAAATAAAGAGAAAGTCTGCGCCCAGGTGGGGCTCGCCTCAAGGGGGCAGAGATGTCACAGGAGGAGAGGACAGTCATAAGTAAAAATATCACAGCTTGAAATTGCATTGCCCTGTAGAGGGGCATGGAAGTAGAGGAAGCAACGGTGGTCAGTAGTTGGGGCACGGCTCGTCACCCATCCCATGATGGGACTCACTGAGCTATCTTTGCTGCGATCACTGCCCCTTGCAGACATCCCCAAATGCCAAGCTTGGATAGGAATTCTTCACTGTAGTCTTTGAAGCCAGGAGGTGAAGAGCTGCTGGCGGCACTGGGGAGGGAGGTGCCGAATTCTTTCCAGGTGTGCAGCACATCTGGCTTTCTGAAGATGTCATCAAGGGCTTGGCACCAGCATTTAAAAGCAGCCCTAAGACAGAAACAGAGCACTGAGTGACGTGTCCTCGGAGGCCAGTAATGAATGCAGCCTCTCGCCCCCGCCCCCCACTAGATAAAAAGCAAGCGGACGGAGGATGCAGCCACGGTAAATATTGGAGGATGAAACCGTGGTGTTTGCTCCCTAGAGCGTCTGTCTCAGGTCGCGTCATGGATAAAGCGAAGCAATGTCATATTATTGTGGAACTAACACGTTGGGAAGAAAATAGTTTTCCTGATTAAAATAAAAATTGAACAAACCAAAGTCAGTGTCTGTGCTGACTTCTAAAGCACTACCTTTTCTTATCTGCGAAGATGAGGAGACTTCCGAGGGAATGCAAGGACTGAACTTTAAGGCTTCTTTGATTGCTAGCTTGGAGAACATCTGTATTTTTAATCAAGGAAAAGAACAAATGTCAGTGCTAAGGAAAATATTTCCTTTAGATCAGCAAGAATATTTTCCACCGCATTATTTCTTAACTGTGTAGACGGCAGAGAGGAAAAACTTCAAGCTAATAGTGTTTTCAAATGTCACACGCTATATATACCCAGAGCGAGAGCAAACGCGGTTCTGTTTGAACACTGGAGAACCGGAGATTGAGTCTAATGCCCCAGAAACACAGAGGCTCCGTGGAGAAGGTGCAGTGAAGTCAGCTGTGCGGGCAGGGGTGGTTAATGAGACTTGACGGGGAGTGAGGGACGGCTGCAGACACAAGAATGAGGGGTGGCTGGAGTCTGACTTTCTACAGAGAAAGCACTGGACCCTCAAGCGGGAGGCAGTGCCCAAATTCTAGAGGCCCCAGGATGCCACCTGGAGAAGTGGCAATTGCACCATAGCAGGCAGGAAGGTCCCAAGAGTTGGTTTTCAGCAGGGCTGACAATATTCCAGCAGATCAGAGTTTTCCTTTCCTCTGGGTGGGGGTTGGGAGGGGAAGAGTGATTCTTACCATGCATCCTCAGCTTTCTAATAAATGCATATATAATTGGGCTTGTCTGGCCAGAAGAAACCAACACACGGCAGGAGCTTCTAATGAGAACAGCACTCTTTCTAGAGGGCATCTCCGAGACCTAAGGCAGGGAGGGTTCCATGAACTGCCACAAAGCAAGTAACCACCAGGGACGCAGGATGCCCCACAGAAACTCGCCCCACACTGATCAAGAAAGACCCCTGTTCATGAGGTCCAATATCTAACTTTGTTTTATAAAGTTTTTAAATGTATTTTTGTCTGATTTCTAATTGCCCTGAGTTTTCCAGAAATACAACCATGGCAGTGTTTGGTTTTGTTCAGAACCAGACGTACAGCGGTGACAGAACGTAATTCACCAGTGCAGCACACCTGTGTACATCTACACCCATCGCCATGGGGATTCCTCATTCAAGATGGCAGCAGCTGGCCTGTTGGACTTTCTTGTTTATATATTAAACCATAGACTCTAATTACAGAGTCATTTTATATTTCTCCTTATTTTACCTTCACAGCTCTGTACTGAATTTTCAAAAATCATGTATCACAAAGAGCATACGAATTTTATTTTAGGAAATAAAGGGAGAAGGTTATGATGTTTGTTGCAAAGGGGGCTGTCCCTGGGCATACAGAATGTGTGAAGGACACACTGTTGGATTTTTTGAAAAGTCACATCTAAGAGAAAGATGTGACGAAGAAGGTTACCTAGGGCAGAGGTATGGCCTACGCTCTTACAGCCAGGTGAGAACCAGCTGAGGCTGGAGACATCTTCTGTCTCTAGAATGTTCTATCACAGCCTAAAAGATTGGTGAATGGCTGGCACACTCAGATTCTTTCATCATTCTTAAAATTCTAAAATTCTCTTATTAGTAATATTTGCGTCTTGGGAGTGCGGGGGTGCACATTCACGCACACATGTCAAGGTCAGAGGACACCTGAACTGTGGAGGTCGTCCTCTCCTTCCACTTCTCCAAGGGTTCTGAGCCTGGAACTAAGGTCCCCACTCTTGAGCGACAAGCACTTTGACCGGCTGAGCGTCTCATCTTTACAACCCACATCCAGTTTCAAAGGTAGCATTTCAGGACCAGAGGTAATCTCGTGCTAGCCCGGAAGGTCACGCTGACAGTCCGGGGCAAGTTAGCCTTACCAATAGTTTGGTGAAAGGAAGAAATCACCAACCCCAGCTGTGAGTAGGGAAGCTTGCTTTTCTCCACGGAACTGAACACTCGGAAGTTCTCCTGAGAAAGGTCAGGGGGTATTGGCATGTGCATCTCTTCTGTTCCCAGACAGAACTCCACCTTCCCTGAGGAGAACTGTGTGTTGTCTATCCCTCCTCTTTCACCTAAAGGTGTGGGTGAAAAATGGGGACTATTAGTGGGCAAAGAGGGGAAAGACTTGGAGAGGCAGAGGGATGCCAAGGAAGAAGAAAGGGCCGGCTTCTGTATGCAGGTTGACTTTTCTGCAGTCGGGGGATACAGTTTTCTCATCCCTGGGGCCTAGGATGGATACTGAAGTCTGCAACTGTTCAAGAGGATGCCTCTGTACCTTCGTGTTTCAGGAAAGACACTTAAGAGGGGCAGCCAGCCAGGCTAAGGCACTACAGAAGGACAGACAGACAGATGGGCTAAGGCAGTACAGAGGGGCATCCAGCCAGGCTAAGGTACTACAGAACAGACAGGCAGGCTAAGGCAGCACAGAGGGGCAGTCAGGCTAAGGCAGTACAGAAGAACAGCTACGCTAAGACAGTACAGAAGGACAGACCGACAGGCTAAGGCAGCACAGAGGGGAAGACAGGCAGGCAGGCTAAGGCACTACAGAAGGACAGCCAGGCTAAGGCACTACAGAAGGACAGCCAGGCTAAGACACTACAGAAGGACAGACAGGCTAAGACTGAGTTAATATTATGCTTCTTTTGCAAGAAGGAGGAAGTTAGTGGGTTTGAATCTGCCTTCTTAAAAATCATTTCCCACTGTAAAGATTTTATTTCACCTCTGGGACAGAAGCCTCCTGGAGAGAAGAAAGATGTATGTACCTCTGACCTGTAACAGGAAGAAAGAAATGGAGAAAATCTATCTTGTTAGAAGATCAGAGAACACTCGGAAAAAATCGGCCAGGGAAGCAATGTGAAGAAGCCGAGGGAGAAACTGGGATGGAGGCTGAAGTCAGCGACCTGAGGACTAGGGTGGAAATCCTGGGAATGTTTCCGCATCAGGTGAGCCTCGGGGTGAGCTGGGGGGACCATTCTGAGGAGCCATCCTTGATTGTCTAACTCATGTCTCTATGCACCAATAATATATCTAGAAATTGAAGGATGTAACTATGATATGGATAATTAATTTAGCAGACTTCTCAGAACTCCCCAGCAAACTAGGCGGGCTAGCCAGTGAGTACCAACGTTGGTGCCACCAGCATGCTTTGTTTCAATGGGATCTAGAGATGAAACTCAGGTCCTGCTGCTTGTTTGACAAGCACTTTTCCTGCTGAACTATCTCCCTAGCGTCCACACTTGGTTCTTATTTGCTCTCCTAACTGCCCTCCCTTGTGCCTTTTGCTGGCCCCCTTTCTCCCCTCCAAAGTCTCCCTTTTACCTTCATGCCACATACATTCTTGTCGTTCTTTCTCCCTCTCCCCAGTCCCTGTAAACAAGAGCTTATGGGTGCTTATTTTCCAATACAATTATTTCTTTGCGACTGACAAGTGGCATCTGGTAAAAGGTTCTGCTTAAGTTGTTATGAGTCAATCATCTCCCAAAGGACAGCCAGTCATCATAGCTCTACCCCTGCAAAGAAAGCTCTAAGACCTCCAAGGCACAGAACCAAAATTTTAATAGACGCCATTTTCCTTTATGGCTACTTTATTCCAGGAAGTTGGCTCGTGGAGCAGAAAGTTAAAAGGCAGGTCGGGTGTCTTAGCTGGAATAAAGTGTGTGAGGGAGATGATGAGACAGGAGAAGGCATGTTTTGGGGAGGAGATTATGAGACCAGAACATTCTGCAGGGTGGTACCCCATGTAAGTACAGATCAAGGGACAGAGGATAAACCTCTACCTTGTGTCTGTGCGAGAAACAGTGAGAGCAGCTTCCTGCTGTGCCGCACTGATCTGTTATGATACTTGGACTTCTCCAGGGTCTCTCGAAAGCATCCCAAGGAATCTGCCACGTCCACGGGCACACAGACAAGCTCTTTGGCTCGTCTTTGCTCTGAAACAGAGAAGAGCGTTAGAGATGGAGGACAGCAAAAGCAAGCAAGTCATGAGACAGCTCTAGTTAGGAGACCTCGGCCTGGACCCAAAGCTGCTGAGTTCAAAGGTCCCAGTCTGTAGCAGGCATCTGAGGCGTAGATGAATTTTGGTTTTTAGTGTATTTCAAAGTTCTTTATTTTTAGGGAAAAGTTTTAAATTTTTTTATTCTTTAAGAAATGCAAATAACTTTAGATCTTGCCAATTTTCCTAAAGAAGCCTCCTCCTTTTTCATAAAAAAAAAAAAAAGGAAACAATCAACCTCTTCAAAGCCCAGGTGCATCGGGAAACAGACGAAAGGAGGAAACAAAAAAATCTTGGAGACTGGCAGCTGATCTCAGAAGGGAAGGGAAGGGAAAGGCAGGCCCTGAGAGAGGAGAAGCAGCAGCTGCTGCCTTGCATGGGGCTGGAGCTAATCAGGCTGGGACACCTGTCAGGAGGGGGTGCCGGTGGAGAGCTGCTGCTAGGTCTCTGGGCAGTGAGGGTGGTCCAGGAACTGGACTGGGTTGCCTGTGGGCGGCACACTGACCAGATGAGGCCCAGAGAGAGTGAACTTGCAGGATTCTGCACGGAGTAGCTAAAGGATCTACTTTTTTAAATGAGCTGAACAAGGAGAAGGTTCCAGTAAAAATTTAAGGTCTTGACACGTAGCCACCTCCTAGTTAATAGAACACTAAGAGGTTAAAGGATATGACCTCATCCTTAAGAAATGCCCATCTAGCTGATAATTCACATTTGCAGAGGATCTGATTAAATGATAAAATGAGGGAAATAAAGAAGGGCAGGAAAGGGTACACTGATATCTCTCCAGCCCTAATAAGTCTAATAATTTACTGTGATTGATTGACTCCTAAAAACAGTCATGAGAGACATAGACCATTATTACCCTTATTTTACAGACGAGGAAGATAAGGCCTGGAGGGGCCTGCAAGATCAACATCATAGTCTGGAATCCAGAGGGCAGGGTGTTCCTGAGACACAGAGTTATCTTGTGCTGGCCATGAGGATAGACAGATAGTAGGAAGGGTGTGGAGTTTAAGACACAGTGAGAAGACTTGGCTCTCCTGTGGAACAAAAGGATCCACCCCAGTCCTGAAGCCTTCATTAAAGCAGTTGTGTAGTGGTATTTCATTTGTATTTTAATAAACAAAGCTTGCCTGAAGTTCAGAGAGTAAAACAGCCACACTCATCAGCCTTACAGACCAGGCACTGGTGACACACACCTTTAATCCCAGTAGCCACACTCGCTTGCCAAAGAACCAGGCAGTAGTGGTGCACACCTTTAATCCCAGTCCAAGGAATATAAAATGGGAGGAGACTGCTCTCAGACACAGTCTCATTCTGATATTCCTGGAGGCAGGATTGCCATTTTAGACTGAAGTAGAGGTAAGAGCCAGTATCTGGCTGTTGCTTTTCTGACCTTCAGGTTGAACTCCAATTTCTGTCTCCGGGTTTTTATTAATTGTGCTATACAGTTGCCTCCATTTCCCCCAATGGAGAACCAGGAACCTGCTTCCAGCAGGACTTGCAAAGACAGGCAGATGATCTTAGAAAGGGCAGGTACCAGCTGTGTTCACGCAGGAGCGTCATTGAGAGCGGCAGTGGCTAAGAGACTGTTTCTCCTACAGCATAGGCGCTGTGTGACTTCCCTTGACTGAGGTTTGTGAAGTGGCTACCAGGAACTGCTGGGGCAACAGAAGTGGCCAGTGGCCTCCATGGTTAACAGAATCATCAAGGGAGCCACGTCTGCCTCCATCCTTTCAGAGCAGTAGTTACCTGCTGCCCACTCTGGGGAAAAGAAAGAACGGATGCCAGCCAGGGAGATTTGGAAAATATCCACCCAGCCCGTACAGCAGTGCCCACCCACCCACCGAGACCTTCACTCTGGCCATGCTCAGCTCCCCCTCCTTCAAAGCATCCATTTTCTCTATACAATCATCCCCAACAGCGCATTTTGCTGTTACTTCTCCCACCTTTAAAAAAGAAAAAAATCGCTCTCTTGACTCGTTTCCCCACAGGCTATCACCCTACTTCTCCATTCCATGTTATACCAAAATTCCCTCCAAAAATTGTCTACACAATTAGCTCAGTGTTTCCCACCCATTCACTTAAATCAGGGTCTCCCCTCTCTGGAACAAAAGCCCCTCACCACTTAACTGCTCACTCATTCTGGTTCTCTCAACCCAGCCTCTTGGCCTTGGGACCCCAGACCTCAGTCCTTGGATGCCTTTCTTCTCTTCTTAATTGACACTCACCCCCATAATGATCACCCCTGGTCTCAGGTTTAAATTCAATGTCCTGGTGGCTCCCAAACTTATATCTCTGGTTCCAAACACCCCCAAAAGTCTCACACATCTATCTAAAGGTCCACATTGTTGTAAGTGCAACAACTCAATCCTAACATGTCCCCAGCTGACTTCCAAAAACACACACACAAACACACACACACACACACACACACACACACACACACTGACTCACATACTCATCTACTCCATCCCATCTTTCCCATCTCAGTAGAAAATGTCTCCATTTTTATAGATGTGCAGCCAAAAGGCAGAATCGTCTTTAGCTCTTTCAGATCCCAAATCAAATCCATAGCAAGTCATAAGAGAACTGCCCATCAGAAAATACATAAAGTCCTCATTCTCTCAAGGACTTCTCTCCACTTCCACCATGTCTGGGCCTTGCTACCTCCTTTGGAATTAAAACAATGACCTATGAATTGGCTTTCCCCTTTCTACCCTAGCCACGCCCACCATAGGCCCCACCACTGTAGCAAGCTTTCTCAAATGTAGTAGACTTTCCTTTGTTGGACTGCCAACTTCCCAATTACAACACAGAGACTTAATTATGAAAGTTTGACCTTTACCTTGGCTTTTTCCCAATTAGCTCTTAGAAGTTAATTAACCTGCTTCTATTAATCTACATTTTGCCATATGGCTCAGTTACCACACCTCTACCATATGTGTGACTTGCTCCATATCTTGTCTCTCTTCTTCCCAGAGCACTTTCTTTCTCCCCAGAAATCCTGCCTATTCTCTCCTGCCTGGCTGTTGGCCATTCAGCTTCCTATTAACAACCTATCTGACCTTATGGGAACTGACTCTGCCTGCTTCCTACTATTCTACCCTCCACTCCCTTCTACACCTGCCATGCTTCCTGTCCAGGACTTAACACAAGTGGCTCAATTAGGTCTAAAATTCTCTCCAATGTCCTGTCTTGCTTCTAAATTTTTTGAGGTTATTGCTTAGTGGTTAACTTACCAGCAAGGTCTTTAATTTTCACCCTACTTAAGAATGGAAGCATTTCCCGACTGTCCACACACCACTGTGATCTTCTGACATGCCGTCTCTTACTTGCTTATTGGATTTCTCCACTAGGATGAAGTTCATTGAAGACAAAGTCTTTGTCCCTTTAGTCCAGTACTACATCTCTAGTAACTGCAACCTATTACATGACTTCAAAGAATTCTGTCAACAAATTAATGACCGCGGGTCTTCAAAGCTGAATGGCTTGGGCATGTTTTATAAATAATCTCTTTTGTAAACTAATCTCAATTTCCCTGCCTCAGGTTCCCACTTCTGTATTCTCTTCAAAACACCCCCTGTGTTCCTTATATCCCACCTCTAACACCATACCCTTATTTACAACACCCTCAAGTTTGTAGATTGTTAGTGATTTTTTTTTCCCTTGCAAGAATTCATTAGCCAGACGGTGGTGGCACACGCCTTTAATCCCAGCATTTGGGAGGCAGAGGCAGGCAGATCTCTGTGAGTTCGAGACCAGCTTGGTCTACAAGAGCTAATTCCAGGACAGGCTCCAAAACCACAGAGAAACCCTGTCTCGAAAAACAAACAAACAAACAAACAAAAAAGAATTTATTAGCTTCTAGTTTTATCTTCTTCTGCTTGGAGACTGAGGTCAGAGAAAGAAGAAAAACAAATGCCTCAGTAAAGTCTGGCTGCCATAAACTGCATGGCTTATAAGCAAAAGAAACTTCCCTTTCACAGATGGGGAAGTTGGGAATCTTAGACCAAGGTGCTAACATGCTCAGGTTCTGGTGAGGACCCTCACTTCTGATTGCGGACAGCTACCTTCAAATGGCACCCTTTCCACACCACAAAAGGAGGCCTAAAACACTTTCCTCTGCTTCCTTCAAAGAACACAATCCCACTCATGAGGACTCTACCCCCACGACCTACTCATCTCTTAAAGGCCCCCCTTCTAATATCACATTGGGACTACAATTTCAGCACATGAATTTTGAAGGGTCAGAAACATTTGACCCATATGATCCAAGAGAAAGGAAGAAAGCTAAAAGAACATTCACATATTAGTGAGAGACCCACCCATGAAATAGCAACAAGACCTGAGCAACTCCAACAGCAATTAACATTACAAATGGATGGACTCCATCCGCTGATGACGAGCAATAGAAAATTAGCGACAGTGAGATGGGAGGACTGAGTTGTCCCTAAGACTAATCCCCCCATCAGCCCTAAGAACATATAATACATACAAGCAATACCAAACGACTCAATGGGTTGTACTTATATATTTATTCATTTATATATGTATGTATAACAATAATAATTAAAGGAAAAATCTCATAAACTTAGGAGAGGGGGATAGAGAAGGAGTTGGAGGGCAAGTGATGTAAATTTTAATTTTTAAAATAAACAAAATATTAATATTTTGTTTATTTTAAAAATATTTTGTTTATTTTAAAAATATTTTGTTTATTTTAAAAATATTAATATTTTGTTTGTTTTAAAAATATTAATATTTTGTTTATTTTAAAAATATTTTGTTTATTTTAAAACTATTAATATTTTGTTTATTTTAAAAATATTAATATTTTGTTTATTTTAAAAATTAAAATTTACATCACTTCCCCTCCAACTCCTTCTCTATCCCCCTCTCCTAAGTTTATGACATTTTTTCTTTAATTATTATTGTTATACATACACATACATATATAAATGAATAAATATATAAGTACAACCCATTGAGTCGTTTGGTATTGCTTGTATGTATTATATGTTCTTAGGGCTGATGGGGGGATTAGTCTTAGGGACAACTCAGTCCTCCCATCTCAACTGTCGCTAATTTTCTATTGCTCGTCATCAGCGGATGGTTCTGAAACATAAAGCAAAGAAAACCAGCCCACAAATCACGGTCCCAGAGAACCTCGACAACAATGAGGACCCTGAGAGACATAAATAGATCTAATCTACATTGGAAGTAGAAATAGTCAAGATCTCCTGAGTAAGTTGGGAGCATAGGAACCTTGCAAGAGAGGTGAAGGGAAGGGAGAGGCAGGGAGGGGAGCAGAGAAAAATGTAAAGCTCAATAAAAATCAATAAAAAAATAAAAATAAATAAACAAAATAAAATGAGAGTTACTCTCTCTGGGATTAGTTTTAAAATATCCATTAAAATGTGTTGATAGCATTCACCTCGGAGAGTTACTGCCTTAACCTGCATGTCGAGTGTCTGGAAAGGTATCTGTTATAGGACAAGCATTTGCTATATGGAGACTCCCATCACCACTGCTACTTACTCAGTTTTTAAAACAGGCTTGTAGCATATCACAACACTTTTCAACAGGATGGTCGTCCCACAAGCTCCCATCACCTGATGGCACTAGGCATCTTTGTTTACTGTTGGCACAGCAACGAAACTGCCCAGCCACTCCCTTCTCCTAGTGTATCCCTGTCATGAGGTGTCATATGGCTGTATACGGAGCGCTGGTGTGCACTGGGCACCATGTCAGGCACTGGAGAAACACAACCGAATAGACCATGAAGTTGGCTCTCACGCAACTGCCATTCCGGGCTAAACCTTAAAAATGTGTTTAAAGTAAGTGATCTGAATGAGACCACCCTGTTGCTCGTGTGTCTTTATGGGACCTCTATTGATAGTTGAAGTCTCTTTGTATTCTCCTAAACTGTTTTTCTTTCTTTTTTATTTCCCTTTTCCTTTCTTCAGAGTTTTAGCACAACTTTTTCCCTTGTGACCTAATTAGGGTTCTGGTGCTGTAGCTATCTCTGTCTCCATGAGATACAACAATCAAAGAACAGAAACATCGTGAGCTCCAGGCTGACCCCCATGGGCCTCTATCAAGAGGACTGCACTCTGAAATTTTCCATTGATCATTCCAGAAAGTATTTCAAAGTCAGTAATAGTTAGTATTTCAATAGTTAGAAGTCAATAAGGAGGAAGGGTCGGGTAGAAGGCGGGCTACTGTGCATTTGACTGTAGCCACGTAGCAAGGAAATGCTAATCAGACCCAAGTGTTGGGTCTACCAAAGAGGAAGCTAGAGAGGAAGACTGCTTTCCACAAGGTTGATCACACCCACCCACCCCAATGCCCGAAGATGTGAGTGAAACGCACCTGCCAAGGGCTGAAAATTCCAGCACACCTAAGGACTGACTAGCCCTAGAAGAGAACTTAAATATCCAATCAGATCAAGACTCAAGATAGAGATCCTGCACCGGATGTAAAAAAGTTTCAGAAAAATACCTTCTCAGATACTGGGAACTTCGGCTTTGGGATTCAAGAACACATTGACCTGGGCATCAAATATGACCCAAGCATAGGGATCTATGGCCTGGACTTTTATGTGATGCTGGGCAGGCCAGGTTTCAGCATCGCAGACAAGAAGCTCAGGACAAGCTGCATTGGGGCCAAACACAGAATCAGCAAAGAGGAAGCCATGCGCTGGTTCCAGCAGAAGTATGATGGGATCATCCTTCCTGGCAAATAAATTTTATCCAAAAGGCCAATAAAATTTTTCTCAGAAATACAAAAAAAAAAGTTTCAATAAAAGGTTATCTCCCAGATAGAGCTTACTGAGCAGGTAAGCTACTCATTCATACAAGAATAACCTATAAAAATGAGTTAATCTCACGTCTTCAAATCCTGCTGAGATGATGCCAAATTACAAATGCATTATTAAATAGTTGACAGAAGAATAGGATGCTGTTAAGTAATGAGAACACCGAGTGTTTCTAGGCTCTGTGGCATCACAGTATCTGCTGTGATGAACGGAAAGCATTGCCACCAGATGTTGTAGCTGGGCTGCCTGGAGCTGGAATCGCGGGCAGTTATGTGTGACACGATGTGGGTGCTGGGAACCGATCGCATGGCCTCTGGAACCACACGATGAGCCTAACTGATGAGCCACCTCTTCAGCCCCTCTATTTTCATCTTATTCTGTTGCCTCATTTCTAGAAGCTGCCCTGGCAGAAACGTTCTGGAAGCCTCTTCAGCTAAACGCAAGTAAGTCAAGGCATGCCGGAGCCCTCCCCAGCGCTCCGACTACTCTGACTAATCACGGCACAGTCAGTAGCACCCTGTACACTGAGGAAGGAAATGGAAGCTAAGCTACTTTCAGAATCAAATCAGTAAACCAAACAGGAAAAAAAAAAACTTAAAAAATGAGTTCCCCCAAAGGGAAAGACAGAAAAATGCATAAAGTAGACTTTTCTCCTCAATTCTCCTTTTCATTCCATCTCCTTTCAGCTTATAAAGTTTTTAAACTTATAATAGTGTTTAATCATCTGTGCAGGACATTTACAGCAATATAAAATGATAAGTATCAAATGATTTATTTCCAAGTAAACCTGAAAAATAGATTTGGCTCACCCTGTGGGACACGACGGCGAACCTTAAAAGAAAGCTGAGGTCCCAGTTCAAACCGGGTCTAACCTGAAAGGATGAGCGTCTTCAGCACATCAGAGCTGCCTTCTAGATCTGCCAGGGTCTTGGGTGAAGCAGGGTCGATCGTGAGCTGCTTCCCAATGAAGTTCCGGCAAGTTATCTTAAAAAGATGAGGACAGAGGCACTTAGGCATACGTAGTGTAAAGTCTGGCTGACTTGAAATGTTTGTCTCGGTCTCTGCCGAAATAGATGTGAAACAGTCCTACAAGTAAAAGCTGGTGGAGCAGCACTCAGCCATGAGGATTTGGGGAAAACATGGCTATCTAATTTTTTTTCTTATTTCTCTTGTACACAGCACAGCTGGGAGAACATTGGGGAAATTATATGCAGCAATTAGAATATGATTTTCTGATAGTCTATAAATTCACTGATCTAAATATATATTCCATTATGTGAATTCAAGCACATTTCAAATACAGGCTTATTTTCCAAAGGCAGATTTAGTTCCAGCCTACTCATAATTAATGCAATTTTAACTTCCCTGATGAAGTTTTTCAAAACTAATTGCTTCTATACTATTTGGACAAATTCTTGAACAGATGTTTGAGTTCTCAAATTATAAAATATGTGAAAACAGAGAAGTGTTTAGATGAAAGAAAATTCTTTTAAAGAGTCCAAGACCCTGTTCCCTCCCTGTCTCTCCTCACAGCCCTTGGTCTGACCCCAACCAATCAGTCAAGGCACAGCTGCCTCTCGGTTGAGTCTGGTGAAAATGCTTCTTTGTGTCCCTTGAGGCCTTTCCATAATGAGATGAAAACAGGCTGACAAGATGCAAACTCTTTCCTGCAATTTAACAAAGCACACCAGGATGCTCCATCCTTTCCCCAGTTCCTTTAAATAAATCTTTATTGAACTCCAGTGTGTCACACGCTGTTTCATACTGAAGGGATGATGTAGTGGCAGAGAACAAAACAAACAAAAATTTCTATTCCGAAGGACGATATTTCAGTGGGTTCCAAGAAGAAACACAATGCTGAGATACATAAGGTAGCATGTTAAAGAGTTTTAGCTGCTATGGAGGAATGGCGCAAACAGACACATGGTTTTAAATACGAGAGAGAAGGGAAGGTTCAGCCAAGAGTATGAAAGGGGAAGGGAAATCAGTGTGGGCGTGTGGAAGGAAGCTCACACCACACAAAAGTAATAACAGATGCAATGACCCTGAGGTGAGAAGTCTCAAGGATAACATAGTTAACACCTGCAGTGACAGATGGGTATGGTCTAAGGCCTCTGTAATCCCAACACTCAAGAGGCAGACCCTGAAGGACTGCTCTAAAGTCAAGGCAGGCCTAGTCTGCACAATGAGTTCCAAGCCAGCCGCAGCTGTATAGACCCTGTCCCACAGATAGTCAAATAAAAATAAAGTTTAAAGATTTGCAGGAGAGCTGGGTGTGGTGGCACAGGCCTACAATCCCAGGAGTAGCTAGAGGCTCAGGAGTTCAAGGTCATCCTCTACTTTGTGACAAGTATGGGTCATTCCTGAGCTATATGAGAGCTTGTCCAAGACAAGCAACAAATACCCGCTGGGAAGGTACCAAGTGCTAGCCAATAACAAAGACATAAACTATATAGAATAAGCATACTACAGCCATGACAAAACTTACTTTATTCTAAATCTGGTGGGAGGCCCAAGTAGGATTGCAATCTGATTTGGATTTTCAAAGGGCTGTTTCATCTGCTGCACTGGAAGCAGACTACAGGCTGGAGACAGGGTACAGGATAATTACAACGTCACCAACTCGGGCAAATACACCAGCAGTTGGATCAGAAGATGGTCGGTGCTAAGAACTGCTTAGATTCTGATTGCATTTTAAGATCAGGATTTGGAAATCAATTTGAAGCCGGTGTGAGCACAAGAGACAGTCAGAGGCCACACCCAGGTATCTGGCATGAGCAACAAGGTCTTGGGAGCACAGGCTTGTTTGTGGTCAGCTGATGCAGGCACGGTGTGGAACAGCTGCTTAGGGCTCACCCTTAAGGAGGAAGGGCAGGGAGGTGTCCAGTTGGTAGCATATCCACACTTCATTCTGATTCTTCAACCAAGTGCTCATCTAGATAAGACGGTCACAGGAGTCTTCAGAAACTAAGGTCTCTGCTTTGCTAACGTTAAGCTAGCATGACTGTCCTTGGTGGGCCTGGCCTCATCAGGAAAAGTCCGTGACCAGCCACTGATCTCCAGGACTCCACGTACCAGACAGCAGCGGAGCCTACAATTGCTCTCCTCTCTGCAAAACAGAACAGGGACTGACTCCTGACCACTAAAAAGAGTGTACGGGAGATCAGGCCCTCGGCCATGAAGAACTGTGAGAAAAGGAGAAAGTCTTCCCTGAAATCCCACACGCTGGTGCAGGAGGAGGGAATGGAGACAGGCCCACTGGTTAGAGCTGCTGGTTGTTTGACTCTTCTGGCTTTGTGGGGAGTGCCACCCAGCTCCAAAATCAATCGCACAGAGTCTTATTCTTCCTTATAAATGACAGGCCTTAGTTGGCTTGTTTCTAGTCAGTTTTTCTTAAATTATCCCATCTACCTTTTGCCTCTGGGCTTTTTTTTCTTTTCTTACTTCTGTAATATGACTTTCACTTTTACTCCATGGATGGATGGATGGATGGATGGCTCCTGACATCCTCCTTTTCTCTCTTTTTCTCCTTCTGTTTATCCTCTCTACCTGCCAGCCCCACCTATCCTTGCTCCTGCCTCGCTCTTGGCCATTCATCTCTTTATCAGGACCATCAGGTGTTTTAGTCAGGCAAAGTAACACAGCTTCACGGAGTTAAACAAACGCAACATAAAAGAACGCAACACATCTTTGCATCATTGAACAAACATTCCAGAGCAGAAACAAATGTAACACATCTTAAAATTATATTCTACAACACGTCAGGCCTTTGGGAAGGCAGACTCAGAGCGGGTCACAAACTCACATTTGTGCAAAATTAGTCAACTGGAAAATTTACATCTTTCTTCCTCCATCTCTGTCAAGATTACCAAGGTTTCCACAAGCCTTGGACAGTTTCACTTTTGTGGGCCTAGTGCTCCATTTAAAGTACATATTAAAATTAAATTTCATGAGTTGGTATAAGTACAAAAATAAGTCATGGTAAAAATGAAAACATTTTCCTTTGTCCTAAAAGTAACTTCTTTATTTGAAAAGGAATTCAAACACTAACCAGGCCCCTGGGAACGACTGTGGGATCTAGGCACTGTTCCCATTGCTTCTAATGAGTATGGCAGCCCCAACCTGGACCTGCAGATCTTGGGGAGAAGGCCTTAGCTTCTGCTTTACTGTATCTGGGAAGTGCTGAGCAAGGGCAAGCTGTCAATAATGTTTGTGAATCTGGATGGAGAATGCCCAACGTGAAAATCCTGCTAATTTGGCTCCCAAATCCTTCCCTTTTATATGTGTGGTAGCTGCTTGAAAAACAGCCCGGCTCACCTTCTCTCTGTTGTCAGCCTCGTATCTGGCACAAGCCTGTTGAGCGACATCGGGGCCATTGAATGTCTGAATCCTCAGGAGCAACTGGCGCTGTGCATACACCAACAGCGGGGTCACTTGCTCTGTATACCGCTCACTGGGCCGCAGTAAGGAACACATTGAAAAGTTAACTTGAGCTAAGAGACCACCCCCCAAAGAAGTCTGTAACGGTGGTTGCCTTTGAGGCTGGACATACTGTGAAACGATGTTGAACTGAATGGCCAGAGACACCAGCGTCTCCCACTTCTCTACTTGGTACAGAACCTCCAGAGACTTTAACACAAAGTCACAGATCCATTTCAAATCGACCACATTGACGTCATCCAAAGGATGCTCGAAAATCAGGCTGGAACCCCCGTTATCGTATTTGATGTTCCCGTAGCAGCCGGGAACACAGAAGTCGCCTTTCTCTTCGACTGGCTGCAAGAAGCACATGGAGATAAGTTGCCCAACTTACGGTCTCGCTACATATTCCTCTGGTAAACAGATGTGGTAATGCAACACGAAAGGAACTGAGCACAAAAAAAAAAAATCACGCAACGGGAATCACAGCTTCGCAACGGGAGATGGCACTGTGCGATCCATCTTCAGTGACGACGGGCATGTGCTGGATTTGTGTGCGCTGTGATCTAGTGCAGCCACCACACGTGTGTGGCTCTGATTATGTGAAACGTGACAGTGCAGATAAGGTTGTAATGTTGCCTGATTTTAACCTTTTCACGTTTTTAACTTATTTAGTGGCAGCTAATATTTATTAGACTAATATTTATTAGACTAATATTTATTAGACTAATATTTATTAGACTAATATTTATTAGACAGCAGTGGTGGAGGTCTGTTCTTGGCATGTATTAACATTTGATTTAAGAAAGGACATTAAGCCAATATGATAAAGCTTTCAGGAAAAACCACTTAGTTTGCACAAATAATAATCTTTCCTGGTATGTTGGGACCATTAACTAGCATGTAGAATACTAAACCCAATTCCTTAATATGAAAGTCAATTTTATGGAGGTGTCTTAGTTGGGGTTACTGTTGCTGTGATGAAACACCATAACCAAAAGCAAGCCACATCACTGTTCATCGCTGAAAGAAGCCAGAACATGAACTCAAACAGGGTAGGAGCTGATGCAGAGGCCTTGGGAGGGGTGCTGCTTAAGGACTTGCTCCCCATGGAGATGGTGCAGTGGGCAAAAGTGCACAATCCCCTCCCTCCCCCAGAGAATGAAGACATGAGTCTGAATCCACAGAACCCACATAAACACCAGGGACAGCAGAATCTGTGCTCCAGGACAAGAGGAGAGGTGGTGTGGAAGCTTGTGGGCCAGCTAGCCTGACATACACAGCCCGAAAGCAAAACAGCAAAGAGATCTTGGCTCAAAGGCAGCAACAGGGATCAGCGTGTGAGGGACTTTGTCCTCCCACCTCCTGATGCACGCTGTGGCACTCACACACCTGCAAACACACATGCATGTATGCGCATCACACACAGAGAGAGACAGCATCATACACATAAAAAAAAAAAAACCCAGCAAATCCCTGAAAATCCCCCTTCAATAACCACACTGAAAACGTTCCCATTTCTTGAAATGAGACCTGCACAAGGCTCAAACACTGCAAGCTGGGTATGGCTAGAGTCCTTTTTAATCGATGATGTCATCTCCCTTTTTAAATTTTCATTTTGTTGTTGATGAAACCATGTCGCTTCCTGGAGAGCTCCTGAGGGCTTGATTGATGCTGTTGATTGCATTCCTAAGGCTTTCTCTGGAATGTTCCTCTGTCAGCTACATTTGTGGCAACTGTGAGGTCTGAAGGCTTGATCTGATTAGTTTGGGAGTTTTTCTGACTGGTATACTCCAAGTCACTCTTCCTCCACTTAACCCATTCCCCCATAAACTGACAAATCTTGATCCTATAAGTCCAACAGCCTTTCTTCATTTTCTACCTAAATACCTGCATTCAGGTTCCCCTCAACAGTGATTAGAGGCAGGATAACTCCACAGGGCCCTGGTCCACATTCTGGGTGCCTGCTGCTGCCACTTCCTTAGGGTCCCTTTCAGTTCGACTGCCTACCTTGTCATCTTTCCAAGCTTGTGTGGTCTGCCTTCAGAGTCTCCATCTGTCCCACTGACAGGCTGCCTTCTTCATGCCAATACCATGGTCTCCCAGGTCTTTTGGCTTGAAAGAGCTTCAGTCGGGTGGTGGGTCCTGGAAGCCCCGTTTGTATGTGCAGTGGTTGAGACTGAGTAGTCGCCTTAGTCTCTCTGCACCCTAGACACTGAGACAGGGCTTGCCATTCAGCTAGCCCAGCCACCTGGCTTACTTCAGGGATTCTGTTGTTCACTTTCTAGGCATTGGATTGCTTGGCTTTTCCCTGGCCCTGGGGATCCGAACGCTGGTCTTCACACTTGCATGACAAGCACTTTGCCCACTGAACCATCTTTCCAAAGTCATAAGCTGTCTCTGAATTCTCCTGATCGTCTATTTGCTGTTCAGAATCCTACTGACTAAAGCTTAACTAAGCCTTGAAATATTGTGAAATTACACATTTGTACTTTTGTCTCCTTTCCTATTTCAATGCCATAACGTTTCCAATGTGATTTATTCATCCTTTCATGCTGGTATTTTCAATGATATATCTCTTCCCATGTTTTTATTTTCTTTTTTTTTTCAGGCATTATTAGTGTTATAAAGCACCTGAATCTTTACCGGATATTTTTTCCTTTTATTGAAAATAGATATTTTTCGTACATACTATATCTTGGTTATTGACATTTCCCTTCCCTCAACTCCTCCCAGTTCCTCCCCTCCCCTTCCATCCAGATCCACCCCTTTTCTGTCTCTCATTTTAAAAAAAAGGGTTATAAAGGATAATAATAAAATATAAAAAGATAAAACAAAAAGTAACACAATAAAATTGGACAAAACAAACAAACAAACAGAAGGGGAAAGGTCCAAGAGAAGGCACAAGAAATAGAGATTCACTGATTTGCACACTCAGGAAGCTCTTTAAACTATAAGTCATTCTATATATTCAAAGGACACATAAGGGTCAAAAAGGAGAGAATAAATATGTATTACTGTGTATAATACACATAATATATATAAATATATAAGCATTTAAAATGATTAAATAAAATGAAAAATAGGAAAAAACCTAGCATGACATTGTGAGACAAAGCGCCTCCAAAGATGCCACTGAGTTGGTTTTCAGTTGATTATCTAATGCTGGTGTGCAGCCTACCTAGCCTCAAGAGGAGTTTGTTTCCACATTGAGATTTCCTGGGAGGAAACTAAAATTTATCTGCAAGTGGCTATCAACTGGAGATAGCTTCTGGGTTGGTTAGGGATGGGGGCCTCTCTTCCCTTCTCCTTTTAGCTCTAGGACCCCACCCGGCTCAGACCTGTGCACGGGCCTCAATCTCTGTGTGTTATGCTTCTTAATGTTCAGATTGTTTCTCTTATGAAGAAACAGATGTGTCTTTTTTCTACCCAAACAATCTGTGCCTTTTAATTATGCTGTTTAGCCAACTTAACATTTAATATAGGTATGGCTATGTCTGAGTTAGTTTTAATAGTTGTCTTAGTCAGTGTTCTATTGCTGTGAAGAAACCCCATGACCATGACAACTCATATAAAGGAAAGCACATCATTGCGGGGACTTGCTTACAGTTTCAGAGGTTTAGTTCTTTATCAGCATGGCAGACATGGTGGTGAAGGAGCTGACAGTTCTACATCTGGATCTGCAGGCAGCAGAAAGAGCAAAACTCTGGACTTGGAATGAGCTTTTTAAAACCTCAAAGCCAATTCCCAGTGACACACCTTTTCCAACAAGACCACGCCTCCTAATCCTTTCCAATAGTGCCACTCCCTATGAACCCACTGGGCCATTTTCATTCAAACCACGACAATATTTGGTTTTCAATTTGTCCTTTGTATGTTTTGGCCTCTGCTCTTTCTCTCATCCTTCTGGGTTGATTATTATTTAGTCTTACTTTATTAGCTTCTCAGCTATCTTTTTTTGTTGCTATCATCTACACCATGGATTACAGCATACATTCTTAAATGATCATACCTCACTTAAAGTTCATATTGGAACCCTCAGTATAAATAGTTTAATCTTATTTACAAGCTTTGTCTTTCATGATATTGTTATTAGATACTTTCCCTCAAAGTGTTATAATGTTATATCTCAATGTGATTAGGAGTTTGCTAATTTTCAATATGTTTATGGTTTCACATGTTATATTGTTTTTATTTTATTTCCATAATCTAATAATGGTGTGATAGATTTTCAGGAGAGACAAGTCTTAGCACCTGGAGAAATAGAATGGGGCCAGTTAGACCACTGGGAGAGGGGTAACCTGAGAGGCTTGGCTTCTGCATGGGTTAAATACACCTAAGTCAATTCATATAGGAGACGAAATTCAGTAAGGATTTCTTTCTCTTCCCTTCAAACAAACTGGATTTTCAGGCTAAGGTATTTTTAATTAACATTAATGCAAGTTATGTGCTGTGAACAAAATTATAATGAGAAGCAAATGAAAAACAGACAAACCAAATGGGAACACAAGAAAAATATCAATTTCTACTTATCCCAAGCTTCGCGATAAAAGATATTTTTAATTGGATACAATAAAAATAATTACCCAAGTGCCCTCACCTTGATGGAATTGGTGCTCTGCAGCTTTATTAACATGTCAATAAGGAGCTCTGCACCCAGGTGGAACGGTAGCACACAGACGCAGAGAAAGCCATCCTGGCTAATCGGAAAGGTCTTGTAGTTGTCCACGGCCTGCTTCAGGAGTATCTGCAGCTCCCGGACAAAGTTCCAGAATGCCCTACAGCAGTTTTGCAGTAAAGTCCAATAGCCACCACGATAAGCAAGAACCTAAGACAAACATCACAAACAGTACCGCAGAGTTTCAAGCATTATAGATGTCTGGGAAATTTGACTTTTTATCTGCAAACATATATGTTAATGATTTAAAAAAAATAACTAAAACCATCTGTTATGTGCCACTCCCATTCTCAGCACTATGACATGAGCTGGTCTTAGTCCATCAACCAGGGAGGCATGCATATGCTAGTGCTCCAGCCTGAGCTAACTTTCCCATGGTCCTCGATCCACTAAGCAAAAAAGTAAGCTTTGCAAATTCATAGCCAGAATCCCCAAATCCCATTATTATAGGTGCTGTGGATATAGCAGTGAGCAAGGGCAACTGGTCTACCTTCCTGCTGCTCAAGTTTACAAGAGAAGTCCAACAGTAGGAAGATACACAAGCATGGGATTTCAGGGGGAAATCTATTTTATTTTAAATAAAGTAGGAGTTGCAGAGGTGACTCAGCAGTTAAGGTGCAAGTGATGGCTGCAGAGATGGATCAGGAGGTAAGAATGGTTTCTGTGTAAGCCTGAGGACCTGTGTTCAAATCTCTAGGACCCACATAAAGAGCCAGGCATGGCCACAGCAATATGTAGACTGTACCTGTAACCATAGCACTGGGGTACTGGTGGGGTTGCCAGAGGCAGGAGGATCACTGGGGCTTGCTCAAGGTTTAGTGAGAGATTCTATGACAGCATAAAGCACTGAATGAATGACAGAATCGTGCAGGAGAGCAAATGTCCTCACCTGGCCTCTGTACACACATGCCAGCACCCACGTGTGCACATATACCACATACACACACTCACACACACACACACATGAGAGAGAGAGAGAGAGAGAGAGAGAGAGAGAGAGAGAGAGAAGTATTGACATAAATGCACATAAATGGCTGATAAAATTAGGAGGTTTCGGGAAGTTAAGACAAGAGCGGAGTTTTCACAGCCTGCATCATTAACCTTCCCTTGCGCTAGAGGAAAGAGAGGTTACGGCACCCCACTAGTCACGGCAACACTAGAGACACGCCCAATATTATCACAAAAGAATCCCACTTCCTGCTTGTTGCAGGAAAGCAGTCAAGGCACACACATCATCACAGGATCCTCGGGGCAACAAGGGTCACCAAGGGGGTTCTGGGTGCAAAGGTGACAGCTAAAAAGATGACCCACACAGCCAGACAACACATAGCCAGCAAACCTCAAAACTGGCTGAGGCAAAACCTAGCTGCATGCAGTAAGTGAACGCATCTCACACATCCGGGTTTATAGGTGAACCTCACATCTGGCGCACTGGAGGAAGAAGGAAAGGACTGCATTACCATTGCTCTCCTGGAACACGAGAAGATTTTCATAAAATGATCCAGTCCCCAGTTCAGGGCTCGATCCTTCTCTCTGGCATCAATACAAATGCCAACTTGAGATTCTGATTCAGAAAGTGTATTTGTTTTTATCTTGGAAACATTCTCTTCACTTTTTGAATTCCAAAACGCAGAAAAATCTTCAATATCTGCATTCCAAAAATAAATCACAATGCTGTCAAAAAACATTACCCAGGGGAAAAAAGATACAAAGCATAAAACCTCATTACATTCCAACAAAGATGGCGTATGTTGTGTAATGGTAACACATGACCATGTCACATAAATTTGGAGAAGGAATGGGACAATCAGAGACACAACCAACCAGGGGAGGTTTCTAGAGAAAGGGGCACTTATCAGTTTGAGGTCAGCAGGCATGGCTACCTCCCTGTGGCAAAGCAGAGAAGAACACTTTGGGCTAAGTTGGGGGCAAAGGGAGCAAGGCAATGAAAGGTGTGAACAGGGGTTAGGAAGCATTGTGACAGAGGCCAATGTCCTTCAGTCTTCCCAGTCATCCCCAGGACCTGTGCGCTCTTGAGAGAGTAGCACCCTGGCCACTCATTCCTCTGCTGAGGTGACATCAATCAATCCAGAAGCGTTTTGCCTGCCACTTATCTCCTCTCCCATATGGTCACTAAACAGTTCAACTCTAATGTCCTGTCTCTGTTGTAAGGAGGGGGATGCTTGTTGGTGCCCAGCCGCTCAGCCCCGAAATAATCACACAGGAACGGTATTAATTAAATCACTGCTAGGCCCCTTAGCTCTAGCTTCTTATTGGCTAACTCTTACATATTAATTTAACCCATTTCTATTAATCTGTGTAAGGCCACGAGACTGTGGTTTACCAGCTAAAGTTCTGGCATCTGTCTCTGGTGGGGAGCTACATGGCATTTCTCTAACTCCGCCCTTTCTCCCAGCATACAGCCTAGCTTTCCCCGCCTAGTTCTGTTCTCCCCTGCCATAGGCTCAAAGCAGTTCTTTATTCATTAACCAATAAAAGCCACACAGAGACAGAAGGACCTCCCACACCATTTCTCCAATATCACAGTGGGTTGAAGCTAGAGACAAGGCATATATGTTGATTGATTTATAATAAATAAATAAATAAATAAATAAATAAATAAATAAATAAATCAGATGTTATGTCCCTGGAATTTCATACATTATATGATATATGGGTACAGATCTGCACCTAGAAGAATCCAAAGCACGTTGAATACCTCACTGGGAACCAATACTACCAAGGCAATTTAACTAGCTACTGAGAACCCTGCTCAGCAAGAACCGTGCTTAAATGACAGCATTAAAGGATCTGAGAGAGGGCTCAGATGTCAGGAGCACTAACTCCCCTTCCAGAGAACCTGGGCTCAATTTTTAGCCCCACATGGAAGTTTACGATCACCTGCCACTCCAGTCCCGGGGGATGCAATCCCCTCTTTGGGCCTCCACTGGCATTATACGTACACACGGTGCACATCCATACATGCAGCCAAAATACACATAAAATATTTTAATGCCAGAATGAAAATATGCATACATGAATTTTTAATAGTATCAAGATACTAGAAACATGTTTTTATTTGTGAAATAGGTAGAAGTCAAGATAGAAAAACCTGCTGGTTAAAAATAGTATTCCAGGCTCTATCATCTTTACAGACAAGGGTTTAAAATTAACCAAATTTGATAGGCAAGAGTCACTGCAGCATCCAGATAGGAAGACCTCTATGCCTGTTACGTCTCCACCACCCAGACCCTATAACAGGTCTTCCTGTCCTGCAAGCAGAATATTATTTCATTTGCCTTGAAGTGGACTTTCACAGAAGGTACAAATGGGAGCCTGTAGGGCAACAGTGGACTGTCTCAAGTACAAAATCAGCTACCAAGACTGTATTTGTGCCTGTCAATATCAGGCCACTGATAGAATCTATTTGAAAAGTGACTTTCACTAAGATATCATACCTGCTAGCAAGTCTTTCTCTAGCTTGAGCAGCCAGAGTCTGTCAATACTTAGCAAAAGAGAATTATATTTGCCGAGTGTTCAAAATGATTTATTGTGGAACATTAAATACTTACTTGTTAAAGTCGCGCAAAGTGATTAACTTGTTAAAGTCACACAAAGTGATTACCAAAACTCACCAACACAGCTAAACCTGGGCTTTTGGAAATGACATGTATATCTCTCTTTCCACAAGCACGTGTGTGTGTGTGTGTGTATGTGTGATATTCTTATATTTGTGTTAGTGAATAAAAACTTAGAGGCAATTAATACAGCTGTCAATAAGCACACTTTCTTTACCTATGGATTGGTTGGTCTTCTTGTTTTTAGAGGCCATCAGGACATCCAGCATTGCTTGGTAGCTGTCTACAGTCAGCTTTGTGGTTGGTAATATTATTCCACAATGGTACAGTGAGAAGAGATTAGGGTCACATGATCGGAAACTGAAAAGGGAGCCAAAAATAAATTGTATCTCTATATAAATAATATACATAATATATAAATATATAATATCGTATATAAATTAATATATATGATGAAAAACAACATAAACAGCTAACCAAAACTAAACTCTCTTAAATACAGCCAGTTTTTATTTTTAAACCGTTATGATTTTAGACCATACATTCTCTTGGCAGGTAATCAGCCCTCAGCACCTTACCACACACTGTTGAGATTATATAATGTAACTATATTGTTAGGCACTTACTGTACCATTCCCTAAAAGGATTATTGAAGATGAGAATAAGGTCTCTACTCGTTTTGAGTTCAACAGCAATAATTTATGTTGGGCTGGAGCGCCAGCTCTGTGGTAGACCAGTTGCCTAATAAGTATAACGCCCTGGCTTTAATCGTTACTAGTACAATAAATAAAGACTACTAAAATAATAAAATCACACAATTTAAGTACAATTCAGTGAAGATACCTCCTGCTTAGAATATGTACTTAACCATGTTTCTGCCGGGCGGTGGTGGCGCACGCCTTTAATCCCAGCACTCGGGAGGCAGAGGCAGGTGGATCTCTGTGAGTTCGAGACCAGCCTGGTCTACAAGAGCTAGTTCCAGGACAGGCTCCAAAACCACAGAGAAACCCCGTCTCGAAAAACCAAAAAAAAAAAAAAAAAAAAAAAAAAAAACCATGTTTCTTTTCCCCCCTTTTGTCTAAAATAAAAAGGCTTTAACTAATATAAGAAAACTATATACAATAAGTACAATGACTATATACAGGCAACAAATACATCAACACTGTCTAGCACAAAAAATACATCAACAAAGTCTGAGCACTATGCAATCTTACAAATATAAATGCCAAGCACCCACTAATAATGGTAATAAAATCAAAGCTGGCAGCAGCAAATCACCCCCTGCCTAACTTTGACCACTGACTGTTTTCTTGTGCTGCCATCAGGCAAAGTTGGTGACACATGATAAGGAAACTTGAAGAAGCCATCTCGGTATGCAGAGGATACCAAGCAACCCTGTCTCTTTACTGCCATGGGCCGTGCTACCAAGCCTACGATCGCTTCTTTGACCCTGGACTCACTCTGTGGCCTAGGCTATCGCCATCCTCCCTCCCTAGTCCCAGTACTATAACTGTAGCCATCATGCCCAGCTGGCTGACCACTTGAATGTAGCGATTTTGCGAAGGTTAGTCTTCCAAGGGTTCTAACCGAACTTCTGGAGAAACCAAAGAAGGGGCCAAGTTCATTTGTGATTCGAGCCTGCATTTCTTTGCCTCACTGGATTACTGAAATAAACAACCTTCTTAGTTCACATCCGCTCTCCAGTCTTTCCTCCAGCCAACCCATTTCGTGTGTAGCCAAGAACACTCCTTGTCAAAAATCCTTAATAATCTCCTGCCATATGAGACACAAAGCTCAAATGAACACAAACTGAAAACCCTTCATGGCTTGGTACCCACTGACATTCCTATTTCTCACCACCTCTTTGAGATGCCCTAGATTCTCGTCAGACGATTTGGGATTCTTGTCCTGTTTCCCACCTGGACTCTTGACTTATGCTATTCCAACTACCAAGAATGCCTACTTCTCTGGCTGGTTACTTCTAAACCTTGCCATCCATCAACATCCAGAGATACCATCTCCTCGAACCCCTTCCTATAAAGTCAAGTCAAAAGAAAGCCACCAAGTTGTAACAAAGAATTTAAATGTGCTTGACCATCTACCAACAAATAGAGTTATGTATGGGTGCTTATCAACACTACCAGGCATAGATAAATAGATAGATGATATAGATATAGATATAGATATAGATATAGATATAGATATAGATATAGATATAGATATAGATATAGATATAGATATAGATTGTCTGTCTTTACATACTCATGGCATTTAGCTCTCAGCCCTGCATGGAAGAGTTCTTTGGCAAGCATCTTTTGGATGGAAGACTTTATATCACCTTTGCAACAGATACCTAGCATTCCTTAGTATAATCCTCTATTTTTATCTACTTCAGTAGATAAAAATATACTTCATTAGATAAAATGAAGTATATTTTTATACTTCATTAGATAAAATGAAGTATATTTTTATCTACTTCAGTAGATAAAAATATACTTCATTTATATACTTCAGTAGATAAAAAAAATATCTACTTAGCCAAAGGTACAGAATAAAATCTGAAATTGCCTGCTGAATTCATGGCACAAATACCACATTAAAAATCTTATCACTTAAAAAAGAAAAAAAGAAAATAAAATCTGATTTCTGTTTTTGCAGGCTTCAAATATACCTCTGAATGAAAGTAATAGTGACATGATGCCTGCTAACATCAACACTGTTATGGAGTTACTCTCGCACTAGAAGCTATACAATAAGCTTATTCGAAAGGTTGGCAAATTAGCACCACATGAGCCATGACTGAGCATTTGTTTGGCAAAGAAACCATTATAACAACATGGAAAATACAGTACACCGTCCTGGAAACATTGCTAAACTGACACCTCGGGCATTCAAGTGCACAGTTCCTGTTCATGACATAAACGGGGTGGACTTCCCAGTATCATTCCATACCTGACATTAGAATGCGAAGAGCTGAACCTCATCTTCGTGCGCTCGGCAAGCTTCAGTAAAAACAAGTGGAAGTGTGCGCTAGCCAGATACAGGTTCATCTGTGCTCTCCAAGGGAGCTCTTCAAGAAGTATTTGGTGAAACCGCTTTCTTTTGACATAATTTAATATTATGGGATTCAAGTTCTCTGTCAGGCTTCGGTATGCCATTTTTTTAACATCCGATCTCTTGTTTCTGCCAAGGGAAAAAGATGGTTTGAGTTATACAAAAAATTAAAAATTTTTAAATAAACACTAAATAAAGAAAAATTATTCCAGCTGGGAGGTGGTGTCACACACTTTTAATCCTAGCACTTGGGCAGCAGAGGCAGGTGCTGTCTGAGTTCAAGGCCAGCCTGGCCAACAGAGCAAGTTACAGGACAGACAAGGTTCAAAAACCCTGTCTCAAAAAACTTTTAAAAAAATAAAAATTAAAAAAAGAAGGAGGAGGAAAAGGAAGAAGGAGGGTTCCAATTTGTACAGACTATACCATGGCATCACTTGATTACCCTTGTGCAAATTTTTGGCTCATTTATCATTTCCTCAGTTCTCAAAATAGAAAATAGTGTGGGAGAAAGGCTGCAAGGAGAAGCACAGGGGACAGGGACACGACTTCATTGCCTTCAAGAGCCTCTTACATTTCAGCTCAAACAGGGCTTTGTTTTTCCACAATCAAAAGGCCACTGGGATTACACAGCTATGCAATGTTCCTATTGATCAGTTTTTTTTTTCAATATAAACAACAACTTCATTTCTCTACATCCGTCCTTAAGGGGCAAAAACAATGGAGCAAGATTTTGCCTAACATTAGTTAGACTCTACAGGAAATAAAATTTCAATCAAATATAGAAGGAATAACCTCCAAAATGAACAAATTCAATACACTAAGAGGGTAAAATATCCAACTTGTATTTAATAGTTCATAATGGAGTCTGATTTTGATTTCAGAGAGTGGATCTCACTATGTAGCCCAGGCTGGCTTTGACCTCTCCACCCTCCTGCCTCTGCCTTCAAAGCATTATAACGGTTGAAGTTTTTTAATTTGTTTATTTTTATTGTATGTGCATTGGGGTTTTGTCACGGGTTTCAGGTCCCCTGGAACTAGAAAAACAAACACTGTGAGACAGGTTCTCCGGAAGAGCAGTCAGTGCTCTTAGGCACTGAGCCTCCTCTCCAGCCTGACAGTTCCAATTTTTAAAAGATAGCATACATTTAATCTTTTCAAAGATCATTCCTATAGATCACCTGGTAAACTGTTTGCTATGCAGTCACAAAGGCATGAGTCTGGATTCCCAGAATCCACACTGAAAGATGACTGTGGTGGCACACAGCTGTAATTCCAACCTGGGAGGTGGTGACAGCCAACCAGTCTAGCCAATCAGCAAGCTCCAAACCCAGTGAGACCGTGACTCAAAAGCTGAAGTAAAGAGCAATTGAGGAAGACCCTCAATGTCAACCTCTGACCCTCTAATGGAGGATCAGGACAAAATATCTCATGTACACACACCCAAAAAAAACTATCCAAGTAGCTTAACTGTGTTTATAACTAGTTGTTCATGGGCATCACTTTGTTTTTTCAAAGCAGTCTGTTTTGTACAGCAACTAATAACCTTGTCCCATTGGTCAGCACCATTCTTTGTGACATACATTTAAAAGGTTAACAAATACACACATACACAGATACACACACACACTAGATGATAGATAGATAGATAGATAGACAGACAGACAGACAGACAGACAGACAGGCAGGCAGGCATGCAGGGAGACAGACAGACAGATAGATGGTAAACAGGTATGTAGGTAGATGGATGGATAAACAGACAGACAGACAGACAGACAGAAATCAGGTCCAACCAGGGCAGGTCAAAATATCCTGCCCTATAACAGTCCCTCTAATCAAGACCAGCAAAATCACCATCACCTGTGAATCTATTAGAAATTACTGTTTTCTGTCTGCACCTGCTCTAGATGCCTAGGGGTCAGCCAGACCTACTATCTCTGTTCATTAAGGCCTCCAGGCTATCCTGTTTCAAGCTGCAGTGTTGATAATGGAGAGTTTGTGCTCCCTAAGATATGTTCTGAATCTGAATCAACACACACGCGTGCACACACACAAACACACACACACACACACACACACATAATAGGGAAAGGAGGAATAAACAGAGGGAGGAAGACAAATATTAGAATTATCAGATAGCTGCAGAATGAAGAAGGAACGAATGCATTTTTTAAATTACAACAATCGTTTTCCTTTCTGCATTTTTATACATACTTGGTATCGGTTGCCATCTCATACCTGCCTCTTTCCCCACACTCCCTGCCCCCCACTGTACCCTTCAACCCCAGCAATTCCCTTTTCTACTTTTATATAATATGTGCCCAACACCCTCCCCACCCTCTTCCTATAAGCCCCCCTTTCTCCTCTCTTGGACACCTTTCTACTGTCATGACCTCTACCTACACTTCCCTCTGATACACACACTTGACATTATTGTTCAGTTCTGAATATATGAATTTTGGTTAACAAAGGTCCTTTAAGTCAAGGCTTCTTGGCTTTCTGTTGTTGTAATAGGTTACTTTTTCTACCAAAACCATGAATCTTTTAAATGATTATTCTGAAAATTTCAAGTGTTGTTGTCAAAACAAAATGAATCCTGTCATTGTATGGGGGGGGGCAGTTCTCCTCAAGAGCTAAAGAGAGCCCACAGGACCTCCACTAGAAGACAAGAGTCCAGGAAGTGAGCAGGAGGACAGGGCACATCCTGCAGTGCAGACAAGCCAGTTCACAAGTGCACAAAGTAGAGAGCGCAACCTAATATTGAATTGCACCCTAACAACGAGACCTATCACCATGGTGGTGATGGCCACATATGTCCTACAGATTGCACAGAACTAAACATATATACAGAGAGAGACGTGTATGGATTCACATAAAGCTGCCATACTCTAAAGAGTCACAGTCCCTTGGAAACTAGGTAAAGAGCTTCTCAGGTCTGTCTCTCAAAATGCATACAAATCTTCAATTATCTGAAAAAAAGTATCTTAATGTACATGTTATAAGAATGTCCATATCACAGGATTTTCAATATTATACTTGAGGTCTTATCCTGTCAGTAACGAAAAAAAGAAACCAGAGGCTTAAACACTAGAGAAGAATGAATCAGACCTTTGGACCATCCACACAGACAGACTTGAGCCCAGGAGTAAAGGATCAAGCAATGCAGACCATCTAAATACCAGGATTCTAGTATATCTCTATTCAAAGACTATCAGAATTCAGAAAGTAATTTTAAAATCCATGCAAAAATAGTGCTTTATATAGCAACACATCTGGGGAAAAACCACCCAATGTATCAAAACACATTACAAGATCTTTAGATGCAATCTGTCTTCTATAAGAAGACGTGGCGTTGCAAAGAAACCAAACAAAATTTCCCAAGCTGGCAAATATATTCAATTCTCTTTTCAAATTCACAACAGAATTCTTCCTGTTACACAGCAAGCTAGTGTGAACTATTTCGGAGAAAATTATTCAAGACCTGAGTGAAGGAAAACAACATACTGAAGGGATGGTTTCTATCAGACAGTAAGTTTCCTTGAGAGCCAAAGTAATTGCAATAGCAGGTTACTGATTCAGAAAACAGGTAAACAGACTTACGGGACAGAGAATAGGTCCCAAAACTAAATCCATGAATAGTCAGTAAATAACAAAGGTGTCAGTGACAAGAGAATCTACTGTTAGATAACAGATGACCAACAGATGGCGCCATCTAGGCCGGGCGGTGGTGGCGCACGCCTTTAATCCCAGCACTTGGGAGGCAGAGGCAGGCGGATCTCTGTGAGTTCGAGACCAGCCTGGTCTACAGAGCTCGTTCCAGGACAGGCTCCAAAGCCATAGAGAAACCCTGTCTCGAAAAAAAAAAAGCAAAAAACAAAAAACAAAAAACAACAACAAAAAAAAACAGATGGCGCCATCTAAAAGAGACTGTCATTTAGGGGGAGATATGGCTCGTCATTTGAGGGCACTGGCTCATCTTCCAGAGGACCCGGGTTCAGTTCCCAGCACCTCCCCCATGGCACTCAGCCGTCTGTGACTCTAGTTTCAGTGTCCCCTCTTCCGACCTTCATGGGCACTGCACACACATGGTGCACACACATATGTGAGGGCAAAACACTCATACGCATGAAATAAAAATAAATTTCTTTCTAAACTTCTGTCCTCTGAAGATAAAAAGCCATTCGTAACTCGCTCTGGACTCCTGGTGGCCACCGGCGGCTCTGTAGCCAACACTCCACAGGACAGCCCTTTCAGAGCTGTCTCTGATTCGTGTTGGTTACTGCACTTCTAGCATTTGTAAGTGCCTTGAAAACACTCATGTTTTCCCGCTGTTGCTGCTTGACACGTTCAGACATTTACATGATGAACTTCAGCCATTAGGTCCTGCGTCACCTCTCTCGTCTCCCTCCTACTCCCACTAGAGTTGTTTTTCCTTCAATCCACCCCCCCATACACAGACACTTTCACGTCTTCTTTGTGAGTGCAACCCACTGGGTTTGATTATTGCATCATATCACCCCCCCCCCCGGTATATCCCCAATACCCAAATCAGTGCCCAGCAGGGAGTAAGCATCACGTAATAATGCTGACAATTCATCGATACCTCTCCTGCTCCGACAGTTCAAAAATGGAGGGATTCTTGAGAAAGAAATCTTTGAGAGTTTCCTTTTTCTTCCTTTTTCTGCGTTGTAGCCCGTCTATGCTCTTCATGGAAAAGAGAATAGATGTTACAAGTCAAAACTGGAACATAAAGGGATTATCTCCCCACAATGTGATGCCTATCTTCTGACCTTGAAACATACTGGCTTTCCTACAGCCTTTAATGAAAACCACTATCAGGGGGCTGGACACATGGTCCAGCAGTAGAGGTCAGAGGTCACTTGCTGCTCTTTCAGAGGACCTGGGTTTGATTCGCAGCATCCACATGTTGGCTCACAATCATCTCTAACGCCAGTTCGGGGGACCTTAGGCCCTCATCTGGCCTCTGTGGGCACTGGGTGCATACATGGAACACAGATATATATGCAGAGAAAATGCCCATACATGTAAAAGTAAATAAGTAGCTATAAAAAGTAAAAACGAATCCTTTAAACAAAAATATCTGGTTATGAGAACATCTATATGGTTATTTAAGAACTTATTTTAACTTTATTAAATTTATTTAACTTTATTAAGAACTTATTATAAAATTATGCCTACTGGTATTTCTTTCTCTTTCATATTCTAACAAGATATAATCAACAATCTCTAGATATATATTATCTTCAATGTTATCAATATATTAATAATATATTTATTAATCTTAATTGATTTTATTAATTATTAAAACTTACTTTTCCAATCTCGATGACTATGGCTTTATACTTCTTGGAAGACAACTTGGCTGCCTTCTTAGAAAAGACGGCGTCCTTGCATTTTAACCTTTTTACTCCAATGAGGGACTCGTTTCTCCTAATCCACACACAAAAAGAAAAAGTCAAAAATAGGCAGAAGCTGAAGGTGACAAGAATCTCAGAGTCCTAAATCTCTAATTAATGCTGTCACTGAAACTGTGAAAAAGGAGGGTGCCCAGACAGCCTGCTCCATGCTTCACTTGGGTGAGGACTCCTGGACATGAAGGGCAGCTGGCCTCTTAACAGGACAATGTCATTCACACTAAAAACTTGTGACGAGGGCGGGTGTCCACAGGGGAAAAGGAAGAGCCGAAAGTAGGGCATAGGTGGATGGGGCTGGACTGAAAATGATCTACAGCTACTTCCCTCCACTATCAAGACAAAAGCCACATCACAGTGGCCCCAGACAAACTGTCCTGCCTCTGATCGACTTCAGTCTTTTTAGTTCCATCCTGCAGGAACTCCCAACCACCACTGCCATTGGCTGAACCTTCTTCCAGGTCCTCTCAGGAGCACTGAGCCTAGTTTTCCTGGCATGGCTTCCGGCAGATCTGTTCTCCAGATACCGTCCTCTCAGGATCTTATGGCTAACAATTGTCAGCTAGTTTTCCTGAATTGCATGCATTTTTCTGGAATTTCTAGTTCTTGTTACAAAAACAAAATCCTGTTCTAACATGATGAATGAAAACCAAAAACTTGAATGAAATGCAAAGCTACAAGGTTAAGACAATGACTGAATGAGTTGTGTTAACTAGTAACACTATGATCAAAATGTACTTTTGCTTATAGTGATGGTTGACATCATACTATGGTTTGCATACTATAAGTTCTGTGTGTGTGTGTGTGACTGTTGTGTGTGCACATGTGTTTTAATGAGCAGCTATGCAGATGTGGTGGCCAGAGGGTAACTTGTGATATTCCGATCTGATCTTTCAGACTCCCCTCTACTCCCCTGTGATGGCATTTCTCTCTGAACCGAGGGATGGCGATTTTGACTAATGACTTGTGATATTCCGATCTGATCTTTCAGACTCCCCTCTACTCCCCTGTGATGGCATTTCTCTCTGAACCGAGGGATGGCTATTTTGACTAATGACTTGTGATATTCCGATCTGATCTTTCAGACTCCCCTCTACTCCCCTGTGATGGCATTTCTCTCTGAACCGAGGGATGGCGATTTTGACTAATGCTGGCATTTCTCTCTAAACCGAGGGATGGCTACTTTGACTAATGCTGGTTGTCAGAAAGTCCCAGCAGTTGTGTCCCCACCTCCCACGGTACTAGAGCTGTGTCTCTGCTTGGTCATTCACGTGGATGCTAGAGACGCTCTCATGCATCTCTACCCTGAAAGTATTCACATCCACCAAGTAATCCCCAACCCCTCACTTGAGTTGCTGTGAAGACGATCATGGACCCTCTGGTTGGATGGACTCCCACGCAGTCGCAGCAATTCTGAGAATACCCCTAGTTTTTTAGGCAGATATTTCATCTAGCCAAGCTGGTGTTTGGACCAGCGACTGCTGGGAACATGGGGACTCCTTCACTTCCAAACTGCACCCTGAAACTGGTATTTCTCCTCTCACAGTACCAAACGGTCAAGGTGGAGGTGGCCGTGTTATTGCAGGAAGAGGTGGGAGGGAGAGGAGGTCAAAGATGAGTGCTCTCCATCATCATCTGTACACAGCACAACCCTCATCCATCACACATCAGACATCCTCCACTCCTGCAACCCTGCAGCTCCGTGCAGCTCTGAGGGCTTTCTATATTATTATGGTGTGTTTGGGTAAATCATATTCTCAAATTGCTATGTCCTCAACATTAACATTTATTTCGTGACTTCTACATTTTTTGTTTACTTTTATAAATATTTGTCTCCAACAAGTAAGTCTCAATGGTGCTCTGCCTATTATTTCACAAGCAGGACTCTTTGATCTTTACTGGACAGTCTGATCCTCTTTCATTGTTCTTTTCCAAAGACCATTCATGATTCTAGACCATCCTACAATTTACCTGAAAGAATCCATATTGAAATTTTAATAAACCAACAAAGAAATTTTAAGATAATAGAAACCTTTACAAAATTGTGTCTGACTAGAAAGTGAGGTACCGACTTTTAATTTTATATATAGCATGTAAAATACATACATATGTCTTATATAAAATTATGTTTGGTCTCTTCTTCATAATAGTCAAGACTCCACATAATCTCTAGTCAATTTAGTCATGTACTCTGTAAAAACTGGATTTTTCATTAAACTTTCAAGTTCATACAGGAAAGTTATTGATTTTTCATCTAACTATGAAATTCAACAGTTTTTTGCTAATTATCTTTAGATTAAGCTAAAAGAAACAATTACTTGCCAGTGTCTCCATTTTTAGAGTATTTCACTGTGGAATCCACTTAACAAACATTTTTAATTCTCCGTGTTGTGGCAAGCATAAAAACTCTACTTCCAATTTCTTAATATAATGGCAAGAACTTTCAGAACAATGCTAATTGTCAGAAGATAAAATAGCTTTCCTAGTTTAGGGTTTAATTTAATAGAAAATCATCTGATTTTCATTTTACAAGAAGAATCACTGAATTTACCACATAAGTTTTAGAGAACACTTAATGGCTCCTTTAACTAGCAATGATAATTACATTTTCCTGTCTCCTACTCAATCTTTATTTTAAGGCTGAGCTCACATACTAGCATTTACCTTGGGCTTCTGCCTCTATATATTGCTCAGTACACTTGATCTGTACTTTTTCTATTTGTTTACTCCCTGAACTGGGCTTGATGGAAAGCTGTATGCTAAAAGAAAAGTGCTCATTCAATTTTTTGAAATATAAACAACTGCCCCGGATAAATCTCAGCTAGCCGAATGTTTCTGCTGCTTTTCTCAGTTGTATAAATTTTTCCAGATAACCATGACTTACAGCTAGATTTTAAAGTATATTTTCTTTTCCCATGACCTGTGTTTCTCCTTTTATTATTATGCCTCATGGAATTTTTTTAAATTTTTATTCATATTCCTAAAGAATGATCCTTTGTGGCAACTGAAATGACTTAAAGCCAACTTGCAATTGATTCATTTCTGCTTTTATTTTTTTCTTATGTCTTTCTTCAATTCACTTTTTTATTTCTTGACTTTAATGAGAACTCCTTTCAGCTCATCTTTCCTTCTTGGCAGCAGAAGATTCTAAGGCTAAGGATGTGTCCTCAGCTGCTGCTCTGGTTGCCTCTCATAGGCTGGGTTCTTGTTATCATTAGCCTCCTAGAAGCTTTAATTCTTCTTGATTTAAAGAGATATCTTGATTCTCTACAGGTTAGAAATATAAATTTATCCTATTAATTATGTATGTACGTTTGTATCTTTCCTCTTTAGGTCTGTCTTTATCCACCCCAACTTGGTGAAGACATCCAAAATCATGTCCTTGACCTGAGTTTACACAACTACCACTAAGTCCGCTGCCCTGCTCAGTCTCCAGGCTCAGGTATTTGTGATGCCGCTATCATAGCGCTCATGACTCACTTCACCTGTTTACCTTCTAGAAGACCTACTGTCATCATCATTACCATCATCATCGTCATCATCATCATCACCATCATCCTCATCACCATCATCATCACTATCATCATCATCATCATCATCATTACCACCATCATCATCATCATCTCCATCATCATCATCACCACCACCATCATCCTCATCACCATCATCACCATCATCATCACCATCATCCTCATCACCATCATCACCATCACCATCATCATCACCATCGTCATCATCATCTCTATCATCATCATCATCATCATCACCATCATCATCACCACCATCATCATCACCATCATCATCACCACCATCATCATCACCACCACCACCACCACCATCATCACCATCATCATCATCATCACCATCATCATCATTATACCACTTTCATCATCATCACCATCATCATCATCATCATCATCATTTATTACTAACTTTCATGGTTCTTTTAACTTGCCCCATCACTGAAAACAACTACTTTTCACAAGTCTTACCTGTTTTTTAACTGAATACAGCTTTATAATTCTGACCACTTTTCTGATTACCACAGCTACTTATACTCAATAGACTCACAGTCTCCTCCATCTTTTCAAAACATTATACTCATATATCCCATGTTCTGGCTTTCATAAATGAGGTGCCTATTTTAGAAAGAATGCTTCTGTGTGGGCTCTCTCCTCTTTTGGTGCCATTTTTAAAATAAACCTCACGTTACTTGCTGTTATTTTTACTCAGATGGAACAGATAGGTTTATACTCCATGATGACAGACGAGGGGTCTGAACACACGCTGGATGTATCTGGCATTGCTTATAACTGGCAAGGGACGTTACAATTTTCTTTCAGAGTAAAGACAATCTTTCCACCTTTAGGAAATAGAGGGGCAGATTCAAGCCATTTTACTCCTAAGAACTTCACAATGAAACCCCCAAGGAATGGCTCTGCTCATTAAGACAGAATCATGAACACATGACGCATGTGCAGAGCAAGTGCGAAGCTGAATTCTCAGCCTCCCACGAGAAGGAGCTACAGACTAAGGAGATGCTGTTACTCATAACTGTTCTGTTTGTTGTTGGTGATGGGACCGTGCTCTGGTCTGGGCTCTTAGTTCAGTTACATCAATGTTTTAAAAGTTAGTCAGTTAGTTACCCACGGAAACACAAACCTTCTCCGTCTATCAGCTCAGCTGCATTTACCCCACACTCTTTTCCATCTACCTTTGTCAAAGTTGCTGACATCTGCAGAACTAGCATCACAAGTACCTTCTCAAGAAGTCAAACACTGGAGCTGCTGTCTCCACCATGAGTTGAAACTTTTCATCGTTCATACATTTGAGCATAACTTGTGTAAAGAATTCAAGGAATCTCGGTCTTTGCTTAAATTTCATGACTACGGAAACAAGAAGTTCATTGGAGAGTTACCAGTTTCCCCTGGCAATGGGTGCCAAAAGGTCCCTAGGGCCAACCATCTTTAGTCACAGCAGGCACACTGACTGAAGGGCTTTTGGATTTCCCACATATTTATTTCATTTTTAAATAAAATATAATTATACCATTTCTCCCCTCCCTCTCCTATTTCCTTGGAACGGAGGGGGCTCCATTATCTATCAAAATCATGCCATCCTTTTTTAAATTATTGCTGTTCACAGACAGACACATACATACACACAGCAATAATTTTATATAAGTACAACCTAGTGAGTCTGTATAGTGCTGATATGTGTGTATGATTTTAGGACTATTTGGTATTGAAAAACCAACTATACTCAGAGATGAATGCAGCTCTCACCACTTATCAAAGAAGCCTCCTTTGGCAGCAGATGGAGATCATTATAGAAAGTCACAACTGGTCAAAACGCAGAGAACAGCTAGCCATAGGTACCCAACCCAGCTGATACATCTATGTCAAAGCCCCTACACTAAAGGCTCAGAGAACATTGTGGAAAACAGGGTAGAAAGAGTGTAAGAGCAAAAGACCAGGAAGTCTGCGGTGACACTGTGTCTTCCAGATATGGCGGGGAAGTCACACACATGAAATCACGACACTACCTCAGTCTGCACAATGACAGCGCCAATCAACATCCACAAAGGGTGAGGGGAATCTTACGGGGTGGAGGCCCCATCCCTAGATGGAGACCTACAGGCAGCTAATGGCTCCTAAGAAGGGGAGGATTGCTCTTCTCCAGGATGAGCCCCGCATTGGTTAGATTTCTCGCTTGTGAGTACTGAAGGAGAACCTGTGGGATGCGCTGCTGCTCTATTTCAATGGCCACTCGTATTTCACAACCCAATATTTGGTTTATTCTACAAAAAAACCTCACTATTGAGAGCAACTTAACTGAAACTGCTTGTGATGGATGGCTGTCTGAAGGAAGTGCCGGTCACATCTCATCCTGATCTGAACCACCTGTCACTCAGAGCCAAACAGAAAACCGCATCTCTTCAGAGCTGAATTCTTAAAGCGAGGACTGCATTTCCCAGGGCCCTTCTTTTTGTTGGCTGCATAATGACACCCTTCACTTCAAAGCCACTTGGGGAGGCTCTGCCTTCCCAGATGTCAAGTCGCCTGTATAGGTTTCTCAGAGGCTGCACTATTCTCAATGGGTGATGCTACCGAGCAGACAACAGAAGCAGCCTGCCTGTGGCCACGGCCACTTTCCATCACTCACCTTCCTTCATGGAGCCTTTCACCGTCCAGTTCAAAACCACAGGGTAAAGAAAGATGGGATCCTCTGCTCCAGAGAGTTCAGTGAAGATGACTAGGGTAAAAAGAACATTAGTCAATTCCGGTCTCTATTTGGATCACAACAACCAAAACATACACATCTTTTGGAGAGAGTTTTTAAAAACAGAGGAAACACTCAACTAAATACTAAAGCATGAGCCTTAAAATATCAAATATATCATATTTCGGAGTGTGAGAAAAGATCAATTATCTACTTTCCTTCCCATTAAAATGTAAAAAAACCCACATCAGACCTAGCAGGCATATTAAGCCCATCTGAAGGGACATTATCAGCACAGAACACCAAGTTCTCAGCACAAAGGAGATTTACTTACGCCAGAAGGACAAAGGGCAGGGAATAAGGGACAAAGACAGGAGACAGAGGATGAGGAACAAGGGAAGGGGCAGGGGCATTTGTCCTCTCTGGAAAGAGAGGAGGCAGGGGTGGCCCAGAGGGAAATGTGGTTTATAAAGGTAAAGCTGGAAGCCCTGTAGGGGGAAGGGTTTAGTTTTGATTGGCATGGTAATTAGGGCAGCCAAAGGAGACATAATACTCTGCTAGCTGGACCTTGGTGGTGAGTCTCAGGAATGAGTCTGGCAGAAGTGTCCAAAGAAGGGAATGGACCTTGGTGGTTGACTTTGGGAATATAATCTAACAGTTTTTAGGAAGGCAGAGAGAATGGGGGCGAGGGACAAGGCCTGCCAGAGCCATGTATGCCACGCTAGAGTCCCTTCGCCGTCTTTAATGAAGTCACTCCAAAGCCACAACATGCAGCACAGCCACCAGAGCCAGCCTGTCTGTGTCAAGTTCCGCGTTCTTGGTGTTAAGACAAGGACTCAGTATGTAGCCCAGGTTGGCATGGAGTTTGTGATCCCCCTGCCTCAGCCTCCTGAGTGCCGGGACTACAGGGTGTATCAGCCTGTTCAGCTCTGCTTTAAGGTCTAACCTTGACACTTTTGAACTATGAAATTTGGTGGGCAGGGGTGAGGTACTTAGAATCTCTGCCTCAGTTTTCTTGCCTTTAAAAGAGAGCAATTTCCTTATGTGGTTGTTATAGAGAATTTGTATGATTTTTATAATGCATTTAGAATAGTATCTCACACATAGGAGACACTTCCCAAAAACATTTTTATGGTTACTGAACTTACTGTGTAGCTAGTAATAATTTTATTTCTTTAATAAAAAGTTTTGTCTATATGAGAATAAAATATTCACATTTTAGAACACTTTAAATTTTAAGAAATTATATTTTTATGTTTGTGATTAAATGATTGCAGTTTTCCATAAACTAGGTTTACTAGTTTATAAGAACAACACATCATTAGGCTCAATTCAAAACTTTAGCTCAATTCAAAACCTAAACACTACCACCAATAGGTTAGCTTCCCAGTCAGTTACCAAGATATGGATGGTGTGTTCTGTTCCTATGAGCAGAGCCCAGGGATGCCAGCCCACATCTTCAGGACCTAGGACAGAGACACCCCTACTGCGCTGGATGAAACTTGACAGTGGAGAAAAAAGGTCCAGTTTCCTTATTTAGTGATTGATGGGGGAGGATCACTTAATGCCATCCTGCACTGGTAGTCCTAGGTTCTATACAAAAGCAAGTTAAGCCAGTAAGCAGCATCCTTCCATGACCTCTGCATCAGCTCCTGCCTCCAGGTTCCTTCCCTGTTTGAGTTCTTGTCCTAACTTCCTCTGAGGTTGAACATTGTTATGGAATAATCCTCTTGTACACTGTAAAGATTTGCCATTCAACTTGGTTTAATAAGACGCTGATTGGCTAGTAGCCAGGCAGAAAGTATAGGTGGGGCAGCCAAACTAAGATGATGGGATGAAGAAGGGCAGAGTCACCAGCTAGACACAGAAGGAGATAAACGTGCCATGCTATCAAAGGTGCTGCCATGTGGCAGAGTGTAGATAAGAAATATGGGTTAACTTAAAGTATAAGAGCTATCTAGTAATAAGACTGAGCTATCGACCAAGCATTTATAAGTAATATTAAGCCTCTGAGTCAATTATCTGGGAAGTGGCCACAGGGTATTTGGTAGAGTAGTATATTATTTGTGCTTTAATAAATAAAACTTGCCTGAAGATCAGAGAGTAAAACAGCCACACTAGTCAATCATACAGACCTGGCAATGGTACACACATCTTTAATCCCAGCAGCCACGCTAGCTCTCCATAGAGGCCAAGCGGTGATGGTGCACAGGAACTCGCTTTTTTTCAGTCTGAAGATTTCATAGAGGTAATAGTTCTCTAGGGGCTGGCTGTTTTGCTTGTATGATCTTCAGGTTGAACCCAATATCTGTCTCTGGGCTTTAATTATTCATGCTACAATTTGGGAACAGTAGGACGGGAGAGGAACGTCTGACTACAGAAGGTCGATATGGACATGTAAGCCCAATAATAATAAGCCCTTTCCTTCCCAATTTCTTTGATCGTGGGGTTTTATCACATCAACAATAACCCAAACTAAGACACCTCAAAGAACTATCTGCACCAAAAAAACAAGAGTGCCAAGGTTGTAAAAACCTACTCTAAAGCTGAAAGACACAGGCCCAAGTCCAAGCCAACCATGCAAACCTAAGTTAAGTCCCTTATCTTCATGAGCGCACCTGTAGAAGACAGGGGGCTCTTACTAACAAAGTGTTGCAAGGATTAATGGTATAATGTAGACACACCGTATAATCCTTAAAGGGTTTACCAAATACTAATCTCATCTTAATTCTTTCAACAAAACAGTTTCTTGTTTCAAGAAACAATGCAAAACAGATACAAGAGGGGAAAGAATTACATTGCTTTGTGAGTTTGAGTAGATGTGTCTCCAACAAGGCCAGCTGTTCGTTTATCTTTTCCGGCAGCAGCACCTGCTGCGGCTTCTTGGTTCTGGAAGTTTTCTTAGAACAAGTACCCTAGAAACATTGGCAAATGTCAAAATGTGTTTTAACATGTTAGGGAAGTTGTCATTTTTGGAAAACCTGCGTTATGTTCTGTTTCCCCCTTTCCTGTTTAGTAGGTAAGACTGATGTGTGTGGCTAAGCAACAATAATTAGCAATTTACAGCAGCTGATACTGCCTTCTAGCTGGACGTGCTAAGAGGTTCATGGACAGAACCAAACTGTTCTGTTTCCCCTCCTTCCTTCCAGGATCTCCCCTTCTAGAATGCACACTCTTACTAGTGGTGCTGGCTGCTATAGCTAGCGTGTGTGTGTGTGTGTGTGTGTGTGTGTGTGTGTGTGTGTGTGTGTGTGTTTTGAAAAAGTGTCTTCTGCAGCTCAGGCTGACCTCAAGCCAAGGTCGACTTTGAACCCCTACTCTTCCTTCCTCCGCTACTCCAGTGCTGGGATCAGTGCAGGCTCCGCCATAGCCAGTTTAGGAAGCGCTGGAGATCAAACTCGGGGCTTCCGGCATGCCAGGCCAGCAGTCCGCCTACTGAGCTACATCCAGTTCCTGCCCTCTTCCCAATGTAGCTGTCACCTCCAAAAACCCTCAAAATGAAATCTCCAGCCAGGCCCCAGGAGGGATCCTTTTCTTCCTTTCTGTTCTTGTTTCCCCAGAAGGATCTCCTTTACAACCCAGCTAATTGCTTCTACCTCTGCCTTTCACAAAAACCTAACAAGATCAGTAATTAGCAGATTAAGGACTGGCCTGTGTGTGCCCAGGCTCCCCACCATGTTTTCTCTGTCTGAGACTGAGAACTGACCCGCACTGTCTCCTGTTATCACAAACAAAACCTTCTAAGCCTCTTTATTCTTCCACGAGGTCTCTAGCGGCTCTAGTGAGTTCCTCCTCTGACAAATTAACAGATCCTACAACCTTAGTCAGTGGGAAGTGTCACAACCTCCTGCTGAACCAGGGGCTCCAAGGAAAGAGGGGTGAGACCCAAGGGCACGGAGCCTTTACTCAAGGCCTGGATGACACAGGGCACTAGCGGGTAGAGTAAGCAGCTGGTTTGAAAACAACAGATTCAAACTGCCTCCAGTTTAATCTAACGTTCCTCGAGGCAAAACAAGCCCCACATCCTGCTCTCCCAAAAGATGCCACAGCTTAAAATTCCTCTCCCCAGGATGCTTGGGACCCTACCAGGCAACAAATCACCTTGCTTTCTCTCTCAGGAAGGTTGGAGCCAATTTGGGAGAGGTAAGAGGTCCTTCCTGGTGTGTCTCAGAAAACCAGTAGGCCAAGAAACATCTCAAAGCCTGACCCACAAACACATGAGGCCTACATCATCTCAAAAAAAAGCAATAAAGTCTTAAGTCCCTCTAAGACCCTTGCTTATGAAGCACACATTGAAGATTCGTCTTAAAATAAGCAGCCTCATAAAGACAGGAGTCGAGGTATCACTGATGTTCATAGGTCTACTTTGGAGATGAGATTAGAAGGTTCAGCGACATGTTCAACCCCTTCAGTGATGCACACAGAACTGTTAAACCTAAAGTTAAATTGTCAACCCGACCTGCCCAAGGACCAGGTGACATCCTGGGATTCTGGGAATTGTAGTTCCTGGAAACTAACAACAAAGCCTCATGGGAAAGTACATTGGTCTATGGGTTTTGCCCTTCTAAGCCACGCCAACATGTGCATTCTGGGCCATTCAGCTGGAAAGGTTTCCAGGTGATGGACCTGACCAAGATGGAATTTGGTCAGTATTTAACATTTTAATTAAAGCTTGCTTTAATTTGGCCAAAACGGTGAAACTGGTATTTCTGGCAAATTTCACAACTAGAAAGAACAAAGCATCTTTAACTCAAAAGAGGCATTCTTAGGAAATGGTGAGTTCAGTGTCCCACTGAACATAGAAAGATCTAACCTCATCTACTTTGGAGACAGTATTCAGACTGTGAACTATTCAATATGCTAGCTCTTGACTATATCTTAAATGTTTCTTTTTGTTTGCTTGGTTTTCTCTTTGGAACCTGTCCTAGAACTAGCTCTTGTGGACCAGGCTGACCTTTAATTCCCAGAGATCGGCCTGCCTCTGCCTCCTGAGTGCTGAGATTAAAGGCATATGCCACCACCGCCCAGCAAAAAAATATTTTTAAATTAAAGAACTTCTTAACGAAATTACTTTCTGTGACATAAAGATGACAAATTGATCAATTTCGAATATGTCTGAGGATAGTGAGTGAAACACCCAAATGCATAAAAAGGAGGGAGAAACAAACAAAACAATCAAACACCTTACCTCCTCTCCAATCTCATCCTGCTCATTACCAAACAGAGATTTGCACCCTGATGTGACGTCCAATGTCTTTTTCCCGTAATTTATGATCGCTATTGCCAGGTCATATTCCTTCCAGGAACGTAGAATCTAATTTAAAGTAAGTATTAATTATCTCTGTTCCCAAATGCAACGCATAGTCGTTCATAAATTCAAATTCCCCCAAGTCTCATGGGTCTAACAACACCTCACAGTTGTTGTGGCAACTGGAAACTTACCTCCAATCACATTTCTCAAGAATTAAAGTTATACGACTCTACTCTTCTTTAAATAAAGGACTAATAGCAGCTTCTTATCAAATGTGCATTTCCTATCTCGCAGGCTGTCCAGCTTTCTGCTTTGTGATACGCGTCTCTACTATTGGGAAATTACCACTTTTAAAGCCATATTGAAACAATCGTTCCCTGCGGTCATATCCAAAGCCCCTTTCGAGTGTTTTGTTGCTTATTTCTGTTTCGTTTTGTTTTGCTTATCTGGTTTTTAAGACAGAATCTCATGTATCCCAGGCAGATATCAAACTCACTATGTAGCTGAGGATGGTCTAGAACTCAGACGCTCCTGTCTTCACCCACAAAGTGCTGGGATTATAGATGCCCACTTTATCGCAAGTTGCTTCCTCTGAGTAAGGCACAGTTCCTGACTACATGGTGTCTTGAGGGAGGAGGGAAGCCCATGGTGATGTGCAGGGCATTTTAGTAGAGGGTTGGGCAGATTCTCTGCAAACCTAACATTCTCTGCATACACCCTGTCCTCCTCATTCACACTGCCCAAGGCCAGGGGTTGCTCTGCCCTCTCCAGTCCGGCCCTTGTCCACTTCTCAAGAGTAATCTCCCACAATCATCTTGATGAGCCAAGAAGAATCCAGGCATCGCAATGGTCCAGAGCTGGACCCTCGGGTCTCTCCATGGCTGAGTCCTTTTCTGATGTACCTGCCATCTCTTATCTGTACAGCTGGGGCCACCTTATTCAAATCCTGGCTCTAGTATCAACCCTAAGAAGATTCCACGGCCAGTTATCTGATTTGCTATGTCCCACTGTGGTGACTCAATGAAAGGAAGGGAACATTCATGGTGAGCCCCCAGAGGAGCAACAGAAATATAAACATGCTTGCATGTATGTGATATATGTAGAGACATTTTGCTGAAATTGCTCTTTTTTCAGATCTAGGATCACTGCTACTTCTTGATGGAAGAAGGTCATTGGTTAATTAAATAAAGAAACTGCTTGCCCTGATAGGTTAGAACATAGGTGGGTGGAGTAAACAGAACAGAATGCTGGGAGGAAGAGGAAGTGAGCTCAGAGACGCCATGCTCCCCTCTCCTGGGCAGACGTGATAGCTCTGCTCTCTGAGGCAGACACACGCGATGAAGCAAGCTGCCAGGTCAGACATGCTGAATCTTTCCCGGTAAGACTGATGCTACACAGATGATTAGAAATGGGCTAGTCCAGGTGCGAGAGTTAGCCGAGAAGAAGCTAGATATAATGGGCCAAGCAGTGTTTAAAAGAATACAGTTTGTGTGTTGTTATTTCTTGTTTAAAGCTAGCCATGCGGGCGGCCAGGTGCCAGGAACATAGCCCGCCGCTCCTATTTCTACAACTTCTCCATACACTCCTCATGTATGGAGAAGGGATCATATGAACGGACTTAGAGATAGTGAATGAACCTGAACTACTAAGACCCAACTAGTGCTAAGGAGGAGCAATGTTTCTGTGGGGCCAGGACGATGTACTCCATAAGAGCAATGTCACCAAGAATGGTTTCAGAGTGAGGCAAGGTGTTGAATGTCCAGGACAACAATCCAATATCTCTCTCTCTCTCTCTCTCTCTCTCTCTCTCTCTCTCTCTCTCTCCCTCTCTCCCTCCCTCCCTCCCTCCCTCCCTCTCTCTCTCTCTCCACCTCTCTATCACTTTCTGCCTTCTGATTCACCCCCTGCTGCAGGTCTCCCCGCCTTCAAATCCCTAGCTGCCATGCAGCCGGACTCATTTCTCTAAAACTCAGATCCCATTTTGTCACCCTAGGTTTGAAACCCCTGAAAGTCTCCTGACGGATCGCAGACAATGACTGTCCAAGCACCACCTGCTCAGTGCTCCACCATTAAAGGAACCCTGTTTTCTCATTGACTCTTCTCTGGGTCGACCAATGCCAAGGATCCTGCATCCGCCATGCATTTTCCCACCCTGGCAGTGGCCTTTAACTTTGCTTATAATTCCTTGACATAAAAATGTTCCAACTGCAGCTAGTTACAGTTTCCGCTATGTGCTGCCCCCATTGCTGAGGAAGGTGACCCCTGACTCCAAGCCATGCAGACTTTCTTGGATCAGCTGGACGTTATTAAGCTGTGAGGTAGGGCTCTGGCTTTACTTCAGATGCAGTTAGTTATACCAGGGTCCCCCACACTGAAAACCATAATTATAGATCAAAGTCTCCGTGGTCAGTCAAATTGCTACCTTTGTAACACACTCATCTCTTCCGGAGACGTGGGCTGAACCCTCTAATCTATTCCACTGATCGATTTGCCCACAATGCGTTAACACCATTTTTACTAAGGCGGCGTGGTAGTGAGCTTTAATTTCTATTGGGACCCTTTAAATGATTCTAGAGAAAGCCCGCGGGAATTGTGATTAAAAGTACATTAAATTTAAGCGTCATTTTAAGGAAGGATTTATACTTCTGCTACAGTATATCTTCGTGTGTAGGAACTTGGTGTGGCCTGCCATATGCTCAGATTTTAATGCGCGTCCTTGGCAAGATTTCAGCTCCTTTATGCAGGTTCTCTGACACGTGGCTGAGATTTAAATAGCACAGTCTGCCCTCTCCATTTCTGATGATTTCTGACATAAAATAAAACTGTCACTCATATCTGCTTAATATACACCCCCACTTTTTATAGTCTGCATATAATTCTAATTATTCCTTACAAGATGTTTGAGACCCTACAATTACGAATAAGTCGCATTTTCCCTTTCTACAGTTATGAAAGGATTTCAAAGCCATGTCTACAGCACAAGAGGGAACCTCTGGAAATAAGACTGTTAAGCATCGGCACCTCCTTCCTGGGTCTGGTTTTTAAGGAAATGGCTTCAGAAATTTGCCATTTAGTATGATATTTGCTTTCAAATTTGGGTAAATGTCCTTATCGCTATTCAGCGGCTTCCTCTCATTCCAGACTCACCGGCAATTTTATTAGGAAAGGCTGCTAAGTGTGATCCAATGTCGTTGTGGCATTTTCCACGCTTTCTTATTTTTCTTCAATTTGCCGTTATAAAAAAAAAAAAATTCGAGCCTTGTGGTGCTGTGAAGAATCAACTAGAGAGAAGACTTCATCTTTCATGCTTGGCAGTGAGCCTGTCCTGAGACTGTATAACGGACCTGGAGCCTTCCGATGGCAGGGAAGATCAACCCAAAGGACCTGGAGCCTTCCAATGGCAGGGAAGGTCAACCCAAAGGAGCCAAAGACAGCGTGTGGGGCAGCCCTTGTTCCTGCTTAATGTTTGTGGTTGTGAACTCTGCTTTTTCTGGGGTGGAAATCGTCATCTCCCTCCTTTCTTTTTGTTGGTATTTGCTCATTACCGTTGCCTGCTTCATTTTAGATGTCTTTCTTGAAATAATACCCATATTAGAACCTGCATTCCTAGCCCTCCTGGGAGCCTGTCTTCTAAGGTCATCCATGCTTTGTAAAGTGGTGAATACTTATTTATCACTCCCGTCTTTAAAGTGAGCACACTTCCTTGCTTCTTACTACTTCTCTCTCTTATCCTCCCTGTCCATATTTCTTGTTCTTGGATTCTCTCTCCCCTCCCTCTCTTTCTCTCTCTCTCACCTTCCTCACTTCATTCCTTTTGCTCCTTCTACACTAAGAAGTCCCACTGACTGTAAAGTTCTGCTCACAGTGAAAATGAAAAATAAATGAAATTTCTGCCCTGGCAATGCTGAAGCACGTATGGGCAGCCCATAGATGACGGTTCTGTTGAACTTGTCCATATTAGGTTTCATGGTCTAAGGTGATGAGGATGACGACTGACCAGGTCTCTTCCTCAAGGGGTCATCAGATCTCATTACAGATGGTTGTGAGCCACAATGTGTTTGCTGAAAATTGAACTCAGAACCTTTGGAAGAGAAGGCAGTGCTCTTAACCGCTGAGCCATCTATCCAGCTCTTGGCTCACAGCAATACATCACCAAATCATCTTTAAATAGGTGTGTGTGTCCTGCCAGAGAAAATGGTAGTCTTAAGCTACACGCATTTTGTGTAGCAATCATAATTTTGCACAACCATAGTCCAAGAACTGGCCTGTTAACGTTCTCTCCCCCTCCTCGGGTACAATGGAAGTTTTAGTTCTGGGTTGCTAATAAGTTTGTCTTTCAAGGATGACTCTTGTCTCTCAAGAAACCCCACTTGGCATTTACATTACAAAGTCCAGATCATACCCTTATCATCTATTTGTTTTTAATGATACATATATTGAGAGAGTCATTGTTCCTGCTGTTCCTCTCTTTTTGTCTCCCTCTATCTCAGGACTTCTGCTTGGAATCAATTGTCACTTGATAAAGCGTTTCCTCGAGTGTTCTCTTCAAGTAAGCACATGGGCACAATGGTCTGTGAACACTTGTATTTTGAAAGTGTTTATTTTCGCCTGAATAAATGACTCGCATCTTCCTTCGTTATTAGTTCTGGGACTTCAGGCTTTATCCTTCAAACTCCATCTCCATGTTTTAACTTCTAGTGTTGCTAAGTTTGGAGCCATTGATTCTCCTTGCATTGCAAGGAACCTGCTCTCCGGTACTCAAGACTTTAAGGCTTGTCCTTAACCATCGACTTCAAACACATTACCAACATCTCTCTACATAAGAATACCTACCTTAATCCTGCCTGGGACTTGGGGAGCCTGTTACTGCTCCATCTATTTCTTTCTCAAACCCAGACTCTTGGTCTTTTCACGCTGTGGCTTCTGGCTCTGCCCTCTGAATATACTTACCATTTCTGACCAGTTCTATATGGGGGTGTTCTCAGATTTAACTCATATTCTACCGCTTCTGTGATCTTTATCAAATCTGCTTGTCACAGAAGCTTGGCGTCTTGTATCATTTACTTAATTGATTGGTTGGTTTTGTATCATCTAATTGCTCTCTTTAACGTTTTCTTTGCCTCCTTGGTCCCAACTTATCTCTAATCTTTTCCAACGTAGTGAAGAGTACGTTACACAAATATTTACATGTTCAGATTAATCTTCTTCCATTTCTACTTTCTACTTTAAAAATAACAATCTAATTTCTAGTTTTCCTTCATGCCAACTAAGGTGAAACTGGCCATGGGTCTCTAAGTGTATTTATTCCCATGTTCGGCCTGCTCTCTGGGGCCTTCCGATCTAATGAAAGCCAAGACCATAAATTCATAAATGTCCCTCCCTTGACTGATTTTCTTTTCATTTACTCCATTTAAAGCTTCACAGAATTACTCGTGTGTGTGTGTGTGTGTGTGTGTGTGTGTGTATGTGTGTGTGTACACTAAAGCTTTTAAGCTCATGAGGCAGAACTGGGTTGTTAGCTTAATTACTTAATTCTTTAATGAATGCCACAGGTAAGTTTGTCTCTGGACCCAACGATCTGGCCTGAAATCCAACCAAATCAGACATTATGTTACCTGTGTGGTCTCAGTGGTCACTTGAGTTCGTACCTCCTGCTTAAAGGATATCCAGATCTCAAGTGAATTCTGCAGTCTTTCCTTCTGCCTTTCCACACCCCTGTGTGTGTGTGTCCTGGCGCACTATTTACTAACCCAAGCTAGTATCACCCAAGAAGCTTCAGCTCTGTGGGCATACACCAGTTTCTCAAAACAGAACCTGACAGACAGGTAATCTGTGAGCAGCTGTTGAATGAAGGCACAAACTAAAAAACGACAAAGCGGTCTAGCTTCTTCCTATACTTTGTCTATGTCCATGCTCAGCTCCTATCCGCAGATTTACCACTGCCATCCTCAGCTCCTATCTGCAGATTCACCTCTACCATCCTCAGCTCCTATCTGCAGATTCACCACTGCCATCCTCAGCTCCTATCTGCAGATTCACCACTGCCATGCTCAGCTCCTATCCGCAGATTCACCTCTACCATCCTCAGCTCCTATCTGCAGATTCACCACTGCCACCATGTTCTAGATTTGCCTTTTCACTTGGCCGAAGGGTTTGGCACACCTGTCCACTACGTAGCACTAGTCACCTTGGAATGCACCCCACCCGCACCCACTGTGTAGAACTCACAGAGATCCACCCCTCCCCTCTGCCTCCCAAGTGCTGGGATTAAAGGCATGGTCACCATGCCCAGCTATTGTTTGTCTCTGCAGAGCTAAGTTCCACTGCCTTAGCCCAAACTCTGGCCTTGACAGTGAGGCTTCCTGTGGGCTCCATCCCTCTTGACCACAGCCTGACAAGGTGATACACAGACTGCACTCAGCATAGGAAATGTGTCAGCAGCCTTCTTGGGGTTTGGAACACATGTCCTGTGTGACTGTGTATAATGCCAGACGATGTCCAAACGCTATTTCAATGACAGCAAGGTTGAGTTTGTGGGGCACCACGATTTTACCAACAAGTTCAACAGCGGTTAGTTGCCATCCTGTAATCTTCAGGCTCCATATTTGCTTTCCATCTAAGGAAAATGGCTTTGGGGATGCTATGTTTTTTTCTGCATTACCAGTCATTGCAGGTGCCCCCTGAAACCAGAAGAGGGCATTGCATCCTGGGAAGCAGGAGTTAGGGGAAGCTGCTTGCCAAGGGTGCTAGGAAACAAACTTGGGTCCTCTGCAAGAGCAGGAAGAACTTGCTTTCTCTGAGCTCTGTCTCTGGCCCTGGGGGTGCTGATATTCTATTGCATTCCCAACTATGGTGATTAAATGAGGTTTGACTTTCTCAGTACCAATCCTAAGTTTTAAGACAGTAGGCAAACGATGAGATAAATACCTTTGTCACGTAGAAGATACAGCAAGCTATCATGTGTTGGACACTTTCAAAGCTTGAAACATTTTTCTTTGAGTGAACGACAGTTGGCATTCCTTGCAAAACCACGATGCATTTTATCAAGATCTAAAGCACAGAAACATAATGATTTTTGTGTCAACATATCGTCTTATTTAATACAAAATGTGGTATGTAAATCACATCAGTCTTAGGCTATAAAGTGCCACTTCGATCGATCATTATTGAAAACATTTCCACCAGGTATAAAAGAATATACACAGACACGAGAAGCCTATTCCATTTTCAGATGGGTCATCTATCTACATAAAGGGAAAATGAATGAAGAGTGCAAAATAAAACAAAATAACATAAAATGATGCTTATTTTCACAAGCACCATAAAAGGGGTCAAATGCTGTAAGGATCCAAAACACTAAAAGTCACATCCATACTTAGGGAGACCTTGGTAAAGCACAGAGAATCAGGCTGCTTGGGACAGTACAAGGAAGTTGCTTGACATGACAGTCCCTCTTGGACTAAAACCGAGCGCTTACACCACCCAAAATGAGTTAATACTGACGTTCACTTCCCCTCCTGGCTTTGCATCATGTGTTCCTGAACTTGATCAAGAACCAGACTATGAGACTGGGCTCTCAGTCCTCCTGCACAGGTCAGAGCGGTACTATCATCAGAGAAGCAGAGCTGAGATTGTGTTCATTCTAATGATCCCAAAGGACAAATCAGTATGTGACTGTCTGTTCTTTTGAGTTGCTTCAAGCCACCATTTTAGCAATCCGTTACTATCCTGATATACTGGTGAGGACGTTTAATGCTTAATTCTTCCCTTCTGTGCTAATTTACCCTCTAACCCATTGCATACCACATCCCCAACCGTGCTAATCCCCCAGTCATTTCTCAAAGCTTGCATGTGTGTGTGCACGCACACAAATGCAAAAATGTCCCCAGAGAGACTTTGGTTGCTATTTCACAAAATGGCACTTAGATATACTTGTTTGAACTTTTATTTTTATCCCTCAACTATGCCTCATGAACAGTGCCTCCCAATCTGCAGGGACAGCCCTACCTGATGTGGCTAATAGCAATACATTGTCAGCTGGCATGGACTGACTGTAATTTATTGTTCTCACATTGAACTGATCATGGTTAGTGTTTTAGTTCTGACACTACTGCTGCCTTTCTTCAGGTAGCTTGTCTCCACCAAACACGACACGCGACACCCTTCTACTTGCTACGGTGCCCACATGAGCAGCAGCTGTGGGCTTGGAGGAGGATGAAGCACCAACCTTGAGGCCACAGTTCCCACTCAAAGTCAATGGCCGTTACGTGGTACCAAGTCCCCAGGTGGGAAAATATATGAACCTGGGATGCAAGGGGCACTCAGAGCCCCAGAACTTGGCCAAATAATGATTTTATTCTGTGTAACACTTACAGGGTAGTTGCTCTGTCAGATAAATGTATTTTTAATTTTATTAAATTTCTGTCCTATGAAATAAATTACTAGTAGAGGAATTACTGTATCGGATATTTGGTTTTAATTCTGCTTAAAGTTAGATTTAATTTAAGTTTCTTTCACAGAACCCAAAAGCTAATAACAATTCACATTATCCTGCCGGTGAGTCAGAACGCCACTGCTACCACACGCTCTCACCAGGAACAGGAGTTATGGATTCTACACTGTTAATCCAGCAAATATTTCCAGAAATCCTTGGTACCCAAGCATCCTACATTGCAGTGGACTTGGTTTTCTATGAACTGCCTATTCGGACCATGTGTCCCTCTACCTATCAGATGACGGCCAACTGGCAAGGCTTCCTGCCCTATCTAATCTACTCCCCATTCACTTCGAGTTTATTTTTTTCCAATTCCACAAGTCTCTTATGTCTTTGTCATGGTTCTTTTGTCTCAGGCAGTTTATCATTTCTAGTTCTTTTTTTTTTTCTGAGCAGGGTTTCTTTGTGCAGCCCTGGCTGTCCTGGAACTCTCTCTGTAGCCCAGGCTGGCCTCTAAGGGACAGAGATCCTCCTGCCTTTGTCTCTGGAGTGCTAGGATTGATGCTGTGCACCACCACTGCTGGGCTTTACAAGTCCTCTTAATTGGAAAGATTTTCCCTGAAACCCCATACTACATAAGTCTGCTCCGGGTTTTTCCCCCCCTAAAGTTTTGCTTTATTTTCCTTGTAATCCTTTAACAGAGGCAGATAGTTGTACAAACCACAAATAGAGGTCAGATTCTACTTTTCCTTCAGATGAATAACTAGGTGTTTCGCCATCATTTATCCACAATGTCTGTTCTCCTCCCTTTGAATGAGAATATCAATTCTGCCACGAAGCAAACTTTCTCGGGTTATTCACTATGCACATCCTTGAGATGGCTGTAGTGACGCATGATGAAAATATACTGCTCTATCTACAATGTCAAGACGATGAAAGCTGAAATAACTCTTAAAACTGACACCTGACCATTGCCAGTGGCTAGCTAAGGCCATTAATGGGGCTGTGTGCTTTCAAAGAAACATACTCCGTTTCTTTCTGGTATATAATTTGTTGGGCGTTTTCACAATGCTTCTTGACTCATTTGTTCTTTATGAGGGATACACTGCTCTTATTTCCCATAATAATCACTGAACTGTCGTTCTGTGCATACCTTCTGTGGGGGCTAGGGACACCCTCACCTGTATGACAGGTACCAGGACGATGTTGTGATAGATGATAGGAGCGAGGAGTCCGTAGCACTGGGTCACCGCTTGAAGGGCGTAATTGGAATCGTTGAGGTAGCTGCTGAGCTCGAGAGCTACCAGCACGTTCTCACACTCCACCAGTCGAGCGATCTGTGCAGATGTAAGAAACGGCGTGACCCGGGACATCAGGTGCGCAACTCCGTACGCCTTTAAGAGGCGGAGAGGGCAAGGAATGTGGTCCTTCTGGCTCAGCGACATGAACAATAGCATGAAGACAATCTGGACTAGGAAAGGACTCAGACTCTCCCTTAAGGGTCCACGTGCAGAGCACAATCCTGCAACCCAACTCCAGAGTGTTTTGTAAGCAAGAGTCACTAACAACAGAAAACGTGCCTATCTATTTATTAGTGAGACAAAAAAAATTAGTCAAATTTTAATTTCAAGAAAAAAAAACCCTACTTTTTAAAACCACAAATTGTGAATAATAATTAAAATGTAATATACCAATAATATTGCTCTCACTTGGTTAACAGATTCTAATTTCACTTCTTAATTTGTGAGAAAATGGAACAATTGGGGCAAGCCAAACTAATACTTCTATTTGTATTTCCAGTAAGGAACCAGAAATGATGAAGACTGCAAAGCCCACAGCTGTGATATTAAAGACGCCTGCTAAAGGCCTAGAGCCCCTCTCTCCTCTCACTCACCTTCTGGGGAAAAAATATGTTGTTTTTTTATATATCCACATGATTTGTATTTATATCCACATTATTCCCAAGAGAAACTGTATGAACACTAATCAGAAATCTCTACACGAGCAGCTCTGACTAGAATGGTGCTCTCTGGGGCTGACATTCAAAGAAGCACTTCTTTACACGGCTTCCTTTTCAGAACTGATGTGGCCGGAGAAGAAACTGGATGCAATGCAGAGAGAACATTCAGCACAGGGGAAGTGCTTTTGAGAACCTGAGCTCCAAGAACCACAAACTTGCCTGGAGAAAGGGCTCCTGTTACTGGTGTGGGCCTCATGTAACTAGCTACCAGTTAGTTAACCAATGACCGAATCTAATAGGTATAACAAAAAAAAAAAAAAAACCAGAAAAAGAAAGTAGACATCTGAAGCTCCCATAACTAGCAAGGATGGTCAGAAGGAGAGATGCACTAGCTGGAATGAGGAACTAATATAAGATCACACTACCAAAGTCAGGACACTATGGGTTGCGGACTACACAGCGCCTGATACAAATGCCCTAAGAGTCCATTGCTAGGAGGGCCATTAAATCCCTGCCTCTATGTAAGCATGCAATTTTATAATTCAAAAGAACATGGCAAGTTAATATACACCAGCATAAAAGCATCTCTAAGGGGGAGGAGCATTTTTAAGAAGGCAGGTGGATGAACAGTAAATTGAGATCCCATTCTGTAAATAATAATATGCTAATCCCCGTATCTTCTTCAAAAGCAGAGAAATCATACAGAAATGAAACCATTGTGTTCTTGAAGGCAACAAGTGTTTCATTGTTCACACTGGACAGATTTGAGTTCTGAAATCTATACTGGTCTTGTACACAGAGGGAAAAGGTAGATCGAGAAGGAACGATGAGCCGAGGGTTGTGAATATGTTGTAAAACAGTGCAACATATTCAGGCTCCGTTCTCTTGGCCCCTCCACTAGAAGGACACACGATCCCAATGGAACCTGCCCTTGAGGCACGGAGAAGCAAACACAAACACAGCGGAACCCACATCCTTCCAGTTCCTGCCATTTACTCACTTGTTGGGCAGGGAAAATCTCATTGCCTTTAATATTATCACAGAAAAGGTTTTCTTCTTTAATCTTAATGTCGCTTATCACGAAGATATTTCTAAGGAAAAGGTATAAGAGGATCGAGGAGGTTTCTGCCAGAATATTCGAATGCAGTCTGCGGAAGAAGGAAATGGTGTTAACTGTGCTGCTGTTCAGACACTGACCTAGCTATTCGACCTCTTTGGGTTCACTGATTCTCAGCATCCACCCCGTGACCCTGACAGCGGTGGCAGCACACAGAACAGCTGTTCTCAGGTGTCTGCTTAAATGAAAACCAAAAGTGAGTTCACAGCTAAGAAAGAGAAGCAGCTGAGGTGGCAAATTTTCCTAGTTCTTATAAATAGGAAGTACTGTTCTATCAACATTATTGGAATTACAGTAAGTTGGGTTGAAGAACGGGCCCGGAAGTCCAGCTGATGAACTTTGTGATGATAGGAGCATTCAAAGCAAATTCAGCTGCAAAGACTGTATCTTAGTGGCTCTGGTTATCTCTGATTGCCTTCTCTAAATTGCAGGCCATGGTGCCAAAGATCAGCGGAGCTTGACCTCTGTTTGTCCTCCTTTGTTCCCATTCCCTAGGTGGTGACAAGCCCTCAGACTCAAGCTTCAGGTCCATCTGCCTGAATCTCCTGAGCCCATAGAGGAGGAGAGAGCCTGATGTCATTAATTCACACCTGAAGAGGCTCCCACCACGTTGAGAGCTGCACTCCATTTCCAGGAGGGTTGTAGTTCTCCTGCTCCACCCTGCAATGCACACCACACATTTCATGCAATGCACACCGCACATTTCATGCAATGCACACCGCACTTTTCTGTGCAATGCGCACTTCACTGTTTTGTGCAATGCACACCTCACTTTTTTGTGCAATGCACACCACACTTTTTGTGCAAAGTTTTGCTGGCCTCACAATGACCCTCAGCACCGTGACACATGCCTTTGTCTCGCCTATAACTTTCTGGCTCCGTTGCATTCCCTGCTCGCCTCAGAGTCCAGGAAGTCTCTTCAATCCTGAGGTTCACAGAATCTAGTCTCTGTCATCATGTGACCCATAGGGACATCGCTGTCCAATTTTCTTAGTTTTTCATGACACCAGTTTATGTCTTCGCTTATTTCTTTCTTCATTCACCTTTTCAAACAGCGAAAGCCTACCATGTATGATGCTCTCCAAGGCCCTGGGATACAAACACGACTCAAGCAGACCCTTAGCCATAGGGGGCTGAGCTTCAACACAAAGCTCTGCATCAGCTATGATGTCACTTTAGCTCTTCCTGGGAGCCGCTCTGTGCACATGGCCCCATGGAACGTTCTGCCAGCTTTGAGCTCTATACCCCCTTGAGTCCCCATTTCCACTATTCCTCAGGTCTGTCACAAAACCATTTCTGGTTTAGGGTGTCATATAAGTTGCTCTCTTGAATTCACTGGTGACCTCCAAATTGCCAACTTTAAATGTCTCCTGGTTTCTATCCTGCTCAACCTTTCTACAGAGTTTTATTGAGCCTGACCTGGCATTTGCACGTGACTCCCACTTCTCCTGGCAGAGTGTCACCTTGCTTCCTCATCTCCTGGACAGCCCCCTTCCATAGCCTTTCTCTAGTCCATCTCTTACAGCTTCCTCATCTCCTGGACAGCCCCCTCCCATAGCCTTTCTCTAGTCCATCTCTTACATTCACCTCTTTCATGTGAGCAACGCCATTGCTCAATCCCAGGATTGTCTCTTTTCTGCTGAAGTTCAACTACCATTCCCTGGAAGACAAGGCTCCTCTTCAAGATCTCAACAGTGGCCTCCACAGACAGTTTCCAAATTGCCACCTCTGGCTTTGACTGTCTCCTGAATGTCAACACTGAACAAGACACCTCCTATCATCTCCTCACCTACAAAAATATCCTGCTGGAAAAGCTAAATCAAGCAATCCTCCACCCCACTTCCTGCACACACACACACACCCCATTTCCAGACTTTGCAGCCCCTTAACACTAGAAAGTCCGGTCACTATCTGCCCCCCCCACCCCACCCTACAATTCACACGAGACCTAACTTCCTCTTTCTCCCACAGCAGTCACGACCCTAGCACGGGCAAATGTTAAGCCTATAGTTGTCTGACTGAAATGGAATTAAGCTTTTAGTTTACATAAGCCTTACCAACACCTTACTTTGCCTATCATTTATATTTTTATGTTCATTATCTATGAGGGGTGAAGGGTTATAATTAATATGCAGGTGAGAGGTTGGGTTTTTGTTTTTGGTTTTTTTTTTTTTTTTCAGTTTGTAGACACAGCCTGAACTAACAGCCTGAAATGCTCTGTTTGGGGATTGCCTTGAAGTCCTGCTCCTTTAAGGAAAAAGAGCAGAAGAGTCAACAGACAGTCAGCTGATTTCTCTGGCTTCTGCTGGCATGCTGGCAACTGCTGAGAGTCTAATCCTGGGAGCCCATTTGAAGCAAAGGAGAAAAAAACACTTCATAATCACAGTCCAGGCGTCAAGCCCTCACCTTAACCCAGCCACTCCCTACTTGGTTTCAAAAGTCCCAGTGAGTGTTCATGCTTTCTGCTCTGGCTGCTACCACTTGACATTTTTACTCCAAAACGTTAACCATCATTGTTTTTCCTGACTCAAGTAAAGACAGATCTAACAAGGACTGAAGGCCTTGGAACACATGTGCTTTATGATTCTCGTTAGACAGACGTTCACATGGGCTATCTTGATATGAAGACGAAAGCAGGAAAGACAGGGCTTTAAAGTAATGTGTCTAATTACCTCCTCTGTGTTATCGTCATGATGTTGCTTAGAGAGATCACCGACTGTTCATCCTGAAGCGGAGAAGCAACAAAATAATCCCAAACCGGTGAGAAGACCTTCTTGGCCAACTCGTAGTTTTCAATCTGATAGGCGACCTGTGACAGAGAACACATTGTCCCCGGGGGTCTTTTCACTTGGAACATGTATACTGCAAACCCAATTCGGACCCCTCCCGCCACACACTAATTCCACATCCGCTGTTCTGGTCCACGGTGCCACAGTGAGGGGACGGGGTGGCCGTGGAGGAGGCAGATGCATTTTGAAATCTCCTTTATTTCTAAATTGCATGGAAATTTGAAACTCTGTAAGGATGTTTCAAATCCTCATAAGCAAAACAAAGATCACATCTGAGCCAAATTAATTTCATTTCCATCCATCTCAGCAGTACGCCCCATTTATTATAGATACCGTTATAATGAACAATCTGCTCCAAGAGAAACAATCAGATTTCCCCAACCTGATACATGAAATATATTTCATTCTGTCCTGGTTCTGACTGACACTTTCCCAGCTTTTGTGCAACAAAGAGTTGGCAGCTGAAGAGGGTAAAGAATAAAAAGAAATGCTTTTGAAGAGTCCGTATCTCTTAAGTTTAACAGATCCAGTGCTGAGGAAAATAATTTCACTGGTGAAGCTTAGAAGCCCAGTCGGAAAAGAAAAGAAATCACCGACTGACCTTCTTTTGATGGAATGCATTTACGGGGATTTCTAAAAATTCTTCTATTTTAAATGCATACCTAACACGACCCTTCACCAAATGACTTTCACGCTATTTCAAATGATAAGGAATAAATAAATTCATTGAATTAAGCACAGAAAGGATGTGTTGCTAGAACATTATCCACTCATGGGAAAAGCTTGCAGGGCCAGAACCTCTCTCGTCTGTCAAATGATTCCTCCTGACTCACCAAGCAGTAAGCTTTCCAGAAAGTTCCTACCCTGTGCTCATTGCTGGCCATGCAGGCGCCAGTTAGCTTAGGAATGCCCCCACCCCATGTGACTAGACCCAAGCTGAAAGCATAAACCGCACAACGGTCCAGCGAAGCTATAAAGACCACAACTGTTGTGTGTGCATGGAGGGGTCTCAATACAGAGTGCACATTTTATAAGGAGGGAGTGCAAGGCTTGAGTTGAACCCTGAAGCCAGGATACAGTTCCAGCTGGTCTAGTTTAGACAGTGCGTGAGAGGATCGAAGTTTGGGAAACGGTCAGGGAGCACTGAAGAAAGACGGGTGACGAATGAGCAGTGGGAGAAAAACAGGCGACGTGAGGAAAAGTTAATATAGGACGCGGTCCGGTCAGGCTTGGAAACCAGACGGAACCTTCTAGATGCAAGGTACAACCCTAAACCCTGGGGCCTATGCAACTGACTGCCCTGTATAGCCCATCCGCACCCACTGACGGCTCCACACAGCCCGTCTGCACCCCCTGACTACACTGTACAGCCTGTCCGCACCCCAACTGCTCCACACAGCCCGTCCGCACCCCCTGACTAGACTGTACAGCCTGTCCGCACCCCAACTGCTCCACACAGCCTGTCCACACCACCTGACTACACTGTACACCCCATCCGCACCCACTGACGGCTCCGCACAGCCCGTCCGCACTCTTTGGGGAGGTGAGGAAGTTGGGGCGCGGAGAGCTGAGGTCTGCACAGAGCCTGTAGAAGCAGCAGAGTCCTAGAGTCAGTGCTGTAAGTCACTACTACGGGCCACACCTGACCAATCAAAGGGCTGCAGCGACAGTCCCTAAAGGCCGGGATTCTAAGATGATCCAAGGACAGAAAGACAATGTGTGAAGGTCGGCAGTCCCACAACTGAGCTTCCAGTTTAAATCAGCTCCAGTTGCCTAGTGGATAAGGTGTTGGCCTTATATAATGTTATCGGCTCAACTAGTGAATACTAGATATGCTAATTAAAAATGAAAAATAAGGTTTATGAACTCATGAAGGATCATAGACTTTTTAACAGGAAGTGCCATGATGTCTGCGTATTCATCAAGAATGAACCTAACAGTCCTGGAAGACAGATTTTCAAGGGGGGTGGTTAAAATGAGAGAGAGCATACTAAAAGACCAACGACGTAGTGGACATGTTAGACACCTTCTCCCTGATCAATAAGCCACGTTCAGCTTCCAGAACTGCACACCCCAGGCTTGTTCTCTGCTTCAAAAGACCACCTTTCCTTCCCGACACTGTCTCCAGCCCCTCCTCTTTCCCCACTCTTTCTACGTTGGATACCTAAGGTTCACTGACTCATCCGGCTTCCCTTGTCTGTCCTTATTTTCTTAACGATATTCATGAGGTTGAAACCATTACAAGCTATTCTCAAACCTTTCTCAAGTCCACACCTCTCACCCAAACCCCGAGTCTCAGTTCCCCCAGCTTCCAAGAATACACCACTTAGCCTCATACTCAATCCAAATAATGTCAAGTCTGTCCTTCCGGTTGGATGACCGACCTGAGAGTCAACATTTCTTTTCCCACCCCATTATTTCTGTTAAGAATTCCCATTAGCCCCTTCTTCAGAACTGACCCAGGACCCAAACGCTTCTCAGCACGGTGATTCCTGTCAGCACAGGTAAGACCCTGTGCCCTCTCACTGGAACTCAGCAGTGCAGACTGCTTCCTCCCTGCCTTCCATGTCTGTTCCCGACTTAACCAGGTGAGCCTTGAAGACAGAAGCCACATTGTGACCCAGCGTGAACCAAGGCTATTATTCAGTAACTGTGCATTTTAGGCAAAGCAACAGCCTGCCACTGTCCTGCCTCTCACGAGTCTGACCACTCTCATTGCTCTCCTTGATTCCCTATGCTCCGGCCACATAAGCTGACCTGCTGTATCTTAGTTAGGGTTTCTATCGCTGTGCAGAGACACCATGGGAACTCTTACAAAGGAAAACATTTCACTGGGGCTGGCTTACAGTTCATCATGGCGGGAAGCATGGCAGCACACAGGCAGACATGATGCTGGAGAAGTAGCTGCGAGTTCTCCATCCAGACTGGCAGGCATCAGGAAGAGAGAGTGACACTGGGCCTGGCTTGAGCACCTGAAACCTGCAAGCCCAGTGATGCACTTCCTTCAACTAGGCCACACCTACTCCAACAGGACCACACCTCCTAAGTGTCCCTCCCTGGGGGCCTATGGGAGTCATTTTCATTCTAATCACCATGGACTGGGAGGACACCTGCTCCACCTCCAGCTGGACGGTTTTCCCTAGAGACTCTCCCTGTCACTTCCTTCAGGTCTCTCCTCAAACCGCGCTCTCCCTGCCTTCTTGCTGACCAGCGTCATTACCTCCCAGCCCTGCCCCCCTTACTCTAGGTACTTGCTCCCCAGCGCTCACCACCATCTGGATATTTATAGTCTACCCATTTCCTTTGCCTAGCGCTCGCCATTATGTTTGATTCAGCTGTCAACACCCAGAGGTCTCACCGTATCAGCCCTGAATCACCAGAGTCACCCAGAACTAGTGAGAAATGCCAATTTCTTGGTCCTACCAGGTCCTAGTGCATCATGAATTCTGAGGGTAGATTCCAGCCCCCTGTGAAACCAGCACACTAACTCACACGCCCCCCAGCACACTCGGGTTTTAGAATCCCTCACCTTGAGTACCTGGGGCAGACTATGTACCCAGAAATGCTTTGTTCACTAAATTTAAGAATCAGCCTTTTCTGGTAATGCCCTTCTTCTCTAGTAGGAAGATGCCAAACAATTTGCCACATTGGACCACACTGTTTCCTGCCAGGGTGAGCACCTGGGATTCCATAGCTCCTTCTAAAGCAAGATGGACTTCATTCAAAGCGTAGTTCTGATGTCAAGAATAATTAACACCCTATATAGAAGAAGAATTCGGTTTAAAAAAAAACTTATCACTTGTGCAAGAAGCTCCTAGAAAGGGAGGTAAGATGTCATCAGGTGTGGACTGACTTAGGTAAAACGACAGTGAGCTAGAGGACTCTAGAGTCAGAGGGTCTGGAAAAAGTCCATGCTGACTGGGAGACTGAATTGTCTGCTATTACAAAAAAGCGGGGAGTGGCCAAGACTTCCAATCAGACTGCCCAGATGTGGTACCATAGAAAAGAAGAGTGGACTTACAAAACATCTGTCCTGAAACACAAAAGTTAAGTCAGACTCTCCTACATCGAATGAACCAATCAGACCCTTGCTTGGGAATTTGGATTCCAATTTCAGGACCTGCTGGTCCAGGTGGCTGGAATTAAGGGATCTGTCAGTCTTTAGAGAGAGAAAAAAAAAAACGGATTACAGAGAGAATCAAAGGTACAAAATGTAGCCCAACCTTGACCCCACAGCCTTCCGTAGCCCACGCCTGCCTTACCCAAGGCAGGCTGGCTCCCTAGTGTGCAGTCAGGACCTTAGCTGGAACCATAAGAAGATTATCTACACAGGCTCAGCATTGTGGCTGTGCTCCAGATGAGCGAAAAATAGGCATTTCCTCGGAAGGAGAGATGACATCGAGCATGGAGCCCCATACAAAAGTAGACACTAGTTCATCCATAAATAGACGCACACACAGAGACGTGGCAGAAGGTAAATGGGAGAGGCACTGAAACTTCCTAAGAGGAAAGGCTGGACAGAACTCACATCCAAAACCATGGAGGAACGCTGATGGCTGGCAGCCTCTTCGCTAACTTTCTTTTGTACAGCCCAGGACATGGCACAAATCCCAGCGGGCTGATCTCTCCTGCATCTTCAAGACAATCAAAACAACCGCACAGAGACATCCGCAGACCAGCCTGATAGACACAATTGCTCAGCTGAGACTTTTCTAGACTCTGTCGCGTCGACAGTTAGCGCTGACTAAGTCACCCATAACTCTTTCTTTCAAACGTCAACTCGTGGGTGAAAGGCATCCTTCACCCTCTGATGGGTTCTGATTAATTCCTCTGTGAAATGGGAAGATGTAAGCACAACACTTCCTTCACTGCTGTCACCATGGGGACCGACTGGGACCATGCACACGTGTCCAGTCCTCACAAGGAAGACTGCTGAGACACCAGCTCAGGTCCAGACAAGAGAAACCTGATAGAGCATGAAGTATACAGTACAGGGGAAGAAAGGGGGCCTGGAGGAGACAGAGAGCAGGCGGGGGTCACAGTGATGCTGTGGGCACAAAGCAATGTCCAGTACTGAGCCTCTGGAATGTGGACAGAAGGGCAGGAAGACAAGAGCTAGTCCAAGACTCAGACTTACCCTCTGCCACCTAAGAAAGTTTAGGGCAGAGGTTCTAACCTTGGCGTCAGGACCCCTGTGATGATCGCAGATCAGATATCCTACATATCGGATATTTGCATTACAATTCACAACAGCAGCAAAATTACAGTTATGAAGTAGCAAGGAGATAATTTATTTTGTGGTTGGGGGTCACCACAACATGAGGAGCTGTTTTAAAGGGTAGCAGTGTTAGGGAGATTGAGAATATATTCTTTAACTACTACCTGCTTTAAAAACAGTAAACAAAAATGAGGCCAAAAATGAGGGAATGTTTACAAAACAATGTAATTCTAAAGAGTTCCTTTTATTAAAAATTCAAACAGACTAAATTACTAGTGTTCTACATTAGTGGAAGACCTGTTAAAGATTTGCCTGACTTTATGAATGTTTATAGACTAATGTGGGACAAAAGTACAACCTAAACCCCTTTAGGCCACGATAACCAGGGGCATTTGGGAAATAGCTCATCTGTGACTACATAATACTTATGATAATGCATTTTAATGAACAGGTTGTCCTGAAACTGAGAGCTAACCAGTGTTATGAAAACCAGATTGTACTTTTAAAAAGTAAAAAAGGGGGGGTTTATGTTAACCTAGAATATATAAAAACTTTATCTTCAAATCTAAGAATGAAGGAGGTTTAATGAGCAATGTCTGCTTAAGCCACCTGGCATTATGGGAGAATGCCTGTCAACCATCTCGAGTGACCCGGAGAAATGCAAATACAGTGTCAATAAAGGGACACAGGTCAGCGCTCCATGGCGCTCCTCATTATCCCAGCGGTACAGCCCGGACTTCGTTTTATTAACTTTCAATGAAAGTTCTGCCAAATGGAACCCAAGAGTCAAAACACTCCCGGGAGAAAAATTAGGTCTTGATGAAATATTCAGTGCCTCACAATAATGCCATGGCTGCAAATTAGAGAATATATTAAGTTTTAAAGAAATCAGAATAGCAGAAAACCCTGAGCCAGTGTGACATGCTAAACCAATGCGAGACAAATTTTAGCAATTCTCTCAATTTAATTTTCTCTGAAAAATATGATCATATAAAGTGCCAGTGAGAACTAAGCCTATAATGCTAATCAACTATTAAGAGAAAAATAGCACAGCACAATAGAAATACGATAAAATTTAGAAAGTCGTCCACTCTACAGCCAACAATAGGCTTAAAATTAGATACTCCAGGCCTCGTGTCCTGTTCATGGGTGGCACCTCTTCAGTCAGACAACAGCTGTCAGCGAGAAGGTTAATCATGAGTATGCTTACGACTAACAATAAGAATATTTCTTCCGTGCGTACTGTGAGAAAATGTTGTCGTTAAACATTTGACATACGTCACTCCATTGACATTCCTCAGACCTAGGAACATCCTGTTGCAGCCCATCCTTCACACACGAAGCTCCTTGCTCAGGACCACGTGGCTACTGGGCGGGGCATGAATCTGAACTTGGGTCTACCTGATTCCACTGACCTGCAAAGTTCCTTTCTATGAATTGGTCCTGAAAAGTAGCCATGGGTAGGTACCGTTAAAAGATTTGCATGCGGTAATGTGTGTTTTAGCTTTTTTACAGTAACAACAGCCTGAAGAGTATCTAAATATCCAGCATAAGGAATTACTAAGAGACCTACAACACGCCCACAAGGCTCAGTACAGTGTTAGAGAAAAGAAGCCATGAATTCTATAGGGTGGGGGGGGGGGGGTAGAGGACGGGCTAGAAAGGAAGAAAGAGAATGAGGATTACATAGTTATCTTTTAATTTTTTGAAAAAATAATAATTTAATACATATGGATCATTAAGGAGTACTTCATAGGAAATTTTCTAATGGAATAGAAAAATAAAAATTATATAGTAAATGAAAATATCAGCTGCGTATGGAGGCACACACCTTTAATCCCAGCACTCAAGAGGCAGAGGCGGGTGGATCTCTGAGTTCGAGGCCAGGCTAGTCTACAGAGCAAGCTCCAGGATAACCAGGGCTACACAGAGAGACCTTGTCTTGAAAAGTCAAAAATGGGGGGAAAAGGAAAAAAACAGAAGGAAAGAAAGAAAGAAACAAAGAAAGAAACAAAGAGGGAGGGAGGGAGGGAGGAAAACTATCATGTAAAATAGTACGTATGGTTAAAAATAATATATAGAATTTCATATATATGTATGTGTGTATATACATATACAATTGCATGTATAGATGATAGATGGATAGATAGATAGATAGATAGATAGATAGATAGATAGATAGATAGACAAATAGATTACAGACAAACAGGCAGACAGATAGACAGACAGACAGATACATGAGGCATCTCTGGATGTAGGCTTCTTTCTCATCCTGGTGCTACTGACATTTTGTATTGGATTTTTTTCCCAGTGTTTGTGACTGAGCCTACAGTGTGTGCACACTGGGCTAGTATTCTGTTACTACCAAGCGACATCTCCAGCATGTGCTGCAGGAGGCTGTCCTGTCACACTGGATGCTGCTTATCAGCATCCCTAGCCTCTACTCACAAGATGCCAGCAGCATTGCTAGGCTGTGACAACCAAAAATGTCACCAGGCACTGACAACACTGCCCCAGGGTAAGACCTGCTACTCCGGGTAGTAACAGATAACATTTATTCATGTGCATTGCCGTATTTCCCCAAACGTCTAAAATTACATTTGTACTCCCGGGGGCAATGTTCTATGAGAAGGCAAACTCACTAATAGGGGAAGCAACGATTTGCGTTTTCTGAAGTAAGCTGCAATCATGGGAAAATACGTATCACAGGCACTGTGGAATGTCTACTGTGATTGTTTTCCATCAGATATCAGTTAGCAAGTGCTTACGAGAAAAGAAGAATAGAGAGAGAGTGGCAGCCATCTTTTCTACCTGTGTCAAGTACATCCGAGCAGTGACAGCAGAAAGCGGTGGGTAGATGAGGATTGGTTTGGTTGTCTCGCCAACAGCATCACCAATGAGTTTCCCACTGGAAGAATAAGCAGCGATCGCAAATACATATCTTTCATTCATTTCTAAACCTTTAACTTCAAAGGTGCTCCTGCCGTCAGCTGGGATCTGTGAACAGAAAACGTCTCAGCTTTTACTCAGAGAATTAAGGTGGTGAGACTATTAAATCATAATTGGATAAAGCTTCTCCTTCACTGTTGGATCTTAGTTGTGACTCGGGTTGGAATTAGTGTCAATCCACTGTGGTAATGACTTCACGGGGGAGCACACGCTCCGTTGTCATTAAGGAGGCTTCGGTAAAGTCTCCTGGAAGAGAGCACGACGTACCGCTTCTCCAGAGTTTGGGAGATGGTTGTTGTTGAGTCTTACTTTCCCATAGCTTCCTTCTGCTTTGCAACCCAGTATGCAGTACCAGGACACCTGGTGGGGAGAGAGACAGCGTCAGCTGTGGTCTAACAGGGCTTGATCTCCTCAGTGTGGATGGAGCAGAACCAGTGTGGATGGAGCAGACCGTCCAACAACAAAAGTAGCTAGGCATCTGATAGACTGAATCCATATGTTTGCACGCCCTCTTTAAAAGCTCAATGACAAATGTAGGGTTTGCTTACCTGGGACAATGACGTCTAAAATATTACTCATAATCTATCTATCTATCTATCTATCTATCTATCTATCTATCTCTATCTCTCTCTCCTCACTGTCTCTCCTTTATCTCTGTCTTCTCTCTCTCTCCTCTCTATGTCTCTTTCTCCTCTCTTTCTCGCCTCTCTCTCTGAGACAGATGTGACTGTGCGTATGGACGTTAGAGGACAAACACGATTTGTCTATCCCTGACTTCTTCCTTATCTGAGATAGGATTCTTGTTTTTTCCATGTAAGAACAACAGGCTCACTAGCCCGCGAGCCTTCCGAGAATCTCCTGTCTCATCCTCTGTGCTCCATATAGGAGCGTGGCTATGACACCCTTGTGCTGTGGATCTGGCTTTTATGTTGGTTCTGGGAGTTTGAACCCACACCCTTAGGCTTGCGTGGTAAGCACTTTTACCCACTGAGCCATTATGGCCCTGACCCTCATTATTGCTCCTCTAATTGCTCTTAGTGGAGCAGTCCTTTGTACTAAGTAGCATTAGTAAGCTGGCACATGCTTTCCTTTATAGCGGCACACACTCACTATACACAGCTATGGGTTTCAGGAAGACATTTCCAGACAAGTGCACCAAGAGCTTTGATCATGTTTGCTCTTTCCTCCTCCTCTTCTGCTATTCTCAGGGACACCCCCAGTCTCCCCTCTGCTTCCACGTCCTATACACAGGCATAATTTAATGCATCTACAGAAAAGCCGGAATTTGAAAATGAGAGGAACACTGAAGGTTTGTCTATTTGAGTGTGACTTATTTTACTTAATATAGTGTCCTCCACCCGTTTTCCTAAAGAACGATATAATTCATTCATGATATATATATATAATATAATTCCTTCTTTTGTGGCTGGATGGAATCCCACTGTGTATATATTCTGCATTTTCTCCGTCATTTGTCTGTTGATGGACATCTAGGCGGTTCTATAACCTAGCTATTATGGATACGACTGAACCCCCCCGGCACAAACCCAGGAGGGGTAGAACTTGGCCACATGGAGCTATAGCTCTGCTCTCTGTGGCGTCTCCACACGAATGTGCACCCCGGGGAGGGACACAAACAAATTCTACTTCCGCCCGCAGCGTGTGAGCAGTCCCATTCGCCTGCAACCTCACTAGCGTTTGCTGCTATTGGTTTTCTTAGTGACTGCCATGCCGAGTGGGGTGAGAGGGGATCTCTACAGGATGCTTTAGGAGGGGGGTCATCCCTAGGGCCTAAGAAGAGTGAACATTTGCCTGTGATTGTTGGCCACTAGCACTTCATCGTTTGAGAACCGTCTGCTCACTGCCAGAGTTACGGGCATTTGTGGTCAACCCAATGCAGGTGCTGGGAACCACACCTGGGTCTGCCACAGGAGGTTCTGAGTGCTCCTAACCGCTGAGCTGGGTCTCCAGCCCCAGGTATAGTCTTTTTGGTCCTCCACCTGATCTGAATATTAAGCCTCCATCAGTGATGCAAAAGCAGAGCCCCCTGCCCTACAAGCTGTCTCCTCACTGGGCTGCTCCTTTGGCTGGAAAGAGGCTTTTGTTTAGCGTTTTTGTTTGTTTGTTTGCTTGCTTTATTTCATGAAATCCCATTTGTCAAATCTTTTTTGTTTTCCCCTGAGCTATCCCAGGCCTTTTCACAAGTCCTCTCTGAATTCAGCCTGTACCCACATCGTGAGAGGAGATCGTCACGTGACATGTATACCTGACAAAACCAGAGGCCAGGGAGTTAGAGAGATGAGGTGCCGAGACAGGGCAGCATTGACTAAGCGCACTGCTTGGAGCACCGGGGTCTAAGCTGTGTGAGGGGCTCTGGACCCTGATTCCACTCTAGGTCACTTTTTGAAAGAATAATTTGTACAAAATCAGTTACCTTTTTGTTTGTTTTTTGTTTTTCAAGACAGGATGTCTCTGTAGTTTTGGAGCCTGTCCTGGAACTAGCTCTTGTAGACCAGGCTGGCCTCAAACTCACAGAGATCCACCTGCCTCTGCCTCCCGAGTGCTGGGATTAAAGGCCTGCGCCACCATAGCCCGGCCACCTTCTAAACCGATAGCCAACCCATCCGGGGTTCCCTAGCTTCAGTGAGTGAGGCTCTGTTACACGGGTCTGACCCTTTGTGCTGCCACAGAAAACTTCTCAGGTTATTGTGACATTTATGGCAAATTAAGAGTGTCAGCCCACGTGAGCAGAGAGAGAGAGAGGGGAGAGAACGCTGAATCCCAGAGGCTGGAAGACAAGGATAAAACTCAGAACAAAACAAAACACAAACACCCAAAATAACGGACTTAACGTCTCTTGATAACCCACACAAAAACAGCAAGCTTCCCATGGGGGAGGGGCGGAGAGACTGTTGTATGACAGGTTGTTATTGCTCTAAATTATACCGCACATACCAGAATCCAGAGGGCAGATTCTCTCTAAAAGCATTTTTACAAGCAGATTTTATATTTTTATTTCACTCCTAGCTTGTGTAACACAAAGAAGCAACGTGTAATTAGAATCTACATAAGAATGAAGACGGTGTGAACAAATCGCTAACTTTGGAAATAAGATTTTATAGACAATGTAAGTAACATTAGCATTTGCAGCTATAGAAATGGATTTTAATGAAACCAAAGCTGAAGAGTTTTCACTAAAACAAAAAGATGGCCAAACCAACGAACCAGCAAACTTGCATGAGCCCACAGCGCCACCTAGTGGCGACACACAGGAAGCAAAGGATGAACCCACCTGAAGCAGCTGGCCTAATGAGTTATTAACATAAATGCTATTGTATATGTGCCATTAAAAAGCATTAGAGCTACGGGTTAAACATGGGGTGCTATTGTCTTCTCATGTTCCATAAATATAAAATAAAAAGGTCACTAAATAGTAATACTGAAAAATTAAAGTTTGGGTTTAAACCAAAATAATTTGAAAGCCAACAGTAAATTCCATATCCCTTATTCTGTGCTAATTTCCTAAAACCCGTGAAGCCGCCTTCTTCTTATCACAGATTTCCAAAATCTCCAAGGTGGAACTCCTAGCCCTAAAGTGGTGTTATTTCTACTCCCACAATCTCAGAGAACAAAACAACACGAAGGTGAAGCTACTTCTCAAGAAAGGCCGCCCCATCCACCTAACTCACTCAGGAATGAGCTACACTCCATCCATGCTTTGCCTGGTGCCTGTGAATGCACAGAGAACTTGACAGCTGACATTCAAAAGAAAAAAGCTCCTTGTACAGAACTAATAAAAAAATTGCAAAATAATGCAGTCACGGCCCATAACTCCAGTAATTGCTCTGATAAATTCTATTACATATGTTTAACAAAAGTAGAAAGTCATTGGCTAATCTGTCGAGAATGTTATATATTAGTTCAGTTTATTCTCTCTCTCTCTTTCTCTCTGTCTCTGTCTCTCTCTCTCTACCTCCTTTCTTATTTTTGTTTGCCTATTTTTTTGGGGGGGGCAGGGTTTCTCTGTGTAGACCGGCTATCCTGTACCTCGCTCTGTAGACCAGGCTGGCCTTGAACTCACAGAGTTCTGCACCCTCCTGGGTGACGGGATTAAATTCACCTGCCACCACTGCCTGGCTAGTTCAGTTTATTTTTAAAATGGGGATCTCGTGCTGGCCTTGAACTTGCTGTGGGGCCAGGGAGGACCACAAACTGGTCTTTCTGCCTCTGCCTTCGAGGTGCTGAGATTACAGGCACAGGCACAGGGCAGCACCCATAGCTCACGTGACTCTGGGGACAGAACAAGGACCTCCTGAGTGCTGGGCGAGCTCCCTACTAACTCCGTACGTCTCCAGCCCTGTGCCAGCTTCTTTCCACGATAAACACACTTTACTTTACAAATGAGAAGAAATCTTCAAACTATTTGGCCTTCCTAAAACTCTGCTGCCAGGAAAGGGAAAAAGCTGGAGTTTCAAACTTAGACATGCTTGACTTCAAAGGCTCTGCGTGCAAAATGCCCTGAAGATAATCAAAGATAGGATTGTATTGTAGTACAACATCAAAGAGCACATAAAGAGGAAGGAGCAATATTTAAAATATAAACCAGCTGGAGCCAGTTTCTTCTTAGGAAATGAACTCCCAAGTGTTATTCCCATTCGGGCCGGGATGGGAGACAGGTTCATCCTAATAAATGCATAGATTTGTGACTGGAGATGTGTGGTTGTCACTGGTTGCCACAGTGACCTGAGGGCACCTGTCACACTATCTCTAGACCAGAGACTCTCAACCTTCCTGATGCTGCGACCCTTTCATACAGTTCCTCACCGTGGTGGCCCCCCTCCCACCCATACAATTATTTTTACTGCTGTGTCTTGACTGTAATTTCAGCACTGCTATGAATCATAAGGTAAATATCTGATATGTGACCCCCAAAGAGGTTGCAACCCACAGGTTGAGAACCAAGGCGCTGGGCCCACTGCCTTCAAACTCCCCTATTTTGTTGCTTTGTCTCTGGTGTTGGCTCTCGGAGAAACTACCCTCTCCACTGCCCTCCAATTCCACGTCAGCCCTCACTCTATGCTGAACTCACTGTCAGCGTACAGCAGCGCCACTGGGACAGAGACACGTAGAAGGAACCATTTTTCTACCGTTTCTTCTGACTGCGTGTTCGAGAGAGCTTTAGAGGGCAGCTCATAAAGGGGAAGAATCATGAATAAATTAAGTGTAGATAAGACATGAACACATCGACCCTGATGTTCAGTACTTATAAATAAGACTATTCGGGTGCTGAAAACCATAACAACCGGAGCCATTACAGTTATGACAGCGCTTAGGTCAATGTGGCGTGAGGAAGGGCGCCTTACCTTAGCGTCTGAAAAAAAGGGAGCGGGTTTCAGAGTCACGGAGCAGTGGGTTCGGGCCAGCAGGATGGGTGGGGGAGGGACTCGGCTCTTCTTTGCTTTTGAACTCTCCAAGCACTTCTGGTAGGAATAGAGGGCGTTTTGTTCTGCTTCGATCTTCTCAATTAAGGCATACGCTTCCTGTAACGAAGTGTGAAAATAGAAAAATACATTCCGGGAGCTTGGGCCTCCTTTGTATTTGCAGCATTCCCTTGTGGTAAAGGCTCTCTTTCTATATGCCGTTTCTGAAACCTCCAAGGCATGCGTATATATGCCAGTGTGGTTTTGGCAGGACGGTAGCAGACTACTGGATGGACCTCATCAATGCAATTGGATGCATACGTCTAAATGCGATGGTCATATCTTAACAGGAGACACTTCTGGCTTAAAGTCCCTCACACTTCGCTACACTTTGAAAGTCCATACCACAGACACCTGCATTTACACCGACAAACACCGTTTACCATGTAACCCTCAGGAAATACAATGTTGATACGTGTGGTTTTTGAAAGGGATGTGATTAAGAGTTTATATCATCAAAATGAAGTTAAAACAGACAAAGATATTTTCAGGATTCTGTAATTCTGAAGGCAAAGCAATCATTATTTCAAACAGTTATACACAGAAACAATGCCTAACTTTCAGATCTAAACAGTATTTTAAAAACCAGATAACCTGTATCAACAAGGATGTGTAAATTTCCTAACAATACTAATTACACCAGTTAAAATAATAATAGCAATATTTTAGTCTCAATAATCCCAAGCAAAGCAAATATATTTATATATTTGTCCTTTGTGGTTTATTCTTCCAGAGGACCCTGGCTTGTTCCCAGCACCTACGGAGTGGCTTACAGACTTCTATAATCCCAGTTCCAGAGATCCAATGACCTCTCTGGCCCCTGCAGGCACCAGGCATACACATGGCACAAAACTTAAGTTTAGCAAATAGTCAGACGCATAAAATAAAGAGTCATAACTATTTTTAAAGATAGTTGAACATTTTAAACATATGGTACTCATTTTAAAAACTCACTAAGCTAGAAAAATATTAAAACATTAAGCTTAATTAATAGACAAAGCACTAAGATGGCTCTCTCACTGCTCCTAACAAAACACTAAGGGGATCTCCAGTGAAGCCCACGAAGAGACAGAAGGCTACCATTCCACTGTATTCTGAAGCTCCACCCGTTGGTAACGAATGCAGAAGAGAAGCTCCTACCGCTAAGAAGACTAAACGTCTGTCTTCTGAATCCCAAGCACTCCCCTTCTGCTGCTAGATGTCCATGTCGTCTCTCCTACAGGAGACATACAGAGTTTGAAGTTTCCATTTGGAGACCTGGACTCCAAGCTCGATGAAGAAAAGACTCACGGCGTTTGAGTGTGCCCCAAAGTGCTGCTCAAGGCTGAGTGCTCAAACTAGCACCGTGTATAAGTACAGATTATAAGACCAGGGCTCCCAGCAAAATTCTTCACAGACCTCAAAAGAACAGTACTCAACTTCACATGGAAAAGCAAAAAACCCAGGATAGCCAAAACAATCCTGTACAATAAAAGAACTTCTGGAGGCATCACAATCCCTGACTTCAAACTCTACTACAGAGCTGCAGTACAGAAAACAGCCTGGTATTGGCATAAAAACAGACAGGAGGAACAATGGAACTGAATCGAAGACCTGGATATTATTCCACATACCTTCGAAGACCTGATTTTTGACAAAGAAGCAAAAAATATCAAATGGAAAAAAGAAAGCATATTTAACATATGATGCTGGCATAACTGAATATCAACAAGTAGAAGAATGAAAATAGATCCACATCTATCACCATGCACAAAACTCAAGTCCAAATGAATCAAAGACTTCAACATAAAGCCAGTAACACTGAACTGCATAGAAGAGAAAGTGGGAAGTACACTTGAACACATTGGCACAGGAGACCACTTCCTAAACATAACCCCAGTAGCACAGATACTGAGGGAAACAATTAATAAATGGAACCTCCTGAAACTGAAAAGCTTCTGTGAAACAAAGGACACGGTCAACAAGACAAAATGACAGCCTACAGAATGGGAAAAGATCTTCACCAACCCCACATCAGACAGAGGGCTGATCTCCAAATATACAAAGAACTCAAGAAACTGGTCATCGAAAGAAATAATCCAATTTTAAAAAGTGGAGTACAGACCTAAACAGAGACCTCTCAATAGAGGAATCTAAAATGGCTGAAAGACACTTAAGGAAATGTTCAACATCCTTAGTCATCAGAGAAATGCAAATCAAAACAACTCTGAGATTCCCTCTTACACCTGTAAGAATGGCCAAGATCAGAAACACTGATGGCAACTTATGCTGGAGAGGTTGTAGGGAAAAGGGAACACTTCTGCATTGCTGGTAGGAATGCAAGCTGGTACAGCCCCTTTGGATGTAGGTGTGGAGATTTCTCAGAAAATTAGGAAACAACCTTCCCTAAGATCCAGCAATACCTCTTTTGGGTATCTATCCAAAAGATGCTCAATCATGCCACAACGACACGTGTTCAACTATGTTAATAGTAGTATTGTTTGTCATAGCCAGAACCTGGAACAACCTAAATGCCCCTCGACCAAAGAACAGAAAAGGAAAATGTGGTACATTTACACAATGGAGTACTACACAGTAGAAAAAAAATAATGACAGCTTGAATTTTGCAGGCAAATAGATGGAGATAGAAAACATCATTTTGAGTGAGGTAACCCAGACCCAGAAAGACAATTATCACATGTACTCACTCATAGGTGGTTTTTAGACATAAAGCAAAGAAAACCAGTCCACAAATCACAATCCCAGAGAACCTAGACAACACTGAGGACCCTAAGAGAGACATACATAGATCTAATCTACATGGGAAGTAATCTCCTAAGTAAATTGGGAGCATGGGGACCTTGGGAGAGGGTTGAAGGCGAGGGGAGAGGCAGGGAGAGGAGCAGAGAAAAATGTAGAGCTCAATAAAAAAAAAAAATCAATAAAATAAAAAAAAGTAAAACCAGGTTCCAGACACGGCTTTCTCTAAAATCTAAGATTGGCCTACATTAAAATAAAACAACCTTGTCGTTTTTATGCTGTGTTTGAGTGGCTGGCACCCAGATCTAAAATCACAGGCAGTAACTAAAATGGATCTGCAAATATGCATCATTTAAGATTCTACTTCTCTAAAGCTTGGGGAAGAGTTCTGCACTGAAGGTCACAAGTCTTAGCCATACACGAGGCCCACTTAGAAAGGCCTTGTTTTTTTTTTTTTTCTCATCTCAGATCAGGGTATCCCAGGATGCCCCATCAATAATATAAAACAAAAATCCAGAAGTAGGGCTTGAATATATGTAACTTTAACAAAGGTTTCGAATGATTCTGAAGCGCAGCAAAAACTGCCTACCACTGCTTCCGGTAAGAAACCACACGTCACAGACTCTCATCCTCCCACACAAGTCAGGCCACGCCCTCTGGAACGCAGAGACTTGGTGAGGTGATGCGATCTGCTGCTCCTTCAGCATGTTCTGTCCAGAGCTGCAATATGCTTATTTTCTTATCCGGTACCAGATTCCTCAGCCCCTCGACAGGACCCAGTTAGACTTTCTGGTGGGGAAACTCCGACATACACTCCATGAAGGCCTCCCAGAGCCGGAAAACGTCCCGTGTTCAGGGGTTCTTCCTCTCACGCTGAACCTGGCAGCTGTCTCTCCTAATGAGGCACCTCGCGGTTGTTTGGTTTTTTTTTTCCCCCCAGGGAAGACTCTCTCTCTCTCTCTCCCTTAAGACCCCTTCACGCTTCCTCCTCTAGGATGTCCTTAATGCTCTCCTGACTGTCTCTAACCCCAAAGTCTGGTGAGAAGGCTGGATCACCTATTAAAGCATATTCGGGAAGGGTAATCTTACGTCCTCTCCTTTCCAAAACCAAACGGCCCACTGCATCGACCAACAGCCTGCTCTCTGTTATAACAAAGAGGTGCTCACTCTCTGGTCTCCTCAACTTCTTGTCTTGACTCTGAAAACAACCTCTAGCATCTCTCTACTGAAGGGCAAGGAGCTTTTGTGAAGGTCATGGACATATCTTCTAGCTCCCCGTCTACTCTTGACTGTCTTGTGTTCCTCTCTGTTTAGACTAAACCTTTAGAACCATGCACTCCCATGCAATTCCCCCTTCCCAGGATACATCACATCTTTTCTGCTGGCTCAAGCCCTGTTGGAGCATCACCTCCACTGACATCTCCATGGCAACCCCATGCTCCCAGGCATCCCTCCCCATGCATCTTCACTGACTTTACTTCAGTGGGTACTGGATCATATGCGATCTGTGTGCCCAAATGTCCACGCCTTCTCATGAATGCCCTGATGTCAGGCATGGTGCCTTATTTATCTCTTCTGATTCAGTCACTGGGTTCTAAAGGAAAGCCAAACTGAACCGTGATGGTGGAGAAGGGTGTTTACTACGATGCATTTTAAACTACATGATAAAAAAAAAATGCTCGGACTGAGTCTTGACCAACTTTCAGAGGAGATCCCTGACTCAGATTCTGTGGCCCAATTTAAAATATGTGAGCAGAAATATCAAAGTGTGTATGAAAAAGTAGTGAAAGTCCAAAATAAAATCCCAGATTTGGGTCAAATAAGGTCCATGACAGAAATGAAGGCAGACCCTAATGCTTGTTAAAAATAAACTCCCAGCTCAGTCAGGCAAATCCTGTAGCTGCTAGTAACGTCCATGCACGAGAGCGTGTCTGGGGTGAGTTTAAGACCTTCAACCACACGGAAGGAAATATCTAGTAGCGTCCATGCACGAGAGCGTGTCTGGGGGTGAGTTAAGACCTTCAACACACGGAAGGAAATATCTAGTAGCGTCCATGCACGAGAGCGTGTCTGGGGTGAGTTAAGACCTTCAACCACACGGAAGGAAGTATCTGGTGGGGGATCCAGAAAGAAAAAAAATCTCAAAAACAGCTGAAGTCAATTTTGAAAGGGTGTCAGTAAAGACCTGAGTGTTCTCTACAGCGGTGCTTCCGGATGCTGAGGCCTTACAACTGCAGAATCTGGACAGCTCTTCCCAGTCTCAGCTCACAGGCTTGCTTTCCCAGACCTGTCAGATGACGAAAATAGCTAACGCCACATGC